CTCTTATTTTTCATATGGAAAACGTTTCTGGAATATAATTCACACTAAAATAAGACACAGTTATATGGTAGAAATATAATTTCTTCCCCCAAATGAACTTGCGGCCAAACTGAAGACATTTATCATTTTTTCTTTGTATGCAAGAAATATGAACGTCCAAGAAATGACTTAATAAACACTATTCTTCAACTTAAACAGCAAAATATAATAGACACTCATTTTTTATTATGTGGAAATGAATCTTTGTCTACTAATGCAAATATTCAAATTTTCTGTTGTGTCCAGAAATTTATTCGAGAATCAAATAGATTCTAATTCAAAACAGTGTCTTTGATTTCAATATATATATGCAGAATGAAAATTATAAATGTTTTATCAAGCATGAAAGCTTCTGGTTCAATAAGCATTGTAATCAGCGTATATGTAACATTACAGCTCTGGTAGCTTACTCAGAGTATTTGTCTTTCTAATTTTCATATGTATATTAACATGTACAATATAAATTTTCATAAATTATCTCAATTTATTTATTATGACGATCATATTGTATTCATTGTTCGTAAAACAAGGAGAGGATTTATTAAGTTGAAAGAACTTGTATCCAATCCTTTTGTATGTATTATTACAATAAAATATGTTCAAATCATATTTAAAAAAAAAAGTTCTGCATTTATCTGTGGATCTTTTCACAAAAATCTTAAGACATATTTTTATCTTAAGTGAAAACTTAATATGATAAAAATCGTTTTCACAAAAATTCTTAAGAAAGTCATAAATGCAAAATCTGTCGTAACTTTACGAGAGTCCCAACCCTCTCTTAAGTATTTTAAAAAAGATTTTATTGAAAAAATATAACCGCAAAAAACAAAATACACGTTAAATTGAACTTTGTAAAGCAACTTACAATAATATTTTATATTTTTTTCACAATCCTTGTCGAAAAATTAAATGAAATTAACTTCAAAATATTTACGACGTAAGTTTCACTTAAGATTTTTGTATGACCTACTTTTACGTCAGACTTGTGATGGCTAATTGTATTCGGCGCGTCGGCGCGCCAGCGCGTCCATCTCATCCCAATATCACATAAGTATTTTCTCCTTGCATTAAAGCACTCAAATGACATCGATTTTCTTAATAATTTAAATTATCGCTTATATTCAAGTCGACAGCCCGAGCCCGATTGTAATTTTTTGTTGGGTAGATCCAGATATTTTTCCCTAGGAGGTGATGGCTCAAATCGCAAGGGAAAGAGGTCCGAGGCATAGCTTTAGTAATTTTACTATGTCAGTTTAAATAAATTTGAATTTTCCAGGGATCTGGATCCCCTTGATCCCTGCATGCCTTACCACAATTTGTGCTAGAGTAATCTGAAATTTACCCCAATTTTTTTAGTTGGCCTACTTTCGATATCTCTCTCTCTCTCTCTCTCTCTCTCTCTCTCTCTCTCTATATATATATATATACGAGGGTTGTCCAAACAGTTCGTGGACAAGGGCGTTTTTGTCAAAATGAATGGTTCAAGATATGCTTATTGTATACTAAAATATTAGTTATGAAAATCCAAGTCAGAATAGTTTGGTTTTTATTGTTTGAACGTTATATTTTTGTAAGAATCTCGGTCATTAAAGGTCGCCGATAGTGCGCACGGACCAGGGTTAAAATGCCATGAACTTTTAAATAAAGTGATCTGATTGAAATGATCATTTTCTTTTTAAAACGAGTCAAAGCTGAATAAAAATTTAATATATCACAAATAAAACGGTTATCGCCATTTTCCGATACCTTTAGTATCGCTTACTAAATAGACAATGAAAATATTAAGTGAAAACCGCAAAAAGTATGTTTCAAAAATTGACAGAAAAAGCGACGTCGACCATCCGAACGGGACAGCGTCCAATCATACAATTATGGTTAATATGGTTGAAAAGTCGTCAAAAACAAAATATTTATTCAAACAACCTAAATTTATTGGAAAATATTTAGTCTAATGATTTGTAATTGGTGAAAACGATTTTTCAACGGTGTGTAAAATTTTGGAGACATACAAGAAGTGGAAAACCACTGTTATTTGATGAAAATAGGATATATATATACATTATTATAACAGTAACTTGATCCGAAGAGTCGTATCACGTCGAGTTGACAGGCGCGGATCATCAGATCAAACGAGACGCGAAGCGTCGAGTTTGATCTGATGATCCGCGCCTGTCAACGAGACGTGATACGGCTCTTCGGATCAAGTTGCTGTTATAATGATAAATTTATTATATACCCCCCTTTCAACTAGCAAAATATAGTTTTAAAAACTTTTGAGATCAATTATATAAGATTTTTACATTAAACAAAGCATTTTGTCCAGGAACTTTTTGATGCGCATGAAAAATAACGTCATGTTTCTGTGTACTACGTCATCAATTTCAGAGAGGGGTGATATGGATTCAGAAAACCACAGTGTGGTGATCCGGAAAGTCGGATCACACCGTCACGTGATTGTACGAAATGTACAGTAAAATTGAGTGATACACACTTGGGTATATAATAAATTTCTATTCATGACGTTGTTATAAATATAACGCCGTCGGGCTGGGCTGTGCATCCTGTGTTTACGAAGTGTTCATATTGATGACGCTGGTAAATTATTGTGTATTGTTTTGAATTTTAAAATTTAAATTAATTATAATCTATACATAAATATTATTGCACACATTTTGCAATGTGGCATAATAAAGAAAAATAGCGTACGTCTATGAACATGCGATAAAAATCCAAAATTCATATTTCTGACGTTATCATGAAATAAGCGTTACGTCAGACTGGCCCGTGCAACTTGCATATACAAAGTATTTACACCTATAATGTTCAGTAAATAGTGTGCATTGTTTTAATTTTTGTATATTTACTCAATCATGGTCTATATTAAGATATTATCGTACATGTTTGCCATTGCGGACTTTAAAAAGAAATTTAAGCATTTGTCCACGAACTTTTTGGACAACCTTCGTATATATATATCTTTATGCATCACAAAAATTTACCGGTATTACGTAATGACCCTAGACTCTAGAGTTTAACCCCTTTTTTAGAGACTTGATTATCATGGCAATAAGCTGCCACGCATTGGTATCAGTGTTTGACAAAGATTCCTTGTTACGTATTAAAATAATACTACTACTAAAAATTAACTTGTCTTTATTTCAGGAGGGGGAGTAACTTTAGTTACAGAAATGGCTGGCCTGTAAACCTAAACAGATCATTTGCACTACAGATCATGTGCCAGTATACATAAAGTCCAGCCTCCATATTGTAGTCTTCTCAACCACTTATCTCATTAAAAATCCAATCATATAAAATACATGTACAATGGTTCCATCAACATTCCTTAAACATTAATTTTTGAGGTTTTGTGTTTTGCAGAGTGAAAATTAAAATAGAATTTGATGGTCATTAGAGTAAGAAGCATATCAAAAAGTTTTATGATGACCTGCGTTCACGAAATACTGAGTCATTCGCTGATTGCACAAAAATTGATGCCAATGAAAATTGATAAAACCAGTGTATTTACTGTATTAATTAGTGGCCATGAATAAAAGAAACCACAGGCAGTTAAATAATGATGTTGAAGCTTCAAAACATAATTCCAACTATGAAACTTTCTCTTTTTAGCCGGGCTCATTGCTCGTAGAGCAATAGCCGGCTTATGTTACGGTGTTCAACCGGAAATGCTGCTTCCTCACCGCCAAATTAAATACGAGTAAGAATATAGTACGTATGCTCAACCACCTTTGAAGCAATACAAACACTTAATTAAACAAATATTCTCCAAAAAAAAAAATTAATGGTAATACTTTTTCTCCCCTTTTCTTCAATAAATTATTTGTCTAAAAAATGCGAAAGGTAATTTCATCAAGTCTGCCAGCTTCACATTCTATAAATAAAGGTTCTGTTACCAGGCTAACACTAATGCGGGGAGCACGTGACCCGATGCACACCTTTATGCAAAACTCCCCGCTGAGGACCCGTCTGTGTATAAACGTTTAACCTTGCTGCATCAATGTTTATTTACTTCCGTAAGTGATGTTAGACCCCGAAACGATACATGTGATAAATTGTTTACGCTGTTAAATTCAAACTGCATTTTATTTAATTTTTTTTAAACATTTTTTATTCATACTATATACCATAAATATATTTTTATGTGTTACATATTCTTCCAGTGTCTTGTTGTTATTCATCTGTAATTACAATGTATGTTTCATATAAAACGGACTTGTTCACTTCTCTGTACATATGTAAATGGGCCCGGCTCTCTGTACTTCTCAGTACTTTGATTATTTATGATATCGCGCCCGATGCTAACAGAATTGTATAAGCGATAATTTATTTAATAAACAAAATCTGTTGCGCGAGCGCGCCGACGCGCCGAATACAATTAGCCCTTGTGATTGTGACGTCAGATTTTAAACTCCCTTGCTTCACAAACAATTGCATTCGATATTTATTGTCAGTAATGTTTGTTATGCTGATAAATGTTGAAAACTAAGTTTTATTTTTATTTTCACCCACTTATTTAAGGATTATAAAGCATATTGAAGTCGTTGCTAGGGATGAAGTCTGTCGTAAGTAAAATCTTAAGTTTAATCTGCTACAAATGCGTTCGTGAAACGCACTTAAGATATGTTGTAAGAGATTCTTAAGTTAAAATCTTACACAAAAACTTAACATTTTTTGTGAAAAGTGCTACAGATTCCCAGTTTTGAAAGAAAGCATTTACAGAAAACTACCTGATGATGATGAAGAGGTAGCGTATTGCCTACTACTGTTGGAATAAGGGGTGCTTCGATGTCCAGATGTGTACTTCTTCTGTTGTGAATGTGTGTAGTGGCTGTTGGATCCACCACCATAACTTGGTGTCAAATCACAACTCTGTCCTGCACTTGAGCTGTATCCTTGCAGTTCACCATAATCTGATGCTGAACTGTAACTTTGCCTTGAGTAACCTGAGTTGCCTGAGCTGCTGTAACTTGAGTATCCCCCACTGTAACTTGAGTAACCTCTACAGTAACTGGAACTCCCTCCACTGTCACTCCCATCTACAAAAGCCTGAGCTTCTGCAGCTGTGCTGAACTTTTTGTACCTGGCACCACTATACCCATGTACTTGTTCTTTACAAGAATCCCTGAAAATTTACATCAACTAATAGTGTTAATCACAAAAAGGAAACAATCAAATTTGGAAAAATTATATCAACTATAAGAGAAAATAGTTTAATAATAATTTTTATTCAATTTGATAAACTTGGGTTTACTATTCTATCATAACAACAGATAAAACAATCTTTACAGGACTCAACACCCACACTTGTCACCTCATCATATCTAACCTAACTTCATCTGGATGACAGTCGCCCGCGTGGCGCAGTGGTTAGAGCGTCTGCTCTAGAGTCATGAAGTAAGGAGTTGATCCTTACGTCATGGTTCAAATCCCACTGTGGGACGTGGAGACTGGTCCTTCGGATGAGACCGTATAAATCAAGGCCCCGTGTTGCAGTAGGTGCTGGCACGAAAAAGACCCCTCTCTGCTCAATGGCTGTAAGTGCCGAGTATAGTAAAAAATTTGCAGCTCTCCACCGGCAAGTGGTGGCATATCCATATGAGTGAAAAATTCTCGAGAGGGACGTTAAACAACATACAATCAATCATCTGGATGACAAATTAATCTAAGTTGCCCAAATGATGACCTGGTTCATGTACTATTGTAAAGTATGTAAAGTTTCATGATCATTGGCTTTCCCACTATACACAAAATAAAAAAGCCTGCAAGCTCTAAGAATTTTCTGTTTGCTAATTATGATCGAAGGTCCTAATTCGTGTGAACATTTTTTGGCGCGAAAAGAACTGTAGTATTTATTACCGTTTTGCAAGATGCTGCAATGCACCATGCACAAAGCTTTGTTGCATTAAAAATATAACATCAAAGAAATGTAACCTACCAGTCATTATAAATCCCAGCGTTACGTCCTTGTCTCACAGCATAAAAAGGCATTCTTGCTTTCACTCGAAACGTGTGTGCAGTGGTGCGTATCGCGGTCCTGATGCTAGGAATAACCATTAGTCGATTGGTCAACTCTGTACTATTACATAATAGCAGATTTGTTTACTTCTTTTCTTCTTCTTTTTTACATTGAATTAACACTTTCATCGATAAAAAAATTTTATATGAAGTCTAGTTAATCGAAATATTTTGTTTCTGGACATTCTCTATACAATCATCATCTTCTCTCTTCTTTCACTTTCCATCAAGGGAACCAGTTTATCAATTCTTTAGATAACACGAATGTAGACTTATTCGGTTTTAATGACCCTCTTAATGAAACCTTCACGTTACTCTCTCTCAATATTTACCGATTACTTCGGTCATTATGATTTTTTTAACATTAAAAAAAAAAATGAGTGTTTATCTATTTTCATTTTCAACATAGAGTACTATGGGGGGGGGGGGCACTACCAAGTTTGATGCAGTAAAAGTAATCTGCCTTTTGGTCTTAAATAAATTGAAATCTTCAGTGTATTGCCAGAGACATAAATATATATTACAAATAAATGTGACGTAAAATATTTTATAAAATAAAGTAATAAATGTTGGATTTATGTCTTGGCCTCTGATATTTCTCATCAATTTGTAATAAATTCAAGCATCTTTAACATTTTAATAGGCCAAGATAAATTGAGTAAACACTTTATTTGCCTTTTAAATTTTCACTATTTTTAAAAGTAAACAGCATTGATTTCTGTTCATCAATACCTTGTTGTCTTTGAACATTTTGTAGATACAAGGTACCTTATTCATGGAGGAAGACTTGACCTATATGCACGCAATAAGATACATCTTAACCAAAAAGGAAAAACCGCCCTTGTCAGAGCCTTGAAACTCCACCTCAATCCTGAAATCGGACTAAAACTGTACACAAGTTATAGTCAGAATTTACACAATGCCAGTACAAGAAAATTTAACAACCAGCGAAATTGGAAATACATAGGTCCTCCTCCTCCACGTAAGGATTCCAGAAACTCCTAACGACACCAGAGGGAATTCCGTGAACTGGTGCAAAGGCTAGCACAATTAGTGTAAAAATAGAAAAGAAAAAATGTTTATGTTCACTTGTATTTTCAAAAATATCCTGAATGAAGTTTGAATTTTCACTGTACAAATAACAAGCAAAATTTATGTCAACATTTTTTGTTAAATTTTGTAAGAGTTGAGAATTTCCACTGCATATATAACACATTTTTTCAAATGTATAATTACGATTATATAACAGGTCTAGTCAGTAGTTCCAATATATTACAGAATGCTCAATATTGCTTACTGGAACATTAATAATTTTAGTAAATCAAAATTTGATGATAATATTGAAATTTTCAGTTCTTTATGTCATAATTATGATGTTATTTGTTTTTCTGAAACCATGCAGGATTCACCACACAATCTTCCAGGATTTGCTTCTCCCTTTGTACTAAATGCCAAAAAGGTAAAAAAGAAGGGCAGAAAATCTGGAGGTCTTATGGTATTTGTTAAAAAAGAAATTTATAAACATTTTACTAAAGAAAAAGAATCTGATAACTCCTTATGGATAAGAGTAGAAAATGTTATTATTCCAAACTGTAGATCACAAACACTCTACTTGTGTTTTTGCTATGTCAAACCATATAAATCAAAAGATGCATCTGAAAATATATTTTCTCAAATTACGACTGAAGTTTCCCATTTTCAGTCACTTGGAGAAGTATTTATAAGTGGAGACTTCAATGCACGTACTGGACATCTACTTGATTTTATTCCACGATTCTATAAATGAAACATTTTCTGACTGCCCTGTGCCTCTAGACTATTCACCCAACTCTGTTTTACCACGCAATAATACTGGTAGTCAAACCAATCTACATGGTGAACTTTTAACTACTCTGTGTAAAACTTTAAACCTAAATAGAATTCTTAATGGAAGATTCCTTGGTGATTCCCTTGGTTATATTGTACATTTTATAATTTTAATGGTTCTAGTTGGTGTGTTGATTACATGTTGGCTACCAGCCATGTTTTACATAATGTACTGTATTTCAATGTTATGCCACCTTCAGAATTGTCTGATCATAGCATTATTTGTACTAGATTTAAGTGTGGTGCTTTTAATTGCCCAGTTAAATGTGAGCCATATATTGAATGCAGATCTACCTCCTTGAAAGGACAGTACATTTGGTCTAATCAATGTAAACTTGCTTACCAAACAGCCTTTGTTGATGTAGAAAGCTCTAACAGCCTAGTTGAACTTGATAAAAGTCTAAATGTGAAAGACATTAGTATTGATGATAACAGTAAATTAACTAAAATATACTTAACAGCTGCATCTAAAACCCTTCTCTTTAAACCACCAATATATAATTGTAAAATAAGAAAAAGAAAACCAAAACCAGTTGGATGTCTAATGATATATCTCTACTAAAAAGAGAAGTCCGCAAACTTGGAAGAAGAATTCAAATGAATCCAAAAGATTGCAATTTATTACAGGCTTTCACAAATGCTAAACGAGAATTTAACAGAATGAAAAAGAAATCAAAACATGAATTTTATAAGACACTAACTGACAACATCGACAACCTAAATCAGAACAATTCAAAAGATTTTTGAAGGTCCTAAATAAAAATAAAATTAAGCAAAACTCAAATTCTTCCACTCCAGGACTTCAAGCATTTATGAATCACTATCAAAACTTACTGTGCTCTAAGGGCAATAACTCCTGTGAAAATGTAGTTGAATCTGAAATACAGAAACTTACTCCCCTTGACTACCCTTTCACATACAGTGAAGTCAAGCTTGGCATTAAAAATCTAAAAACTGGTAAATCACCTGGACAAGACCTAATACTCAATGAATTTATTAAAAGTGGTTCAAGTACACTTCTAAATATATTAACAAAACTCTTTAATAAAATTCTTTTTTCTGGGGAAATACCCGAAGCCTGGAATTTGGTACAAATAACTTCTATTTATAAATCTGGTGACCCATGTAACCCATCAAACTATAGAGGATTAAGTGTTACAAGCTGTATGGGTAAACTTTTTAATGGACTTTTACAATGCCGCCTAAATTCGTACTTGGAAACAAATGACCTTCTGAGTAATTATCAATTTGGATTCAGAAGAAACCACCGTACCACAGATAACATATTTATTTTAAAAACTCTTATAAATAAGTACTTAAAATATAAGAAACAAAACATTTATACATGTTTTGTGGATTTTACCAAAGCCTTTGATACAGTTGATCGAACTTTAATGTTACACAAACTATACCAAAAGGGCATAGGTGGGAAATTTTACAATGTTATAAATAATATGTACTCAAACACTAAATATTGCTGTAAAGATGAATCTTGCTATAGTGAACATTTTATAGCTACACGCGGGGTTAAACAAGGAGATAATCTTTCCCCAACACTTTTTAATATATTTATTGATGACTTCTATTCGCAGTTAGTTAATTATAACACAAACCCTCCTGAATTACAGAATATTGATGTCGGACATTTATTCTTTGCAGATGACTTAATTCTCCTCTCTACTACTAAAGAAGGTCTCCAAAACTCAATAGACTGTCTCTCAGAATATTGCATAAAATCAAAATTGACTGTTAACCTTGATAAAACTAAAGCAATGATTTTCTCAAATAAGAAACCTGACACAGCTCAACATTGTTTTTATTATAATCATTCAATAGTTCATCTTGAACATGAATATAAATATCTGGAATTATTTTTACTTATAATGGTAAACTTAAGTATGCAGCTGAACACCTAGCTGACCGTGCAAGAAAAGCTTTTTATGCAATGAAACACTGTTTACCATTTCATAATAACTTATCTGTAAAAACTCTTTTAAAACTATATTCTTCACTTATTGAACCTATCATTTTGTATGGTTCTGAGATATGGATTTCAGACTTTAATATTAATATAAACAATTGTGATCAACTACCTTTTGAAAAGATACAGCATTTAATATTTAAAGACATCTTGGGTGTACAGAGAAAAGCTTCAAATTTAGCCATTAAATATGAGCTAGGAACACTTCCTATTTGTTGCAAAGCTTTCATCTCTATGTTTAAATATTACAAGAGACTAAAAAACCATAATAATAAAGATGGAATTAGAAATCAAATTCTTATTGCTGCTTTCTTAGAAGATGACATTCTATATAATAACGATGTAAAGGATAATTGGCAGAGTCAGATTGATAAATTAACAAAGAAACTTAAACTTCCATCATTAGATATAACTGATAACACATTTAGCAGCTACTTGAAGAATTTCTACATAAAAAATGTTAATTTGCAACTTCAGAACATTGAATTCACCAAATGTGGTAAATTATTATTTTACAGTCAAATTAGAAAGAACTATGAATTACAAGACTAATTGAAATTTCCAATTAATAAATCTGTACGTTCTAAATTAACAAAACTGAGAATTTCTACACACCCTTTAGAAATTGAAATAGGCAGATATTCAAAGCCTTGTATCCCAAAAGAATCTCGTTTTTGTCACTATTGTAAAAATGTTGTAGAAAATGAAATACATTTCATATATGACTGTCCTATATATAAAGATTTGCGAAAAAAGTATTACCCTTTGAACATCTATAATTTAAATGATAACATGTTGAAGGAAAATCATTGTAAAGTACTTTGTAATCCTGACAATGCAGTTCATTCTAGAAGGCTATGCGAATTTTTACATGAATGTTTTGAATTGCATTCTAAAAATAGAGCACAATAATATATATTTAATGCATTAATTAGTTTATCTCTGTCCATATTATACTGTTTATACTATTTGCATAATGATTATGTATAACTTCAAGTTGTAAACGTAGTTGACTTCACTGATTTGTACACTTGCATGTATGTATGTACTTTAGTATATGTTTTAGTAATCTGAAAACACACTGTATTTTTCATTTTGTTTGTAACATGGTTGTATGCCAACATGTTTGGTGAATCAATAAATTGAATTGAATTGAATATGTTGCAAATTAAATCTCAAGTTCTTAATTTATCATGTTTATGCATCTTAATACAATATATACTTTTTCTCAATGTGTGAAAAACCCTTTTCCTTTATTGTACAGATCTAGAGGGTCCTTAAAGTGTTTCATTGATTTAGGGGATGATCATCTGGTTTGATTTGGGGGGGGGGGGTCAGATTATTTATTTTCATGCCAGCGAAGAACAGATAATTTATTTCCAAGATAAACAGAGACAGATTATTTATTTTCTTCACAGAAAAAGGTTTAACAAGCAAAAAACAAACAAAAATAACAAAACCAAAAAAAAAAAAAACAAAAACAAAAAAGGAAAAAACAAACAAAAAAAGCCAACCTCCAAAACTCTCTATTTTCATGGAGTGGTGAATTATTCCAAGTCAAGAGTTTCTGATTCACTCTGTTCCACATATGTGCTTTATGTGGAGCGAAGTGGATAAGAAACCCTTAGACTTGGGGATATGGAGAGGTGGGGGGATTTGAAGATGGGTAGTACATGTAGTACCAGGCAAGGACAGATTACTGGTATCTATTTTCTTGCCAGCTGAGGAAAGATTACTTATTTGTCTAATGACATTTTTCAAGGACAGATTATTTATTTTCTTTATTATTTATTTTATTTATTTTCACCCCCCCCCCCCCCCATGGAATCAAAAGGTCTTATAAAATGTTACAGATTGCTTAGATTGAATATAAATTCAGTAATATACTGTAAATTTCAATATATTTCATTTTAGGACACCTCACTCTTGACTGAATTAAAATACCACAGAATTAAGAGTCAATGTTAGTGTGCAGTGTATAGAGGTCCCTAAGTAATGTTACCTCCATCTGAAAGGGACTTTGCATGTACATGTAATGCAAAATTTTTGAAGAAATCAGAAGTAAATTTTAACATTTGAATTCCAGAGATATTTTTCATACAACCTCCTGGGGGTAGGGATAACTTTTTAAACATAGATATATATCTATATTTTTTAAATTTATATCTCTGATTTAACTAAATATTTCAAATGTAGAAACTTGCAAGATACAAAATAAAAAATTTGCATGATTCATAATGCATCTGTCTGGAAAGAGAGCACCACATTTACTCAAATAAGGGTCAAAATTGTTATTTACATTACAATGACAAATGTGTAAGGGTTGTTTGTGTCAGATTGTGCTTGTAGAAAGTGGATTTTCATCTTCCACACAAACTGGAACACACATATGGTATTGGCAATCTATCACTGATTCATAAAGTCACAATTTTAAAATTTAATGTTGGTAAATCAAAATATCCACTACCAGTAACTGAAAACAAACCGTTTATATTACACTGTAAATACTAATACTAAAATATTTATTTACAAAACAAAATATAAATTATTCCATTCAGGAGGAACTTCATTCTTATTTTCAGCATAAAGTACTACATGTATAGACAATAGAAAAATATGCCACTCACTAACAATATCAGCCCCCCCCCCCCCCCCCACACACACACACATCAAAACACCTCTCTCTCTCTCGTTCTCTCTCCTGATATACATGTCCTTTGCATGTAAGTAAAAAATCTGCATCTGATGACATTACTAAGTCAAGAATTCACTAAGCTGCCCATTTTCACTTCAACAATGTCACACTGTGAAAGATTACAAAATTAATATACACTTCTAAGACTCTTTCCACATGTCTACAGGAATATATCATGGCCTTGGTTGACTCGACTTGCATCCTTTGCCTTCAGTCTGCCTGCCTCTATGCTTTTAAATGTTGGGAGACCATGTGGGAGATCCAGCAGATAGGATTCTGTATCCAGTACTCTGTCAGCTTCCTCTGTCAAAGTCAGAAAGCAGTACTAATAATAAATAGCTAGCTAGGTCAATGTGTGTACAGTTAATAACTTCATATTTTGTTCTCCACACCTGAATATAATGCTTGGAGTAATAGCTGAATGAAGATGGGTGGGGTGGGGGAAGGGGGTATTGAAAGAAAATAACTTGTCCAATTGCAGCCATGTGAAAAATTTTAGGCTCAAATACTGCATTAAAAATACTAAAATTTAGGTGAAAATACTGTACACAACACATTTTTTCTACACAGTTTCTCACTGTGATTTTGTGGATGGGGTAAAAAAATACATGAACTTTTGTGTACAGCTGGTACATATCACACATGTCCACTTGATCACCAAAATAAAATCCTTTGCTTTTGTAAATATTAGGAGACAGAAAAAACATCATTGAAAAACCAACAAATCATGACCATAGACTTTATTCCTCAAAATGAACAAGAGAATGTAACACTTGTACATTTTGAAGGAAAAATGGGAAGATGAATTAATTTTATGAAAGTTTTGAAAAAAAAAAGTTCACGTAACTTGAGTCTTTAGGCTATTAAAAAAATTAATCTTTAGTTTCTCAGGTCAAAAATTTCAAAATTCAATGCGGCAGGCAGTTCTTTTTTTCTGAAGCAAGTGTTATCTGAATTTTTCAACTTAGAAAAATAGAAAATTGAGTTATTTCCCTTTTCAACATGTGTCAATAAGTGCAGTGTTTGACCTGATGCCATGGTGCCTGAGAAACTATATAGATTTTTTTTTGGCCTTAAAAGATTTTACTTACGTCTCATCCTTTCCATTTTTGATCCATAGGCAAGGTCATACTGGTATCCTAATATGAAGGTCAGAGGAAGCAAAGGGGCTATCAAACCTTTACTTTTCCCTTTTGTTTTCATAGTCCTACAAGAATATGTTTCAAAAATTAAACAATGTCTTTCCTCTTTGCATACTCCAGAATAAAAAATACAAATATCAACAAAGATAAACATTCCTCTGAAAAGAATTTCTAAATTCATATAAAATAAATAAAAATAAAATTCATTGTAGCAAACTTACTTTTAAAATTTTTTTTACAATGCATCGCACTAAGTATATTAATCAGTATATAACTTACGCTAGAATTGCTATAGATGCATATGTGCCATAAAATGCCCCAAACCACTGGAATATGTCTCTTCCTCGAGCCACCATCATAGCCATTTGCCTTTCTCTCATCTGATTCTGCATTTGTATCTGCCTCTCCAACTGTAATTATAACATTCTATGTATTCCAATACATACTAAATATAACATTTAAATATAATTGTTAGTTAATTTCCCCAATACACTGTACCAGTATAAGATAATGTGGGAAAGAATTTTCTATGGATCATTTTCTTTCTAAACTGAATACTGTAAAACACTTTTTAATAGCAAGAACTTTATTTTTTGCATAATTACACAAGACAATCTGCTTGCAAAAATTTCATTGTAGTGAACAATTGTATTGTTAAAGAATATAAATAATAACCTAAATTCATGAAAATTATAATATAACTTTTTTGCCAAAAATGTGTCAAGAATATTTTGCGATTTACAGTAAATAACATGGCTGCCATCCAAGGTCTGAGGCCTTCTGCTAGTGCTAGTGTACCATTTTGAGACAAACATTTTGCAACATGTTATACCCAAACACAAATAGGTCTGAAGACTGACATGGATATCCGAGGCTCTAATCAATGCAACACCAGTACTTATTCCTCAGAAATGTCCCAACATCATAGCGTTTTTTTTTTGTTTTTTTTTTAAATCTCTTTCAATGAAATGTTTTTGTTCATTATAATATAAAACTAGAACTTAAAGTACAAGGACTTGGGTAGATGATACATGCAGTCTGATCATTAAACTTAATCAAAATAAAACTGGACAATTGTGTTAGATGTCCTGAATTAAACATTTAATACCAACACATTATTTTGTGTCCTCGGAGGGACCAATTATGCTGGGATAAGCATGTATAATCATATTGCTCTCTGAATTCAGCTACCTTGACCATATCTATCTTAGTTCCACCTTCAGTCTATCAAGGAAGCTAGAGCTTCTGGCAATCTACCCAGTCACCATATATGTGCAGAAATGATCATAAAATCATATTCTCTTTTACTAAAAAATAGCTTACACAGATTTGAGAAGTTCCAATATCCCACAAAAGTACCCACACAGTAATTTCAATGTTTGAAGTTTCTATTTATGATGACAGAAGATAAAATTATGGTAAGTTGTATAATTAATATCAATTGTAGAATCTTACTGTTAGCTGGTTGACTTTCAGCATGAACTCCTGGTTTTTCTTCAAGTTCTCATCCATAGCTTTTCCCATTATAGACCCCATGGTTACTGCTGTGAATTGAAGATATACATATTTCTTTTATTACCGGTATTTAAACAATAAAATGCATACTTTGGTTGTTAGTATTGGAATTAATGTCGCAGCTGTTGCAGAAAAAATACATATCCCGCGTAAGCAGGTTATGTAAATTTTTTTCTGCAATAGATGTGACTTAATTCCCATACTAACAACCAAAGAAAGACATTTTATTGTTTATATTTATATCTGTATAAATAATCATTTAAAGTAATATTAAAAAGATTAATTATTGTATTATTGATATGTACATCATAGTACGTTTCATTGATGGAACAGCCACTGATCAAGAAATCTGTACAGGTGATATGCCTAGTGTTGTTCATGAACTGATAAATGGCAATGGGTTTCTTTAGAAATAAAGGAGAAAATATTCAGTGGATGTAAATATTTAATATAACTAGCCTACATAAAATTTGTAGAATGACATATACCCCTACACTCTGACCTCAAATGTTTCCTTTTCCATGAAATGTGTTTACCTGGAGGAAAAAACAGCTGACTTTGGTACAATATGTTTTTGAAATGATATAGGGCAATTAAATTTGTATCGATAATATCTTTAAAAATAGAAAATTTAAATGCACGAGTCTGCATGCATCAGCCTATTGAAAGCCATGTAGCAAGTGTCATTAACATCCAATACAAATTCCATGCCTTTTTTATCAGGCTGCTCAAACATATTGTTTCTATTTTCTTAATATTATATTAATTAAATTTCTATTAATAATCATGTTTATTACAGCATAATTTGTATTAATAGACATGATAAACCTAAATAATGCAAGCAAAATTTTGGGAATAAATGAACAGCTCTGAACTTGTCAAATACAGTGATACCCAACATTAATAGTGCATAAATTGTAAAAAATTATATTTAATGAAGCTATGCATTTTCAAAATATAGTCTCTGCTTCACATATGTAATGTGTATTTCATGATGCACCATTTTATGCAATATGTAATTATACAAACCTCTTAACTATGGATAATCAAGCATGGATCTGAAGGGGGGGGGGGTCCTGAACCCCCCCCCCTTTGGAAGCAAATAAAAAATGACTTTGGACCCCCTAGAAATCGTGGACCCAACAACCACCAACATGAAAAGCATTTTTCACGTCTGGGAAATGTTTTTTATGTTACATTTTTTTTTCTTTTTTGTTTTGTGTGGGTTTTTTTTTTTTTTTGCTTGTCAAGAAATTCTCCGGGTTGGATACGTTTGGGAAAGGAGTTTAGGTCTTGGAATTTTTTTTGATTGGGATGGATATGCAACATCCCTAATGTTAAAAGTTGCTCTAAATTTTAAATGCCTTAGATTTAGTTACAATTGTAGATCATGATTTAATGTAATGAGGGAGGGATACTGTTTTCTATTGAAATAATAATCAAGTACCCATACATCACTCAGGAAGTATGCCTATCTAGAATTTGGGGTTTAATATCATAAGCTTTTGAAGTGGATTTAATATAAAAGTATAAGTTAATACGGAAACAGTTTCCCTAAAATTGGTTTTTATTAATACTGCATCATGCATATGCAAGATACATCTGGTATCACTACTTGATGCCAATACATGTGTTATTAGTACCGGTATGTGCAATAAATTCAATTTACCTGAAAGAAAGATAAAATAAGCAACACAGTGACACAAAAAAGGGAAAATTGACAAAAATAGCATTCTTTCATGACCCCTGCACATTTTGTACAATTCTTGAAAGAAATAGGTTTCAGAACCTTAAAAATCTATGTTCTTAGACCTAGGATTTTAATCCAATCTTCTAATTAGTTCATCAGAACGTATTCCCTTACCTTTACATGTTGTTGACAATTTTTACACTTTGAATGAAAGTCCTAGCTGTGACCTTGACATGGGCAATATCGATACAGTAGATACAACCTTTGCTTTTCTGATACTTATATTTTGCAGCCTTTTCTTGCTTTACAGCGAAGATGATTTTGTCAAAACTTCACTATATATGCTCATATTTTTCATAAATCTCTACAAAGTTCATTAATTTCCCAGTGAACTTTTTAACTTGTTATTTATTACATGTACTTTATTTACATTTGAGATGAATATTCGAATAAAAATATTAACACAAACAACCCATCCAATCACTATACCATGACACACAGTGACCTAGATGTTATTAGATCATGAAAGTTCTCTTAGCTCCAACTTTTGAATTTTACACATTTATATCAATCAAATTATAGAAATCTTCTTACATGTATATATTGATAGCTAAAGTGATTGGTATTGAGGATTATTTTACTATTTTCTAATGAGTCCTTTATATGTGAAGTCGAAGCATTGGTATTTCATTGACTGTTATATTATAGTTTACATGCCTAATCAAAGGAATTTTGAGTTGAAAAATGAAAGCATGATTTGGGTGCCTTATAAATTTATGCTTTTATTCAAATCATTTGGGCACACATAAGGAATATTGAATGGGCAATGAGCATTGATTCTCTAACATGTTCACACAGAAATGAATGTATTTGCTTCTATGTAAAATACAGTCAAACCTCATTATCTTGAACTTGATGGGACTGAGAAAAAACTTTGATATATCCGAGGATTCAAGATATCAGGGGTAAAATACTTAAAGATTAAGTGGTTGGGACTTCCAAATCAGTTCAACATATCCATGGTATTCGAGATATCAGAATTTGAGATATCGAAGTTCAACTGTATTTGGAAATGTAAATATTGCAGTTTAAACCAGGGTCCTATATAGGTCCCTATTTAAACTAAGATGATTTATAAGAAGAGATTTAACAACACTCACCTGAATACTTTGTTTGGGAACAAGCAGAAATCAGTATTGAAAAAATTGAATATAAAAGTGTGGCCCCACCCTATCCATGGGAATAAATATGACCAATCATAGCTTTGCTACTCTTGAGAAGAAGATTTTTAAAGATTTTCCCAACGCATTCCTATGTAAAAATTTGATCGCCCATTGTGGCCCCACCCTACCCCCGGGGATCATGATCTGAACAAATTTGAATCTACACTACCTCAGGATGATTCCACATAAGTTTCATATTTTCTAGCACAGTGGTTCTTGAGAAGATTTTTAAATGATGCCATTAATTTTTCACTAATTCATAATTATCTCCCTTTGGAAGTAGCCATGGTTTTTCATTTGGACAACTTTGAATCCCCTTTATCCAAGGATACTTTGTGGCAAGTTTCATTGAAATTCGCCCAGTGGTTCTTTAAAAGAAGATGAAAATGTGAAAAGTTTATAATGACAGTGAGGACGACAGACAACAGAAAAATTTCGATCAGAAAAGCTCACTTGACCCTTTGACTCAGGTGAGTTAAAAAATGGTACAACATAAAAAAATGTTAAGGTTACAAACATGATTTTTTTATTTTTGAAAAATAGCAAAACATAAGCAGGGACCTATAAAGTATATACTTAGCATATAGGGTTAAAGGGGGCACACGCCCATGCATTTGATATACATATTAAGATTAATATAACTATAATCCATTTTTGTTGCTAGATGTTGCTTTATACTCCAGAGTGCTAGAGTTCACATCACAGGGGCGTCGGCAAAGGGGCGGCAGTCGCCGCCCCAATAATTTTGCAAAAAAGAAAAGAAAAAAAGAAAATTAATGAGAAATACAGAATAACAAAATTTGTAATGGCGATATCTGTGGTCAATGAAGGGGCAAGAATAACGGTAATTTGTGGTCAATGGAGTGGCAAAGTGTGAAAGCTATTGTTTGTTTACAAATACGCAAATACGGATGTACGTATATACATGTATCTGTACCTGGCATGTGTAAACACTAGCATGGTATCCATTGCTCGACTTGCAAGTTTGCTACAAATTCTTCTTCATGCCCACGGCTATAGCAACTTTTCTGGAAATTCTATGTTTTGGGGGCAGGGTGGGGTTCTCTAATTTTTTTTCGTTTCAAATGCTGGAATTTGCCTAACAGCAACAAAAAGTGTGTATGAAAGGGGGGGGGGCAAGCAGCATCTAAATGAATGAATTATTACTTAATCAAAACTTAAAGCCCAAAATAATAAGCACCGTCTTAGAAAACTGTACAGTTATAAAATCTTGGCCTTTAAGCAAAAAGACTATTCTCAGAAAACAAGTGGAGAAGTGGGAAAAAAATTGGAGGCGCCCCCCACCCCTTCCTGACACCAACAAGCCTGTTCATTGTCTAACCAATCGGAAGATCAGTGTTAGGAAATCTTTGATGGATCGAAGTTGTAAGCTATAAGTTAATGCAAAATACTAAAATACTGGGTAAAATTACTATTTAAACAACTTCAGTTGATTTTTATAATGTCACGTACATGTATTTCTGCATTTCAAAAATGCAGGTATTATGAGGATTTATCCCCCTGTTCATTTTAAATTTCATAATTATGCATTCTTTCGGCAAGTAACAATAAATATTATACAATAATAGAAAATTATATGAATTTTAATCTAAACCCTTCAAAGTTCTTTCTAGTTTCTATGACGTTTCGGAAAAAAAAATTAAACAAAATATCTCCTAGCTATTTAAAAATAACCCAGTTGTGTTTTATAATAGTATATGTAACTTAAAACACATTATGCATTTTTTTTTTTGGTTGCTGTTGCATATTTAATTGATCTTTTTTTAATCGGGATATACCTCTCCTCTAAGCTATTGACTTTAAGGAAAAAATGTCAAGATTTTGGTAGATATCTTAATTATTTAGTTTATGTCACCAAAAGTTAGTTAGGAACCCCCCCCCCCCACCTTTTCGATCCAGTTCGCCTCCCCAATGTGAAATATTTGCCGACGCCCCTGCATCAATATACTTTTGACTGGTTAACTGAGATTCTTACTTTCAAGTAGCTGCAGAACTGTAGCTCTCCCAAAAAAAGAAATATTGACAGACCGGAGAGCTACAGTGCCACCTTAGAAAAAAATGTATATTTATTGCACACAAAAAGTTGGTTCTGGATTTATTTCTCCAAATTCTTACTTGAAATGCACAAAAGCTCGATTTTGAAAAATTCCTTAGATTGACCTCTATCAACTACTTTCTTAGGACTTTGACATCTGCACGAAGCGCATTGGACGGAATAATTTGCCACCCAAAAAAGCAGTATAAATAAAATTTTTGATGGTTTCAATTTCAGGCCCAGGATGGTCATTAACAGTGGTTATATATAAGGAATGTTTTGTTGTGGAAATAGTAAAAGAAAATGTTAGGAACACACTGTAAGTAATATTTTGAGATGGCAGTTTAAAAAAAATATGGATATCTTTATAGAGATCCAAAATTACTGTAAAGTTACAGCTGAGTAAGTTAAATAAATAGTTTTTTAAAAACCCCTAAACACCCCCCCCCCCCATCCTGAAGCCACTGGGGGCCGGCCTTTAGGCCGCTCCAAGACCCCTAGCCTGTTTCTCCTTAAAAGAATCCTAGATCCGCCACCGGTATAATGTTTTTATTGTGAAATAAATTTTGGAAACACACATAAATGATCAGATGATAACAAAAAATGCACCTTTTGAAAAAATGCAATGAACGTGAAATAAAATGAAAAAATATGTATCAAGAAAAAAAAAAACTATATTTCTTTACTGAATACGTGACATCTTACCGTACACTGTGACCTTCTTTCTCTAGACAAAGAGGTATAATATGACAAATGCTTCCCAACGTTCTACTTTCTCAACTCGCAAAATCAACTGGTTCCCATTTGCACACGAAATCGTTCAGGTGCGAGTTGTTGAAATCTACGAAACCGGATGTAAATGATGGTGTGATGGTTTGATGCGTAATTTTGTCTACTAAACATTAAACAATGAAAGTAGTGTTTTTATGGAACCAACTTACTTTTGTTGGTATAATTGTTCTAGGTGAGACTCAAAATGTAAAGATGATACTATTGTTCTATTCAGTATTCTTATTCTCATACAGTAGTGAAGGAGTACTGTAACTGGTTTGAACAGCTTGGGCACGGCAGTGTCTATATACACGACCGTCGTGTACTTACTTCTTCGTCGGCTATTCGCACGACCGTCGTGTATATAATTTTTCATCGGCTATTCGCACGACCGTCGTGTATATAATTTTTCATCGGCTATTCACACGACCGTCGTGTATATAATTTTTCAATGACTATTTGCACGACCGTCGTGTATCGTATTTACATAACATAGCTTATGTCATTCGTTGTTTCGTCCCCAGTTAGGTTCGACACGCAGTGCCTTTAACCCTCGAAGCATTTTGGGGTGTGTGGGAGGGATGAGATGGTAAGAAAACATCAGAAAAACTTTCTTTTATAATATTAATTTAAATAGAAATGTAGATCTAGTTGGTAATATTACGGAAGCGTATTAGTGCCACATAATATATTTTTTTTTTTAAAGTTGGAAATTCCAACTTTAAAGTTGGTAATTCCAACTTTAATCTTGGCTTTTCCAACTTTAAAGTTGGCTTTTACTACTTTCATTTGAGCTTTTCTATAATTTTCTTTTATTATGTAATATTATTCTGTATATGAAAACACAAAGAAAATTATTCCTTCTTTCATCATAATTATATAAATGAATTGTTTACTTTCATTGTTATATTATAAACAGCAACGCGAGTCCAATTAACTATAAAGTATACGAATAAAACGCATGAAGCCCGAAAAAGTTGTGTTTTCCAACTTTAACGTTGGAATTTCCAACTTTATAGTTGGAAAAGTTAAGATTAAAGTTGGAACTTCCAACTTAAAAATTGGAAAAACCAACTTTTAAGTTGGAAAAGCCAAGAATAAAGTTGGAAATTCCAACTTAAAAAAAAAGTATTACGTGGCACTGATGCGCTTTATATAATTTAAACACTTAAATGAAAAATAATCAAGGACAAATCCAAATTTTTAAATTTAATCTTTTTAATCTTTTCAGTAAGACAAAAATATTTGTACAAATCTAATAGTAATGCATGTGCCCTCTCTTTTGAAAATGAAAATATGTTATGTATGCTGAAGTGAAATATAGGTCCAATGGGTCGGGGTGTAATGTAAATCTGTTTCTATTATAACTACTATTGTATTTGTGGTTATATACACATGTCATTATAATAAAATATTTACTTACTTACTTACTATTTTGGTGAGCTTGTGGTTTACCCCATCCACCTCAACCCATATTCACCAATTAAAGAGAGCCATAACGCATTTGATAGGCATTTTCGCCTACTCTAGTATTGATTTCTTAAATACACTTTTTAACCAAAATTTTGTCATACAACCTTAATTTATCATTTTTATACAAATATTATCTCAAATTAAACAATAATGATATTTATATGCTAATAGTTCTCGTTTAAAGCGGATGTTGAGTGATCACCCCCCCCCCCCTTTCCTATTTTTTTTTCGTTTCTAATCTTTATTTTTTTTTTAAAGAATTTTTTTCTTTGTTATGGCTAATAAACTGTTCCACTACATTTTTATGAAACTGACAGAAATTATATTACGATTCAGTTGTATTCTTTTTCACACTTGAATAGCTTATATGCCTAGTAGTATACCTATCCTCGTGCGTCCTCGTGTATTTTGATATCTCAATTTTATATGTAAAATATATAATCAATTCTCCACAAAAGAAATGGCTGTGGGGTCATAATATTTTAATCAGTTTCAAATAGAAATATGTAAATGAAGTAGTCTTCAAGTAGGTAGAAATTAGAAATAGAAAGACTGAAAGAAATGAGAGAGAACCATAAAGGGGGCACATTCATGTATCCCAGTCTCTTCAGACTAAAACTAATGCAATATGGTATCTATGTCCCAACCTGTTTCTGAACTTATGTATTTTAAGATCCAGATAGGGGAGGGAGTGTCTACGAAAGCTTTTTTTTTAAATCTGAAGTTGGAGTGTAGATCTTACACAGGTGTCTTTTCCTCATATGTTTTATAATTTTTCTTTTTATTTAACATGGGATAAAATTAAAAAAAAGTTGAAGTAATTAAATACATCAACATAACAATTAGTAGTATGTGAAACAATCAATTGCTTGCATTTCTATTTTAAAAAAGTGTCAATTCCATTTAATTTTTTTCAAAAACGACTAAACGTGCACATAAAACAAGAGATAGACTCATCTACACTATCAGCTCAAACATAATCTGATCGGGATCGGGTCATTTTTAAATTATCGATTAGTTTTTATTTTTATAAAAGTAAAATGTCCATTCATAATTGCAAACATTCATTTATTCATTTAATAACAGTATTTTACAAATGTTGAAAAAATATAACTACAGTGATTGTGTAGCCTAAACAACGTCGTGTCTTCAGGGACGTATGTGCGGTGTGAAATGTTTCGATCACACGACGGTCGTGTATACGGTCGTGTATATATCTCTGGAAATGTGCGATTGCTATTTGCACGACGGTCGTGTAAATAAATTTTTTTCTTACGTATGTGCACGACGGTCGTGTATATATCTCAGCAATATGCAATAGCTATTTGCACGACGGTCGTGTAAATAGACTTTCTTTACTATGTACACAACGGTCGTGTATATATCATCGGCCCTTGGGCACACACCACCTAATTGTTTGGTGGTCAATCGCCCGTATTGGAGTCGGTATTTACTGACCATTTGGGAGAGAAAAATCGTTTTGTTCAATTCCATGGAATGGCGTGAAATGGCGCATAATTTTAACTCGTGTGGAATAAAATAGAAATATAGACATTTATCGGTGCTCTGAAAAAAAAAAAAAGAAAAAAAAGGAAATTCACAGCGGAATTTTTTGCGCAGTGTCATTCAAATATTTTACAAAACTATCACCTAGGAAAACAAGTGCAACATTTCTCTGTTTTAACTTAAAAAGAAAAATTCCCTCCTTACAGAACATTGTTGCACCTGTTGATCGTGTTTCTTAATTTCTGTCATCTGGGCAACCAATCCAATATTAAATTTAAACCAATAAAAAATGATGATCTTTTTTCGAACCTGGTCAAAAGTCTGATTTAACTATGAAGGGAGATTAATGTCAATTTTTCAATGAGGAAATGAAAGATGGGAATTCAATTTTATTTTGTATGCGATGGCTTTATTCTTTATAAAAAAAAAAAGGGATATACAGTGAGATCTAGCTGCAGAACTGTATCGTTATGGTATTATATACAAGTCTTTGACCATAACGCTACAGATCCTGTAATACAAATGAAGTGCAATTTAGGGTGCAAAATTTTCTGCACACTGTATGGGAGAATTTCTTTCCAGCATTGGTCAATCAACTTTTTTTCACTCCCTAATCTTGTTCTGAATTTTTGTCGGATGGCAGAAAATTCAAAACAAATGAGTTTATTGGTCTGTAGAGACCACTATAAAGGGTTGGGAAGTGGATAAAACATACAGGTTGGTTAAAAAATGTGTCTAGGATTAGGGAGTGAAAAATAGTTGATTGACCTATGCTGGAAAGTGGAGAAATTGTCCCAAATAAAAATTTGCGCCATAAATTGCTCTTTATTTGCATTATGGAATCTGTAGCATTATGGTCAAAGACTAATATATAAAACCATAATGCTACAGTTCTGCAGCTACAGTGAGATCATGATATAATTATTGTTTCAAAATGATGTTATTAGAATAAAAACAAGAATAATTGGAACTGTCTCTTTGTGAATCTTTTATTCAAAATCATTGATTAAATAGCAGATTCATCATAAATATGCATACTGAACCACAGAAGGTAGCACAGAAATCGCAACTTCATCCTAAAAGAAAATAAAGAAAAAATGTTACATTCAAATGTAAAAAAATGAATACTGTAGCAATAAATGCCCACCATACCAATAAGGTATGAGGAGCTCGTGTTCAATAGGATTTTTAGAGATTTATATGGATAAAGATCCAAAGATCGATTGAAAGTTAACTTCTCAAGAGTTAAACCACTGGTCTAAGAATTTTTACCCACCATATTTGATTGATTGAGCAAGAAGTTTGGCTGTTATGGACAGCTGTAGGTATTGTTTTTATGAAGTTCCACGGAAATTACACATGGAAAATCAACCGAACTGTATTCATTGTGCAAGGAATATGTTAACTAAAATTTCCTGATGCATATGCCAATTTGTCTTTGCTTTATTTTAATAAAAATTGAATTTAAATAAAAAAGACCACCGTTTGGTCAGAAAACACCGACTCCGATACTGGCAATTGACCACAAAACAGGGTTGGCAAAAAACCGGGAAATACTCATGTTTCCCAGGATGGTGGGAAATACTGGTAATTACCAGGAATTACTGGTATTTCCCGGGAAATACTGAGAAATAAGAAATAGCTACATATTTCATAATTTTAATTTTATTTGTGGGGGGTATTGACATGTAGTACACCTTATTGGCTAAGATATCTACCTGGTATCACTGTCTCTGATTTAAAAATTTCTGGCATCCAAGTAATTCTTTTAATATAATCATAACACAGTATATTCATATACTAGTCATGAGTGTCATTTTATTTGTTTCATGTTTGAGTAAGATGAAGTCTATAAACTTCCATGAAATGAACCCAAAGATCCCTATTGGGTTTTTATGTAACTAAAGAAGGTTCCAAGAAAATTGTTAAATGTAGAGTGTGGTATAAATATCAAACCTAAGAAGAGGCTTTTCAGTTCTTCTCAAGGTAATTGTATCTCAAAACGGGAGCACAAAACTATCCACAGCAATTTGTTAAATCAATATGATACTCATTGATTATAAAAACTACAGATTTTATAGTAGGATTATAACAAGTGTGTTTTGTTCTTGGATTTATAATTAATAAACTTAATAATTTTACAAAACTGAAAAGAAATGAATTGGAAAATTTCTGTTTTGTTTTTAATATACAGCCAAGGAAATGTGTACAGCTTCAGAATGCTTATGGGTAGGGGACCTGGATTCTGAATACTGGTAATTATGTTAAACTGCAGTTTGAGACATATTCAATATTATTCATCATGCGCTTTTATATTAATTTTATTTCTGAATTTTGTATAAAATTGAATGAATTAAAGAAATAAAAAGTTTAATAATGTAGTATTTCCCAATATTTCCCAGTTTAGAGAAAATTTGTAGTATTTCCCGTGACGGGAAATACCGGTATTTACCACTGGTAATTCTCACTACTGGTATTTCCCGGCCAACCCTGCCACCAAATGGGGGTTAAAACACCATTTGGTGGTGTGTGCCCAACCTGATGAAAATGAATAAGGGAATATTTGTATGTGTAGAACCCTTAAATCTTTGTAGAATTGATATGTTGACAGTGTGACCGTTAGGGCAAGCGCAGATATGTGTATTACTGGATACCTATTCAGTTGCATTCATGTTGCATTGAGGGTTTCAAGGTTAATGTGGTAAAAAAATTCATTTGGATCAATATGTACAGTCTGAATTTTCTCTTCGCCCAGGTGATGCTTTAAGAGCTTGCAGTGTTGAGCAGCACTTTGCGCCTCTTGCTCTGCTTGCTATTAAAAAGTAAATGCCAGTTAAAAGAAATCTGGAGATCTAAAGAATGCTCCAAGGATTACTTGATTTTGCTAATAATTAAAATGAATTTTAATAGCATGATTGCTGGTTTCTTTTTAATTCTCTTTAATAGTAATTTTGTGTGGTATATGTATTAAAAACAAGGATTTTTTTTTCTTTTTTTCAGATTTTTTCCTCTATATGACAGATGGAAGCAGTTTTTTTCCTCACTTGAGTTTAAACTTAACAAGTCTTTGCAATGATGAGGCAATCTTTGAAGCATTGCCCAAGTACAGCATCATAAACAGTTCATGTACCATATTGTACAATCACAATAGAACTGTTTTAAATGACTTGAACAATGGCAAAGTGACTTATAGATTTAATGCCAGCAGTAACATTTTTAGAATTCCATTAAATGGGGAACATGTGTTATACAATGTTGAATTAAAATGTATGAAAAATGCTGGAAGTACAATGCAATATTCCAATTCTGTAGATAAAATTACAGGTATGTATATTAATGCAGTAGATGCATCTGCACCAGTAATTATATTTGAGAGTAAGTTATTACTAGTAAGTCTTTTTGATAAATGGTTAATGAAAATATCTTTGCTATTAATTTTACCTTATAAATTATCATTCTCTATTGCTTCATTTGTATAATATCCATATAACTAAGTTTTTAATAGTACATGTATATTTACTCTAAATATGAAGAATACTGACACAAGTAATCAGTTTTTTTAATTGAAATATAGATGTGCTAAATAGGAAAATCTGTCTTGAAACAAATCTGGTATTGTGAGAACTCAAATTTTCCATCCGTTCAAGATTATTTGTGTTTAATTGTATACTCCAAATCCATTCTTGCTTCATCATCACTCTTGCAAGTCCTTGGATTGAAGGTGATTTGTTATTGTTATCTTCCCCCTTTATCTATGGAAGGATGTAATTTATGTAATAAATCAAACTGACTTAAAAAAAGAGTTTTAACTTAAAAAAAACTTTGGTCAAAGTAGTTATTTTAGGAAGACAATGTTTGGCTGAATTTTCTTCCTTTGTTACAAAATTCTGCTCAAACTTGATTAATGGACATGGGCAGGCAGTTTGAGGTGACATTGAATCAGATAAAAAATTGTTTATCTGACAGTGATATACATGGCCTTGATATTTATTCTTCAAGTCTGAAGTTCAGGTACAAAACTTTGTGTACTTACCGGTAGTTAATATACTAATTCATGATCATCATAAAAATGTATAATTAATGTTTCAGGCCCTGAACAAAATATGTGAATGCCTTGTTCTAATCATGTCTATCTGTCCATCAAAACTATTATGTGACTGTATTGACCTGAGTTTCAACTTGTAGACAAACTTTTTTCTACACAAGAAAAGAGGAAGACACCTATAAATGTAGGGGTCACCTTATCAAAGGTCTGATAATGACTCAATAAGATTATGCTTATGGAAGTAGTACTGGTAAATGGGTATCTTTCTGCAATTTGAATTTTTTATTGTTTTTGTCCTGTCTGTCTGTTTGTCTGTTGTCAACTTTAACCTTGCCCATAGCTTTTGTTTGGCTGGAGCTATGACTCTCATACTTCACGTGTATTCCTTGTAACAAGACCTTTCTTTGGGTACCATCATATTTGTCCTTTTGACCTTGATCTTGGAGGTTGACCCACTTTTGCAAAATTTTATGAGACTTTAACCTTGGCCATAACTTCTGAACAGTTGGTGATTGGGGTTTCAAACTTCACATGTGTATTCTTTGTGACAAGGCCTTCCTTTGGATACCAGCGACTTTGACCTTGACCTTGGAGTTTGATCTACTTTTGAAAAACTTTAACCTTGGCCATAACTTTTGAACTGTTGGTGCTTGGGGTTTCAAACTTCACCTGTGTATTCCTTCTGACAAAACCTTCCTCTGGATAACAACCTCTTTAACCCTTTGACCTTGACCTAGGAGTTTGACCTACTTTTGAAAAACTTAAACCTTGGTCATAACTTTTGGATGGTTGGAGCTAGGGCTTTCATACTTCACATATGTAATCCTTGTGACAAGACCTTCCTTGGAATACCAACCACTTTGACCTTTTGACCTTGACATAGGAGTTTGACCTACTTTTGAAAAACTTAAACCTTGGCCATAACTTTTGAATGGTTGGTCCTAGGGCTTTCACACTTCACTTATGTAATCCTTGTGACAAGACCTTCCTTTGGATCCAAACAACTTTGACCTTGACCTTGACGTTTTACTTACTTTCAAAAAACTTAAACCTTCGCCATAACTTTTGAACAATTGCAACTAGGGCTTTCAAAAATCACAGGTATATTCCTCGAGACAAGACCTTTCTTTGGGTACCAACATTTTTTATCTTTTGGCCTGGATTTTGACTTGCATTTGAGAAACTTTAACCTTCGCCATAAGCTGCCATACAGGGGCATCAGTGTTTCACAAACACATCTTGTTTACATTAATTATTTTGGAAACTAGAATGCTTTGTTTTGAATAAATTTATAAATGTAAAACTTTAACTTAGTTGACTATACAGTAGAGAAGAGATTGGATCCTGTGATTTCATTACTTGCAACAATTATGGGTAGTTCAATTTCAGTTGTGTGATTTTAGAAGAATGCATTGATTTTTTATTACAATTAATTGTAAAAATCATACAGAACATTCACTTGAGCAATTTTATATATGGATTTTTGAAGAAGGAAATCTTTCATTATATTGTAGCTGCATGCCACAGAGATCAAGAAGTTATCACTACCACTGAATCAGAGGTGATCTATAAAGAACATGCCATTTTCTCTTCCTCTGTTCAGGACATTGTACTTGGGATTGTGTTCAGTGTGCTGGCTCTACTGATTGTGTTTGTGACAGTATATTATCAGTACAGAAGGTATCGTAGACAACGCAGAATGCAGCAATATCTCAGGTACCACCTTACTAGGGGTGAAACGATACACCTCCTTCACGGTTCGATACGTATTGTATAATTTTGTCTCGGTTCGGTTATTTTCGATACGATACATTTTGATAGAAGGAAACAAATTCTACGTTGTTTTATGCTTTCTTTTTCTAAATCTAGTCACATATTTTACGAATTTTATTTGCAAATTGACTAGAAGAAATTGATTAAAATTATTTGACTGTCAAAAATTATTTTACAAGCTATCAGTCATCAAAAATTTACGTTTTCTATACTTATTTATACTGAGTAACGTGTTATACCTTATGCCAAACCCGACTGAATAACGATCCCGACCGAAAAATGAACCGAACCGAAAATTAGAGATTTTGCACCGTGTATCAAACCGAGAAAAAATACTGCGGTGCATCGATACCGCGGTGAACCGTTTCACTCCTACACCTTACATAAGTCTACTTTGCATACAGACTTCATATTTTTATTAGGTCACCTGAGTCACTCAGGTGACCTATTGCTATCCGTTCTCGTCCGTCGTCATGCGTCGTTGAACATTTTTAGCTTCTTCTCTGAAACCACTTAACCAATTTCAACCAAATTTGGCATATAGCATCTATGGGTGAAGGGGAACAAAAATTGTAAATTTCATGGTCCCTGCCCCCCCCCCCCCCCCCCCCCCCCCCCCCTGGGCCTGAGGGGTGGGGCTAAAACCACCAAAAATAATGCAATCTTTAAAAATCTTCTTCTTTACTCCTGGACATCAAGCAGTCAAACTGTTGGCATCATTGTAATAAGCATTGAGCCCTCTACCAAAATTGTGAAATTCATGGCCCCAGGGTGGGGCTATATAGATCATGTAGTGAAAGTGCATTATTTCTTTGAAAATCTTCTTCTCTGCTCCTGGGTATTAAATAAAGTAACTAAGTACATAGTTATGAAGAGCAAGAGTGCCTCTTCCAAAATTGTGAAATTCATGGCCTCAGGGTCAGGGGTTCTGGTGTTAGGGTGGGGCTCTATTGATTATATAGTGAAAATGCATTAATTCTTTGAAAATCTTCTTCTCTGCTCCTGGGTATTAAATAAAGTAACTAAGTACATAGTTATAATGAGCAAGAGTGCCTCTTCCAAACTTGTGAAATTCATGGCCCCAGGATCAGGGGTTCTGGTGTTAGGGCGGGGCTCTATCGACTATATACTATATAGGGAAAATGCATTAATTCTTTGAAAATCTTCTCCTCTGCTCCTGGGCATTAAGGTGATAAACTAAGTACATAGTTATGATGAGGGGGTTAATTAGTATAGGGACAGGGCTATTTTCTGGAGTAATGAACCTAGCTCTTTTGTACAGAGGTGCTTTACTGTAACAGCAAGACACCTATAGATTTTTTGGATTTGTCTGTCTGTCAACACTTATTGTGATGCGATAACTCAAAAGGTTTCTAATGATTTTTTCCCCAGATTTTATACATTAGTAACAGTATTTTACTTTAAAAGCAAGATACCTACAGAGTGGAGGGTCATATCAGTTTATCTCTCTGTCTGTACATATGTTCGAATATATATCCATACTCTATTGTCAAACAGTTTTCAATGTAACATTTTCAAATTTTACACAGAACTTTACTATAAGAGAAAGACTGTGATAAATCTAAGGGTTATATCACTTTGTCTGTCTGTATGTTTTTATGCCTGAATATATACATGTATCTTCGAAGTCATTAAACAGCCCTTAGTGGGACCCTTGCTTTCTAGTTTTTATCCTGGGTCGGGTGAGAGGAAAACAATTTTCTAAAGATTAGCTAACCCAAGAAATTTTTTGCATATGATAATATAATATATATCTTCATGTATAGGACATTAAAATTGATGTTCTTTCCCAAGGTCTAACAACAAAGTGATTTTTTAATGAAAGTTTGTCATTTGAGTTCTGTATATATTTTAGATTCTTAACAATGATTTTATTTAAGAAATGAATTTAATAGCTACCCAATTTATACGGTATAAAGTGGGTTGGGGCAGTTTACGCTTTATAAACCGCTTCGCGGCTTATAAAAAAGGATAAACTGTTCCAACCCACTTTATACCGTATAAATTGGGTAGCTATTAAATTCATTCCTTATAATTTAATTTTCATTCATTTAGTGTAAGAAAAAAGATGTTTGCTCATAAAAATGACTTCAAATTGTACAAAATTTAAATGTAATGTCAGGCGGATCGATACGTTTTTGACGCAAGTCATTGTGACGTAGGCAACCCAATTTATACGATATAAAGTAATTTTTAGCTCACCTGAGCCGAAGGCTCAAGTGAGCTTTTCTGATCACATTTTGTCTGTAGTCCGTCTGTCTGTCTGTCTGTCCGTCTGTAAACTTTTCACATTTTTGACTTTTTCTCCAGAACCACTGGGCCAATTTCAACCAAACTTGCCACAAAGTATCCTTGGGTAAAGGGGATTCAAGTTTGCTCAAATGAAGGGCCACGCCTTCTTCCAAGGGGAGATAATTATGAATTCGAAAAAAATTAATGGCATCATTAAAAAATCTTCTTCTCAAGAACCACTGTGAAACTTATGTGGAAGCATCCTCAGGTAGTGTAGATTCAAGTTTGTTCAAAGCATGACCCCCGGGGATCGGGTGGGGCCACAATGGGTGATCCAAGTTTTACATAGGAATATATAGGAAAAATCTTTAAAAATTTTCTTCTCAAGAACAGCAAAGCCATGATTGGTCATATTTAAATGGAAGCATCGTCAGGTAATGTAGATTCAAATTTGTTCAATTCATGCGCATTATAACTAGAATTAAATTATTATAGAATAACTGTAATAAATTGTGAATATAAGGTTTAAGATGCTGCAAGTAACATATGTCTTAGATAAGTATTCTGTTTTGTTCATCATGAAATTCTCATACATATTCCTCTTGGGCATTGTAGCATGATTTTCTTGGAGGAATGTCATCATCACTAACTTGCAATAATGGTATAATTTTTGTTATTTGACCTATTTTACAGTTTAATGCACTTAAGATTTTTTTTCTTCATTTTTCAGTACCCCACACACAGATCCATTTGAACGACTACAGGATCATATGGAGGAATAACTGGTCCATAATTGTTCACCACCATTTTTATCAAGGAGTGACACCACCATATCTATCAAGTAGTAACACAGGTTTCCATCAAGCAGTGACACCACCATTTCTGTCAAGGAATGATCTATATGCAGTCCCAGTTTCTATGCTCCCACAATAAAAGGGCCGGGCATATAGTGTTATCCCTTTCCATCCGTCATTCATTCATAGTTAGTTTTCCATACTTTTTTATGCCCCCGTATCGAAGATTCGGGGGTATATAGTTTTTGCCCTGTCCGTGTGTCTTCTGTCTGTCTGTTTGTCCGCAAAAACTCTAACATTGCCCATAACTTTTGATTGATTGGAGCTATGGCTTTCATATTTCACATGTGTATTCCTCGTGACAAGATCTTTCTTTGGGTACCACCATACATGACCTTTTGACCTTGATCTTGAAGTTTGACCCAGTTTTGCAAAATTTTATCCAACTTTAACCTTGGCCATAACTTTTGAACAATTGGTGCTAAGGCTTTCATACTTCACATGTGTAATCCTTGTGACAAGTCCTTCCTTTGGATACCAACAACTTTGACCCTTTGACCTTGGAGTTTGACCTACTTTTGAAAAACTTTAACATTGGCCATAACTTTTGAACGATTGGTACTTAAGCTTTCATACTTCAAATATGTAGTCCTTGTGATAGGACCTTTCTTTGAATACCAACAACTTTGTGACCCTTTGACCTTGACCTTGGAGTTTGACCTACTTTTGAAAAACTTAAACCTTGGTCATAACTTTTGAACGATTGGTGCTTCAGTTTTCGTATTTCACCTGTGTATTTCTTGTGAAAAGGCCTTTCCTAAGACACCATTAATTTTGACCATTTGACCTTGACCTTGATGTTTGACTTACTTTTGAAAAACTTAAACCTTTTCTATATCTATTCAATGGTTGCTACTAGGGCTTTCATATTTCACAGGTATATTCCTAGAGACAAGACCATACTTTGGGTACCAACATATTTGATTTGCATTTGAGAAAGTTTAACCTTTGCTCTAAGTTGCCATACGGGGCATCAGTGTTTCACAAACACATCTTGTTTGCTATGCTTATAGATAATGAGCTGATTTTTGGTATGTCTCTTGATATTAATGACTCAGAGATCAAGGGTGTTTCATATTGGTAGACCCATTTTTATGCCCCCATATTGAAGATTCGGGGGTATATAGTTTTTGCCCTGTCCGTCCGTCTGTCTATCTGTTTGTCCACAAAAACTTTAACCTTGCCCATAACTTTTCATTGGTTGAAGCTATGGCTTTCATATTTCACATGTGTATTTCTTGTGACAAAACCTTTCTTTGGGTACCATCATATTTGACCTTTTGACCTTGACCTTGGAATTTGACCCAGTTTTGCAAAATTTTACCAAACTTTAACCTTGGCCATAACTTTTAAACAATTGGTGCTAGGGCTTTCATACTTCACAGGTGTAATCCTTGTGATAAGACCTTTCTTGGATACCAACAATTTTGACGTTTTGACCTTGACCTTGGAGTTTGACCTACTTTTGAAAAAACTTTAACCTTGGCCATAACTTTTGAACAGTTGGTGCTAGGGCTTTCATACTTCACATATGTAATCCTTGTGACAAGAACTTTTTTTGGATACCATTAACTTTGACCTTGACCTTGGAGTTTGACCTTCTTTTGGAAAACTTTAACCTTGGTCATAACTTTTGAACTATTGGGGCTTCGGCTTTCATATTTCACCTGTGTATTTCTTGGGAGAAGGCTTTTCCTTGGGCACCATTAATTTAGACCATTTGACCTTGACCTTGATGTTTGACATACTTTTGAAAAAACTTTAACCTTTTTCATATCTCTTCAATGGTTGCTGCTAGGGCTTTCATGTTTCACAGGTTTATTCCTCAAGACAAGACCTTACTTTGGGTACCAACATATTTGATTTGCATTTGAGAAAGTTTAACCTTTGCTATAAGTTGCCATACGGGGGCTTCAGTGTTTCACAAACACATCTTGTTACAGATGTTATGGCCCTTAGACTATGAACATTTATAATGATTTTGTTCTTTCTGGACTTTTATTTGCTGTGCTTGTAAATAATGAGCTAATCTTTGGTTTTTCTCTTTATGTTGATGACTTAAGATCAAAAAAGAGTTTCTTATTGATTGACAAATTTTCTTGAAAGTTATGGACTGGTCCTTAAATTTGAAAATGTCTAATTATTCACTGTTTTTGAGATGTTTTATTGATTTGCTTGTTAGTGATATTTTATTTTTGTGCCATTTCCAGCCATTGTTATTTTCACACTCTTCATTGTACTTTCACATATTTAAAACTTGCAAGTTAGTGGGGGGCATTCTTGTCACACAGACACATGTAGTTTTTTTTATTATATCCACCAAAGTGTGCTTGCATGATGAAACACATGTAGAGTCATGCTTTGTTAAAATGTTTATTGTTAATATGTACTTTCCATAGTCTTTCATACACAAAATTATAATATGCTTCTGTTATTTATGCCCTTTTTGACATTTGTATTATTTTTGTGTGAAGTTTCTCTCTGTTGATTAAATTTAACATAATCTAGGACAAAAATTGCAATTTTATCTGGAATTTTTTTTTATCGTTTTTGAATAGACATACTTTGCAGGTAGAAGGGGAAAGGGAGATGTTATCCTCAGCCATGTTAAAAGCAAATTCTGCAAATAGAAGACCTTTCTATGAAATTATAAATTTGTAGACTCGTGTGAAAACATTTATAAACTAAATGGACTATCTTTTTCAAAACAGAAGGTGGCCAAAATTAAATATTTCAATCATTTCAACAAAGTTAAGTTGAATTATGGCCTTATTAAGTGATATGTGATGTTTGATTGAAATGTACATTTATTGGCATTATTAAGTGAGTCTGTAGATAATTTGATGTTTGATTTATATGTACATTTATTTAATTTCTTATAGAAATATGTCATGGAACATGGTAAATTATTTAATATTGTGTTCATGGGTGATTTTTAACTCATAAAGGTTCACTACAACAATTTTGAAAGATTTCAATTTACAATTGAACAATCACTTAGATTCACTAGGCTAATGGAGAAGCTGTGTTTTATCTATTATAATTATGGTTGTTTGATGTGAGCAGTAGGTACTAGTGTACACTGACCTGTAACTTCTATGCTATTCTAACTGATGCTTATTGGCTGTTATAGGATAAGTGTTGACTGTAGAATGAATAGAAATCAGGAAATATCTTTGTTTTATACTGCTTGTCATTCTTCTGATGTAGCATAATATACAATGTATTTCATTAATTAACAAATTAATGTGTAAATGTTTGCCAAGTTTTAATAATTTTTTTGTGCCACATAATAATCCCACTCTACATACTAGAATTTCATCCAGTTTCTTAGTTATATGACAGTAGATTTTTCACATTGGCAACATGCTTGATTCTGCCCAACACTGTTGGCCATTGTTAACAATTTTCTATTTATCTAAAATGATTGAATAAATTCACATAAAGAAAAAATAGCTTGATAAATGTTGCATAGATTAGAGTCCATACCTGTTTCAAGTTATTCATTTAGAAAATGTGCCAGGGTTGGGGGATGAGCTTTGAGCTTTTGTCTTTTAAGTGCATTGCAGAAATCCAAGATTATGCTTTGTTCCTCTCTCTATCACAAGTTCCTCTCTCTATCACAAGTTCCTCTCTCTATCACAAGACGGAGAGTAAGGAATGAAGTGTAAATCAATGATGATTAATTGGTATAAATCTAAAATATGTCTGAAGCTTTCATGAAAACAATGATATTTTTGAATGTTTTTTAAGACATTCTTTGTCTTGAGAATTGTCCCCCCAATTACTTTGGTCATATATTTATGTAATTTTTCAAAATACATTCCAATTTTTACACTTGTATAATGTATACTGTTACTATGACATATTAACCCCCCCTCCCCCCCCCCTAAAAAAAAAGGGGTAAGAAAGGCCGAGTGATTTTTTGTGTGTGTGCAATAATATGTGATTAGTCATTACAAAAATAACGTAACTCAACTTTTAGTGTAAAAACTCTACCAATTTCAATACATACACATTTCTTTCGTAGCACTTTAGTTTCATTATTGAATAATTTTCATGCTAGCGGTCTTAATTTTACTTATTGCTGTTGTCAGATATTTGTGTAATTTATACCAAGTGGTTCCTGTTAATGGTAGCTTGTATTATTGAGGCCAGTTTGCAATTAAATGTTATAGTACATGTATCTAGTGAGCTGTACAGATTAAGGTTATGCAGCATAGAGAAGAGGGCATATTTTTGAATTGCAATCAAAAATTCTGTTATGGCATTGTAACAAAAGAAAAATTATTTTGGAGTTATTAGCCCTGAAATTTGATGATTTTTGCAGTATCAGCATAAACTTTTTCAAAAATTATCTCCAAAAAAACTATTTACTGATTTTTCTGAGGATATCAAGTATTTATGTGGGACAAGTCCTTGACAAATAAACTTTTTATTGAAATGAAAAACAATACTTTAAATTGAACATATGGGTAATATAAGAATTTTTGCTAAAACTCAAAAAATACAAGCTAATTCAAGGAATGTTCTCTGCTTAAGGCCAGGGACCTGTTTTTCAAAGGGTTGTTAAGTTAACACTGAATTGACTGTTAATACAGTGTTACCGGTAAATCTTAACCAAATGGCACATTTATGGTTAGTGGGCCTTTCTAGGTCTTTTTAAAGTAGATCACACAGGTACCTCAACCCTCCAAGACAATATCACTTCCTTATTTCTTCATCAGTGAGTCCTTGTAAGCTGTTAAATCCACTAAATATATGCACTTTCATAACTTTTTGGTGTTGGAGTGGCATGAGCATTATGCAGGTGGCCATACTTAACCACTGTGATAAGTTTTAACACAGGTACTAAAGGTAAATTAAAGTTAACGCAGAGTTAACACACGGTTTGACCTACACACTAAATTTTAACCATGTAGTTAATTTTAACAAGAATTTTAACACAGATTTCACATTGTTAAGGTTAACCACCTTTTGAACAGCTGTCCCCAGATCTTATTCGATCTGTAACAATATACTTATTAAGCTTGTGACCTTAACCTTTGACCCATTCACTCTACAGATAGTTTGGACTTTCAGCTGTTATTGACAAAGAACGACGTAAGCTTTGTCCTTTGATCGTAGGAAACAATGTTTGCACCAGCTGAACCACAGGCGCTTGACGTTTTTAACCTTTCTTTCCATAAATAAAAAATCCCCCATACTATATATTGACGTTTTTAACCTTTCTTTCCATAAATAAAAAATCCCCCATACTATAATTATAGTATGGGGGATTTTTTATTTATGGAAAGAAAGGTTAAAAACGTTAAGCGCCTGTGGTCACGGCATTACACTGTTTGACAGTTTTGATATAATGCGTAAATATAAACACGTCTCCGTCTAAACCCCATAGTCCAAACTATTGATTTGTAAAAGAAATAGTCTTTGCCTTAATTTTTTTTCATTTCAAAATCTCAAATTGAGCTAAGCTTAATCTTCAGGAAACGGTTTCCTATAGTATATGAATTTGTGACTTTGACCTTTTGACCTCAAAATTAATAGGATTCTTTTTATCAGTCGTAGGGAGAACTTTATGATATGAAATTTCATTGTAAAAGCTTGAGTACTTTCAGAGATATCATCTGTAGACTAAAGTACTGTATTCCAAAATGACGGACACACAGGGCACCCCTTCCCCCACTTTCCCAGAATATATTTTTGGTATAAAATGTTCATTCAGAGGCCGCTCCCCTCCTTTTGTTGCAGCTTATGTATTTAAAGATCCCAATTTTTGGCTAAGATAATTATCATCGTCGCAAACCACGGTTTTGAGTCCACAAGCTCCCTCAAACGAGAGATGATAGCGACTCGTCCGTGGGTTACCAACGATGAGTCTATGCAGACGGGTAATTTTTTTTTAATGACTATAGCCAGGTGAGCGATTCTAGCTCCTGTGAACCTCTTGTTTTTCTTCCTATTAAAACTTTTATTAGATTCTTTCAAATTAACAGGGCCCTTTATTTCGATTCTCTTTTTAATATATCTTTACTCATTGTCCTTTAAAAGAAATCTTAGATACGTTTATTGATTTAATTATTTCTGGTGTATATATCTACAGTGTACCCCACCCCAACTGATCTTGACAAGGAATGATAACTCTCGAGTAGAGATCGGACAAGGGGTGATAACTTTGTATCTTAGTGTGTATATTGCCTGGCTTTTTAATTTACGTGGGTGGCTTTGTTCGATTTTCTTCATATCAATCCAACTTTAACAATTTTTGACCGGGGGGGGGGGGGGTACCTTAGTTAATGTATAACTAATAGATTTTCATACCATATGTATCCCCTTCGAATGATGCCAAAAAGATTTTCGAAGAGAGCGTTGTTGTACAAATTGCAATGTTACTATTGATTTACTCTTAAGTTTCTTTCCCTGTTGATAATACCTTTGAACTGTAAATTGTTTTTAACTGGAATTCTTTTTTTGCCGTTAGTTGAAAGTTGCGTGCAAAATTGGTTTTACTATGGATTATTTTTAAATGGATGCTTCCAATATACAAGTTTATGTCAAAACTTTTTTGACAACAAACCCGGTAATATGAATGAAGTTCTTTTCTTTGCTGACCTTTTACGATTCTTAAATAATTTGTTTTCGTATAGGATTTCGCCAGGTAATCAAATATGACTTTTAAAGTGAATAGATCACGATAACTTCAATATAATCAGGCGGTGTTGCGTTAAGTAGCATATACCGTCTTTTCAAACTTGTGTACAAATGCTATGAATTATTAACTTTCATTTTGAGGGATTGATTGACTCTGTTGGTTTGGTGTTGACTTGTTAGACATTTTTAAAGTAATGTTTGCCCGAAGAATAGCAACGACTAGTGAATTGAGATCAAAGTTAGTGTTGATTATTGCTGGAGTGCCCACTGGCTTTAATACATGAAACAAACAATAACTAAGTAGTATGTAAATAAGGAATGCTAGATAAGAAGAGGGTGTTCAGATTGGATATCAATATTTACGTGTTAAATTACTTATTGATTTGAATGACCGACATATGTCTGTTACTAACAAGGATAGATTAACCTTCTGGGATTTTATGGAGAATTTTTGATAGTTAAAAGGTGAGAGAGATAGACCGAAGTCACCTACAGGAACTGACAATTGATTTTAAAAGCTTCGTGTGCTTTGATAAAAATATTCTACTAATATTCAAATCTTGTCACAGTTCAAGTCAGAAGAATGATATCAGAAAATGTGCCAAATACACAGGGAAAGTTTAATTTTGAATCGAAGGTGCGCGACAGAAGACTTTCGGATATACGCCGAGGGCAACAATATTTGCGCCGCATTGACAATTTAGCAGAGACGCAATGGAAGTCAAACGAACCCAGGTTTGGACATATCCGACGTGCAAACTATGTTACGATAAGACCTATTACAGATTCCTTGCATTCCAAAACTCAGAACGAGAGATTAATGAAAGACAGCTTAAAAGATGAGCTTTATACATCTACACCTAATCAACGGGCTCAGTCAGAGCGAGTGCCATCCATACGAGATGCCTCAATGCAGAGCAATTTTGAAGACAGTCAATTTTTTCGCTCAAGTCCAAGATCCAAATTAAGTCTCCCTGATTATATGGTTTCGCCTGGAGGTAGACAAAAATTCTTGGAGCCTATACACAGAAATCCCTATAATAAATACGGGTCAAGTTATAGTCCATTGGACGAGAAAACGGAATTGACACCAAAGGATATGGAACCTAGATATGAACCAATTCGATTTCGTGAGACCAATGCTAGAGTCGTGAAACCTCTGCCAAAGAAATATGTTCCAATGAGTCGGGTCGGAAATGAGGAAAAGGATCGGCCTTTGAGATATGACACAAATTTTAGATCTACTAGAAACGGTGTTCTAAGCGTAATTCATCCGCCAGAGATTTTTCCAGATTCAGCAAGAAAACACACCTTAGATTCCATATCTCCTCAAAAAGAGGTGAACAACGAGAAAACGTTCATTCTCATGCGTCGCCTGGATCATTTTCTTAATCCAAACAAGAAAGAAAAGTCTAGTTTAGGATCTAGCGAGGAGGATCTGCCGCCATCTAGATCACCCTGTGTCTCTGACATTTCTGATGACGTCCCTTCAGAATACCAGAGAATTACAAGCAAAGCTAGAGGAACCCAAAAATCAGTGTCGTTTCCAAGTAACATGTCAACAGAAAAACCCGTATATCCTATGTACCACAAAAATTTACACAATGCCAGGGTCAAGAAGAAAATTTCTTCTTTTGGTGAATCTTTAGCGGAGTTGAACAAAAGACCGATGGACTTGTTTAAAAAATGCCGTATTTGGGCAAATACATGTTCCCAGTACACCTCCACTTGATGAAGAATCTCCTAAATTATCATTTATTGATTTTTTTCTGGAAGAATAATGATGTAGCCTAGCAAATTACCGAGTTACATGTTTTAAAAACATCACACCTCAATTTGTGCAACTAGATATAAAATTTCTAAAATCTTTGGTCTATTTTATTCTTTTAAATGATTACCAATACGTGTAGTAAAAGAATTCACCACAAACAACATCGATGAGATTTATTAAGATATTATGGTCATCATTATGGTGTAATATAATATAATGAAGGAGTAGACGGTTGAAAAATCTCCTAAATTACTCAGATACACAGAAAGCTTGAGCATACATTTGAAGTTTCGATGTGTCATAAATTTTGGCAAGTGTTTAAAAGAATACTGGTGTATTGATTTGGAATGGATATTGTGTAATATATTTTATTTACAATTGGAAAGAAATCTATTTGACAACCATTCAGAGGAAACAAAAGAACACATTAAGAATTTTCTATGATTTTTTTTAAACAACAGAATTCATTTTTAAATTGAGTAAAATATTGCAATAGCGTTTCTATATGCAAATATTTTATCATGACTAGAGTATAAACTATCGAATAAGGTCAGCAGAAATAAAAGAACATCACGTTAATAGAATAGAATTTAAGAAAAGTATTTTACTAAATGGGAAAATTATTTCGTTTAACTACTGGTATTTTAATGATTCAATTTTAAAAGATATTCAGCTTAACAAATAATAAATTAATAAAATTGGCCATTAAACCGCCACACAATAAGCTGACTAATAAATATTAGTTCTATATATGAAAAATAAGGAATGGTGTATTACAGGATTCATGGTTGAAGTATACATGTGCCTACATGTACTAGGAAATTTAGGCTAATATAGTTTCCCAGACGACTGAGTTGGTCAATGTACTACTGCCTCTATGCCCGAAATTTAGTATCAGATTTCAACAAAACTCCAGCAGATTGTTGGTTATTTGCTTTTTTAGGGCTGCTCAAGTCGGAAAATATAATGAAGTATAATGCAGGATTCCAAACCAGGGCATTATTTATTGAAGCATCTGTTCATAATAAGACATAATACATATACGAGTGTCTATAACATGACATATGCCCAATTTATTTTGCCATTTTTACACACCCAAACCGAAAAAGGGGAGGGTGTAAAAAATACATATCTTTGGCCCTAAGCCTTTGGATTTTCCAGGATGCAGCAGTCTTTGTTGAGGAATCTGAGACTAAAATTGCCTCCTTCTCTTTTTCCCTTTTACTTAATTCTTGATGACAATTTATTATTTAAGAGAGACAGATTGTGAGAAAAATGCTTGTACACGTTATTTAATTTCTAGCTTTCCCAGGAACACCTGTAGACCCTGGGATTTCCTGATAAAAATGTTATTGTAAATGAAGTATCCAGTTTTCTTTGCGCGAAAGCATGGTCTTTTTAAAATCGAATACAGGAGGCAAATATACATTTTAAATGTGATGAAATCTCTATGCAATCTATGGTATTCACGCATGTAACCTGTCTTTTATTATTACTTCTTTTTTCAAATCTGAATGGCAATATGTTGTGAAATGTTTGAAAAAAAAAAATTTCTGTTCAACAAAATTGAGAAAGATTCACGAGAGACAGCCTCCTTGAATTCATTGCAACTTATATTTCAGGACCCATTTAACTATAGCAATTGAGTTTGAAATATCTATTCCATGTATAAAGTCAAAACTTCATGAAATATAGTAATATGTTCCATACATTGGGATACAGAAATTTGGTGCACATGCACACACTGCACACATACCAATGCATACTAAAGATTTATTTGTCACCAAATATAAAATGCTTATCTTACAAAAATCCGACCCCCCCCCCTTTTAACGATTTCTCGGATTGATGAAGCAGTAGATATAGTTTGTCGAGAGATTTTTAATATTTGCAAGTGTGATGCGCCCTTCTGGTTGCACTGTCCGTAAGTTGAGACCTCGAAATACTGACTACAGAAAGAATACGGTTGCAGGGAATTTATTTCACGGAGTTTCAGACGAAAATACAAGTTGATATGACCGACCTACAGTGTGTGGCCATAAGTGAGTCATAATTGTGTTTCATTGAAAAACCATTTTTTATAAAAACTTATGATGTCAATTTTAGCCTAGTTTCCATGATTTCTTCACTGAATCATGCAGAATTGTTCAAATTTTCTTGTCTTAAAATGCTAAACAAAATGTTACACTAATCATTGAGAATAACTTTGAAATCATGAAGACAAAAATTTCTATCCTCAAATTACCATGATTTCTTAAGAAATTAGAGTCTTAAATAAAATATTATTTCCCCCTACCAAATATGATCGGGTTCGTGAAACAAACTTGTTAAGTTTCAATATGTCAGATTGGTTTGTTTTGGTTCTCATATCAAATGTATTTTGTTTTCAAAGTTTTCTTGTATTGATATCTGTGAAAAACAACTTTTCTTTGGGATGCGGAGGACTCACACATACTATTATAGGTATTCTTTTTACTATATAATATATATTATCCTTTTAATGCAAAAGTTTCACCAAAATCACAAGGCCTTCTCCCGGAATGTCAAAAGTTAATTGTTTACATTCCAGACTTTGCCCCTATGCCAGAATGAAAACGTGTTATAGCGGAAACATCACATAAAGTACTTTGAGTGTTGAAAGCAACAATTAAAGCTGAAATTGAATACAGTTGACAAATGACTATAAACAAGTAATTAGAAAGTAAATTCGTTAATAGAATCAGAAATACTCCCTCTATACTAACAGGGACACCTCTATACATGTAGGATCCTATTAAGGAATGCATGCCTACCGCATTTTAATTGTCTAGGTTTCTATTTCAGCGGAAAGAGCAAAATACAGCTTTCGAGAAGGTTCCAAGTACAGAAAGGTTTGGCAAATCTTTAGTTAATATTAACACTTATGTTTATATAAACTTTGTAAATACAAGTCAGTAATAACATTTTTCTGTTCAATTGTAAATATATGTCTAAGTATAATAAAAAGAAATAATGGACTTTTTTGTCTTTAAATATAATAAGTAATTCAAAATTACATACATTAAAATTCTTCTTTTGGCCTCCATAGCTTTTGGATATTCACCAAGATGCATTTTATGGAGGAGCCCCTTATCCAGATTCTTTTTATGATGACATTTGTCACAAAGGTAACCCACATGATATTAATTCTTATTTTCTGACATTTTCATGCAGCTTCATAAATTACATTTTAATACATTGTCATTTATATATTGATTTATATATTAAAGGTGCATATCATGATGTGTCAGAAGACACCCACTGGGGAGAATTCCTGAATGCAACAATTAACTACATCAATAAGCAATCCAAACCATGGGATATAGTAAGTATAAACACACCCCCCCCCCCCCCCCAGAAATTATTTTCACAGAACTTGCAGAGAGAGAATAACATGACATATTGTTTTTCAGGCAACAGAAAAGTTATTTGTCTTCATGATGGCTTTCATGTCTCACCAAGTAGCTGATATAACTTGGCACAGCATGTACATTGAGCAAGGTTTTCTTCATACCATGGGATATGTAAGCAAATTTTTACAAATTAATCAGGATTTATATACATGCATTTATGCAAATATTTCAAATTTCTCAGGGCTGGCCTGGTGCCTATCAAAAGAAATTATCAAAATCTAATTATGGAAATGCAAAGGAAATGATTTTAGATGCTGCTAGCTAATACAGAGTGGAAAATGTCATAGCACATTTTGGATAACCATTGTTCTAGAAGTAATAAATTTATATTTGATCATCATTGTATGCACATGTTTACATGAGAAAGCAATACTAGTGTGTTAAACATAAGTAATTTTTCTTTTTAGATGAATTTTCATGGTTCGTACCCAAAGGCTCATCCAGTTGGTGACTTTGGTAAGAGAAAGTATCATTAATGTAAATCTATTACATGTACTATGGTGGGATGTAAATTTGCCTTCACAGATAGATAACAGTATCTCTGATGAAACCTGTAGATTCTCTTAATTATTAGATTATATAACTGTTTTTCATTGCTTAATTTGTATCATTTTTCTTTAATATGCATGACATATTGTAATATATGAGGAGAGGAATTGGAAAGTTACAAGAACTCATTTCAAATCTTTTTGATTTACTTGGTAAAATATGTTCAAAGTGAGAGGAAGTACTGACAATTTTTTTCACAATAATTTTTCTGGAGATAAGTATTTTTTTTTATGTGTAACACATCCCCATCCCCTTCTCAAAGGCATGTGGTGTTGTCTGTGGTATAATTCTCCTGTCTGTTCATCAGACACATTTGTATTAGTTGTTGTAATTACTTTAATTTTAGGATACATGTACTTTCATAGGAGTTCAATCATACACAGAAAAAAATCACAAGGATGTTTTAACCGTGCTCATATTTTGCAATCTTAAGCTCCATTAATTCCCTGATTTCACCTTTCCTGTATGATGAATACAAAAGTAATCCAAGTGAGACGTACATAACCATATACATTTACCTGTACTATGTATGATTTTCATTTAGAATTTTATTGATTTGTAGGTGGTGATGTTTGGAATGCATATAGCATGCTGACAAAAGATGACAGCCTTTTTCCTGAAAAGCCTTGGTAATTTAATTAAATTTTCATTCAAAATTTTGTAATAAACATTTTTAGCTCACCTGAGCTGAAAGCTCAAGTGAGCTTTTCTGATCACCTGTTGTCCATCGCCCGTCCGTCTGTAAAGTTTTCACATTTTCAACTTTTTCTCAAGAACCACTGGGCCAATTTTAACCAAAGTTGGTACATTAAAGCATCCTTGGGTAAAGGGGAGATTAAATTGTTAAAATGAAGAGCAAAGTCCCCTTATAAGGGGAGATAATTAAGAAAAGACAAAAATAGGGTGGGGTCATTAAAAAATCTTCTTCTCCAGAACCACTGGGGCAGAAAAGCTGAAATTTCTATGAAAACATCCTGAAACAGTGTAGATTGTAAATTGTTCAAGTCATGGCCCCCCGAGGTAGGAAGGGTCCACCTTAGGGAATCAAAGTTTTACATTGAAATATATAGGAAAAATCTTTAAAAATTTTCTTCTCAAGAACCAATTGGCCAGAAAAGCTGAAACCTATATGAAAGCAGCTTTACGTAGTGTAGATTGTAAATTGTTCAGATCATGGCCCCGGGGGTAGGGTGAGGCCACAATAGGGAATCAAAAGTTTTACATTGAAATATACATGAATAGGAAAAATCTTTAAAAATCTTTTTCTCAAGATCAACTGGACCAGAAAAGCTGAAACCTATGTGGAAGCTTCCCAAGGTATTGTAGATTCTAAGTTCTTCAAATCATGGATCCCGGGAGTAGGTTGGGGCCACAATAAGTATTACAAGGGGGAAAATCTGGTGAAAACAGCAGGACCTAAGTTAATCAGGTGAGCATTGTGGCCCATGGGCCTCTTGTTTACTCTGTGAGGGCAAATTTTAAAGAAGAAACTTTGCTGTATAACCTGATTATTAGCTGTATAACCTGATTATTAGCTGTATAACCTGATTATTAGCTGTATAACCTAATTATTAGCGTATAACCTGATTATTGGCTGTATAACCTGATTATTAACTGTATAACCTGATTATTAGTGTATAACCTGTTTATTAGCTGTATAACCTGATTATTAGCGTATAACCTGATTATTGGCTGTATAACCTGATTATTAGCTGTATAACCTGATTATTAGCTGTATAACCTGATTATTAGCTGTATAACCTGATTATTAGCTGTATAACCTGATTATTAGCTGTATAACCTAATTATTAGCTGTATAACCTGATTATTAGCTGTATAACCTAATTATTAGCGTATAACCTGATTATTGGCTGTATAACCTGATTATTAACTGTATAACCTGATTATTAGCGTATAACCTGATTATTGGCTGTATAACCTGATTATTAACTGTATAACCTGATTATTAGTGTATAACCTAATTATTAGCTGTATAACCTGATTATTAGCATTTAACCTGATTTTCAGCTGTATAACCTGATTATTAGCATTATAATAACCTGATTATTAGTGTATAAGCTGATTATTAGCATATAACCTGATTATTAGCTTGATATCCTAGGTATGTTCCTGTTGATGATCTGTATCACATCTATCAGGATTTCTATGGAAAAACCAGAATAGACAAAAACACCATAGAAATCTGCTCTTCACTACAGCTGCTTGCTGGGTAAGGTTTTTATTGTAAGAAGATTTTTAAATATGGAGCAGTATAAGTGTTTTTACCCCCACAAAATCTGGACTGTCATTTTTTCATTTACAGACCATGGATATTGATATTTAAATTTTGAAACTTTAAATTGTATCTGGTTCAATTTTACAGGGTAGCAGAACTTTTGCTTGGAGCAGAGGTGAGGAAATTTTACCTGAAGGGTTATCTGTGTGAAACAAATAATGTTTTAGACAGTGTTATCAGTACTTTTGATTTTGTTCTTTTTCTGCTACTAACTTTTAGGCTTTCCTCACTATAGCCAATGACAGCAACTTCTTAATAGATAATGAAATGGAATATTTTGAGGGAGGGCTAACAGATATGGCCAGCTTAACCACAAGAAAGTGGAATGATGCCATAACTATGATTGAAAATGGAACACGGTAAGTTTTTCTGAAATAGGAAGGGTGAAAATGTGGTAAATCAGACCAGGATACATATTGTAAATCACTTTTTATTCATGAGAACTGTATTTTTTTGTAATTACACAGGAAGGTCTGCTTGCAAAAATTTCATTCTCATGTATATTTTATTAAGCATTGATTATATACAACAATAACCAATATTCATGAAAATTTTGTCTTGCTTATACATACCAATTACCCATCACGCAAAAATAACGTGTCATGAAAATTTTGTGATCTACAGTACTTGGGTTCAGTGAACTATAGAAATGTCAAATACAGTGTAGACTGTTGTACGAGATCTTCAGTGGAACCTCAATATAAATCACATATGACAGGGAGTCTCTAATTGAGACTGCAATAATGAAACATAGCATAACAATACCCTGTGACAAATAATATGGTACATGTTAAATGAAAACATTACAATGTATTATACAATTGAACGTCGGTTTCTTGCACACTGATTTCTTGAATACCAAGCTTTTAAGGATATGTTGAAGTAATTTGGAAGTCCCAACCCTTATTCCTTAAGTATTTTACTCTGGATATCTCGAATCCTCAGATATCTTGAAGTATTTTCTCCGTCCCATCGAGTTCGAGATAATGAGGTTTGACTATATACATTTTTATTGCTCATTAAAGCATTTACGAGGGTTGTCCCAGAAAAACATAAACTTTTTAAATATTTCAAATATTTCCAATCAAAACTTCTCACTGTATACCAAATGTGCATACCCTATTTCTGTTCTTTCAGTCTATCTGTAAAACTAAAAATGTGATTTGTATGGTTTAAGATTATATTTATTTACATGTAACAGAGCTTGTTCTGTGCCACACAGTACTGTGTTCATCAACTGTACCAAAGGAGTAGACAGTCCTGAAGGCAGATTACCGAAGCTAGAGAAGCGTTACTATCAGAAACCAAAACTATTTGGTCTTACTCTGGATGATTTAATTATAACACCCTTCCTCAGGGGGGTCAAAGTTCAGTTGACAGAAAATCTCAAGGTCAATAGTTAAACTTTTGTTCATGCTTTAATGTTTCCACAATCATAAAAATTATATTCTGTATAGTCTTTTAACATTAAAGAAACAATAATTTCATTAAATGACAGGTACAAAAAACTGTCTATGTATTCATTTTAACTGACATATTTTATTACATGTAGTGATAATAAAACATTTTTCATTAGTTAAAATTGATTGAGAAACAGAAGAAAAGAATGTACTTTCAAAGCAAGTATTCCAAGGAAGCGGAGCCAGCATACAGAAGTCAGCCAAACTTTACCATTGATTTTAGAAGTTCAAGAAGTTACTCCCAGTTAGGATGGTGAGTACAAAGACAAATTGTCAGTAGCACAAATATTTTTAAAAAATTTAGAAATAGTATGGCAGAAACATATGTATACATGTCCATCAAGTGAGGTATGAGAATAAGGACACAACTTTACACATTGTCTCATTTGAATAAATGATTTTTTTGTTGGTGTAGAATTAAACAGGTGGTTATTAACAGGTCAATGATATCTAAGGACTTGGATGATGATGGCAATGAAGATTTAGTGATAGGTTCCCCTGGACACAGCACCAGTAATGAACCCCAGAGGGGCAGGGTCTACATTCTATACAGTTAGTAACAGGAACAACATTTTGATGATCATCTGCAAGTTTTGCCCTAATATCTTACACATGCTTCAAGTTTACATTAAGTGCTGGATTTGGAACAATGACTTATATACATTATGTAACAAATTCTTTGAAAAATGAAAACAAAGTTTGTGTTGAAATTGTGTTATGTGACAGTAACTGCAGCTATGCAAACTATAGAGAAAATACAATTAACTTCAGAGATCAAAGGAAATTTAAATTATAAACTTAAATAAATGCTTTGAAAACATTTTTTATTTGTGATATTTTCAAAATCAGGATGAAATATTTTTCCCTATAATTAAGTGCAATAATGCACAGTAATTTTTTTTCTTTAAAGATTCAATCCTTTATAATAAATCAAGAATAACCTTTTTAAATTGTTAATCATATTTTACCTCTTTTAGACAAAAAGCAAATATTTTTCCAAAGTTTATTGTGAAGATGTTTATTATAGAGTTATTTCCCTTGTTCCACTTGGCCTACTTTTTCTGCACATCTGTTTACCTAATATGAAGGAAAATCATTGGAAAATGTCATTTTATAAAATATTTGTGTGCACATATTTGTTTAGGAAAGGTATGGAAATGGATTGCTCATTGTCAACTCATGATGCATATACATCATTCTGTTTTTTTTGTTTTAGTTTTTTAAAAAGAATGCATATAAACCAACATAAGATGTACATGAATTTTGTAATCATTTAGGTGGCAATGCAGGACTGCAAGTTAATGGAAGCTCATTTGTTGACCTAGATAATTTTACTTCATTGAACGCCTCAGTACTGGAGGGGAATCCAGGGGTAAGAAACATAACATCATAATATTGATTTTAAGATCTTTTTCCAATTTGGAGAGCTCTGTTTGATTAAAAGATATGTACATGTAATTTACAAGAATACTACAATACAACTCTGAATTTTGAAGTACATGTACAATGTAGTTGTAAAGATTAATTAGTTTAGCTAAAAATTTCAAATTATGAACATCTGTAAAGGACAGAGCAACAACATTTTATGATTGCTTTTCTTTACTTTTCCCAATTTGGTGATAAGCAAAACAAAGACAACTCCTGCAATAAGAATAAAAACAAAAACATGCCTGCTTCATTTTATTTTGGATTCTTTGCCAAAAGAAACTAATTCTTTTTTTAAACTGCTTGAAAATTGTAAGTGCAATTTGTCTTATAAGGAGTACTCCAGATTTGGTTATGCTCTGGCTGCCCTAGATTTAAATCAAGATGGCAATGTAGATATGGCTATTTCTGCCAGCTCTTCAAGCTACAAGGGTCTGCTGGATTATAATGTGAGTTTTTGTTACGAATAGAAATGATTTTGAAAAAAGTAACATCTGTCTTAAAAATACAAGAATTATGAAAAATGAGTGAATCAGTTAATTGAGAAATACTATTGAATCTATTCATATATGTTGTAGGGTGTTGTATATGTGTACTTTGGATCAGGAGGTCAAAGGTCATGGAAGGTCAAGCCAGATTTGGTCATAACATGTCAGGTACACATTTTTATTTAAAAATAGGCACAAGGCAGCTACATACATTAAAGTAATGAAATTATTTATTGATGTAAGTAAGATAAAACCAATGAGTTTTCAATTTCAGCTTCAATTTTGTAACCTTGGATCCTCCATGACCTCAATAGACATAAACAATGATGGGAAAGATGACCTCTTGATAGGATCCCCATTTGCAAGTGTTAAGAATTTGACTCAGAATGGAATGGTGACAGTTTTACTCTCATCTAAAAGTCTCAGTAAGATCAACATGTGGTTTTATTGGTATTTTTATCATAATTCTTCAAATGAATTTGTGATGAAAACTCTACAATCATCATATTTGTTTGTCTTTTTTAAGCTTTTTTGTCTGTTGTCTATTAACTCTTGCTGTTTGTGAGAGTATTTTAAAATGCTACTCCCACAATTATTGTCAGTTTTGAGTAAAATGTGGTACATTAGCAGACTACATAAAATGCCTCATTTTGGGCCCCTGTTTACTTTTGATAAATGGATTATTTGCTACTACTAAAAATGGAATAATTTCATACATTACAAATTCAAAATGTCATGCTTACAGTTTTCGTCTGATTTAAATAAGGATAGATTAACCACTTTAGCATCATCAACTTTTGATCAAGAAGTACAAGGCCAATTTTAATCGATCTTGTCTCAAAACAATTTGAGGGTTAGTATTCAAATTTGTTCAAATGAGGGGACCATGTCCTTTCCCAAATAAAAAGGGAGTGAGGTCAATTTTTTTTCTTCTCTAGACTGTGCATGACTTTAGTTGATTTGTATACTAGGGTCCGTTAAATATATAACTAATGTATTTTACCAATTTCAGGCTCACTTTAATAAGCATTCTATCTTTAATAGTTTCAGGAATGGTTATTTCAGCAGAAAAATTAACAAAGAACTGGATCTTATTCGGTAATCAGGTAAATATAATTGACTTTATGTTCTGATAGCACATTACATTTGCTGCAATATGGACCACCATGGATAACATTATGTGTCTTGCATTCTGAAAAATGATCACATCTCTCTTTGTAGAACTTTCTAGAGACTGTCATCAAAAAGAGATACAATGTCTGATGACAATAAATGTGATCTCATATCAAATGGTTAAAATTTTATGCACATCACATATTTGTGAAGCTGTCATTAATAATTCACCTAATGAGATGTAATATCTAGTTAAGTTTAAGGTTATATGGTCAGGATTTCTTCCACTGCTTATTTGAAGTTTCAGATTCAGAGACCCTTACAGCATTTCTTGAAATATCACAGCTGATTTGTGTGTTCCCTTAAAAAATATACAGCATATTTTGAAAAAAAAATTACCTGTGTTATATAATGTATCTACTTTTCATTTTGCATTTTGTACTAGAGGTTTTGACTCCTACCAAACATTTTTCAATTTTCACACATTTTTTACAGTCTTACAGTTGGTACGGACATAGATTGAGTGTCAAGAACAATATGTTAATGGTCAGTCAACCTTACTTCAGAAAATGCATAAGGTTTGTGTGGAAAGTAATTGTTCTAGATAACTGTTAAGTGTGACATATTTCCATTCTCATTGTCATGCTCCTTTTCAGCATTTAAAAAAAAAATTCCAAATGAAAGAAAACATTTAACGAGGTTCGCTCCTGAGCTTTTGAGCAGATTTATATCTTAACCTATATTTCAAAAATTCTGCATAAAGTTTTAATTCTTACAATGATTTTGGATTCTACAATGCCAATTAAACTATATTCAGTTAAAACTCCATGATTAAATTCCATACCAAAAGAATAAAGCAAGGAACTATATTTTGTGGCGGAAGGTTTTTTAGAAGAATATGATCAATTTTTCTCTTTCCAAGTATTTAAAGTATGTTAAGTTTGAATTCCTATTTTTCCATGCAGTCTGCACACAGAGTTATTTTGTGTAGTGAACTGTTTTATACTGGTCCTAAATTATATATTAAATAAACTGTCATGAATTCTATCATCATATTTGATAAATATAGCAAATATATTGTGAAAGTCAAGAAAAAAAATATCCCTATTTTCAGCTTAAAATTAGCACTATTTTACTAATATCTAAAAATTAACATCACAGACCTCCACTTTTTATTTTCATTTCTGAATATATAAGATACTTTTAACTATTCTTCTTAAATTCAGTAAAATGTCATTACTTTCAAATGATATTTTTGCTTGTTAAATTTTTAATACCAGAAAAATGAAATTTTTTGAGTGCAAAAAGGTCAAATAATTGAACATGCGGAGTAATTTGAAAATTTTTTTCGTTGTCACAAATTTTATTGTGTCTATTCAAGATGACACAAGACTGTGTTTGTTCCAATAATTTATTTGAATAAAAATATTGGAGGAAAAACTTTTAAAAAAATTGATTTATGTGCAAGACGTATTTTTAGTGCAAAAAGGTCAAACTTAATGCTCTGTAGCGCCAAAAGAAGCGCATTGACCCCCGTTTTTTGTTTTGATTTTTAATTAAGCTATGTGTATAAATTCTAAAAATATACTTCATAAAAAATTCTCATTACTTTTGATGGCAGGATCCAACCTCCTTAAAAATGCCTACTTACTGCTTTCTATCTTTATAATTTCAGTTGTGAGAAATACTTGCCAACAGACATTCAAAGTGTTGGAAAATTAAATGTTTTCTCCTTCAAAGAGAGTCTATCTACAACTCCTAGTTTAACTTTCACAGGCCAGAGGAGATCTGAGATGACTGGTTACAGCAGTGATATAGGTGATCCATTCGGTAATGGATCTTCAATCTTTGCTATAGGAGTGCCTGGAATGGATGTGAAGGGGAAGGTTTATTCTTCTATGGAGAACTTAATACAAGGTGGAGGAGTTTTTTTAATAAGCTCGTACATGCAGGACGTTGCCCATTTTACAGGGGATAGGATGTTTAGTAGATTTGGGAGTGTTGTGAAGGTTGGTTTTTATTGTTTTTAAGTATTTTATTATAAGTATTGCTATTTGCTCTAGATATTTATGTTGACATTTATGCAAAAATAACAATACCTGGTACATAATTTCAGTTTAGTGATGTCAATGGTGATGGTATAGACGACCTGTTGATATCAGCTCCAATTAGAAATGATAACCCAAACATTCTTATCAACTCAAGTAAGAAAATTATTTAAGGAATCACTGTCTAGTTAGTAGAGTATGCTAGGGCATCAGTGATAGTTGGAAACATGGGATAATTTGCATAATGGGCAAAGCCCATTATGCATAAATTATCCCACGTTTCCAACTATCGTTGATGTCCCTGGCATACTCTACTAACTAGATAGTGATTCCTTATATTTCCATTTCATTGTGAAATAAAATTTTAAATTTAAATTTTAAAAATGTAGACTAATAGATTTAAATTACACGAGGCCTCACTTGTCAATTCAGTAGTCCCTGCCCACTGATGTAGCCGCATAATTACATGCATATTAGGCCTCCTTAGCGTCAGACACAAGGACAGCCGCACGAGAATTACATGCATATTAAGCCTTCTTAGCTCCTGACCTTTCGCTTGGCGAAATTTACATTCCGGTAGAATGATCAAGAAATCAACTCAACTAACTTTTGAAGAGTTATCACAGATAAAACAAATAGAAATGGAAATATTTGTTTATCATAATATTCTTTCTTTTACTTGCTGGTATGAGGACCATGTTTTACAATGGATATACACATTTCTACACAGGGATAAATGGAAAAGTGTATATATTCTATGGAGGTAGGAACTTCCCTAAGAACAGTGCTACAGTTACACCAGATTGTGGGAATGTGTCTCCCTGTCCTGAAAAAGTAGTATGTATACAGGTTTTACTAAGGTTTGTGTATTTATTTGAATTTTCCAATATTATTTACTGGTAAGATTTTTATTTTCTTTTTTTTTTTTAAGGCTATCTGCTTTATTTTATATTACTAATGGAATTAATTATTTGTTCAAAAAAATTTGTCATTGATTTACTATCACCATTTTATTGAAACAAAAGTAAATACATGATATGAAATGTAGATTACTTGTATTATTTACAAACTACAACAATTTGAGATAGAAAATTTTCATAAACATTAAGTAATTACAATGACTGCCCATTACAGTATTATTCCTGAGTATTATACATGTATTTTTGCAATAAGGAAACATTGGAAATTATATGCACATTGTACATGTTATTAGAGTTCTTGCAAGTAACATGTACTTAAAAAGTGTTAAAGAAGTTTGTCAATTGTGTATTTCAGGCCAACCAAACTTTAGGCTATGGTTTAGATTTAAAAACAGATTTTGGACGGACAATCACAGTTCTTAGATCTAAGCAACAGGTATGGTATTTTAAGCATTGAAACAAAATCAATCTTTAAAAGCAGTAATTTCAGACTTGACATGAATCATAACAAGAAACCCATTATTAAGTGTTGACATTAAATTTTCAGGTTCAAGTGATTGTTTCTGCTCCTAGAAATGGAGATAATATAAAATTAAAAGTAAAAAAAACTGGGAATGTTTATGTGTACAATACTAAGTGAAATTGTAGTTCCAAATGACAAGAGAGAAAATCAAGTAAGCCATGTTCTTTCAGTTATTCTTTCTAAATCATTGTGATACAGTCAAACCTCATTATCTTGAACTCAATGGGACCGTGAAAAAACTTTGAGATATCCGATGGTTCGAGATATTGTGAGTAAAATACTTAAAGAATAAGTGGTGGGACTTCCAAATTACGTCAGTATCCATGGTATTGAAGATGTCAGTGTCTGAGATACTGAGGTTCAGCTGTATACGCATTCAAATTGTAATCTATTTTCATTATATTGCACTTCATTTGTAGATAAAAAATACACTAATGAACTGTCCCAATTAATCTAGGTGCCAATTTTTTCACTTATAGTGAGTGTACATTCCATTGTACTTTCTGTATTTTTCATGTCCTATCATCTCAGTTTTATATTTTTTGGAATCATTACATGTATAAGGGTTTGTTTTTTATAACCACTTTTTTACAACTGTTGTCATTTTGTAATTTTTTTGTTCATCTATCCAGTCCAGTATGTCCTCAATATGATAATTTGATTATCATTTTTACTTTGATTTCCTGGAAAGCAAAACTGCCTTTTTTGTTAACATACAGGCATGTGCGTTAACCACTTTAGCATTATAAAACATTATAAAGCACTATAAAGTTTAAAGCACTGTACAAGACAGATGGAAACCTGATTTTTTTTATGTTTGCACTCAACATGGATTCATTACACAATGTTAAAATCCAAAAGATTGTTCAAAGTATTAAAGTAATTACTTCACAGGTATTTACCGTAATAAAATATTTTTTATTTATTTATATAATATTTATAGTTATACATGTATAATATGAAAACTCCATCATTGTTTTGAGGGGAGGGATGAATAGAATTTTCCAAGTCTGGAAAAAATGTCAAATTAGCTTTTAACAGAGGATTTTAGACTTTATTTATTTCACATATTTAGAAGTATTTATATACCGGGTATTTATATCAGATGGGTGAAAGATACAAGATATCTGAAAGTGTTTCAAAAACACAGCTTATTTCAAAAACACTGCTTTTTTCATAATGATTGTAATAATTTTCATAATGATTGTAAAGATTTAATACATATAGAAATGGAAAATTTATATCCTGTACATGTTAAATGCACAATGTTTTCATTGGGTTATATTGGATAGAGACTCATAGATCCAAATATAGTTTTGAGTATACACTGTACAATACGTCATGTGTAAGTGCTTAAAGAATGTTTTGTAATTGCTCAGGTTACAGAGCACTCAGTGTGCTGAAATGGTTGAAAAGTTGTAACAGGGTAACTATAAATTTGTTATTGTTGATGCTTTGTTATGAAAATAAATTCCTGTTTTAAGCTCACCTGAACAAAATAGGGATGATTTTATGTTATACCCCAGCATAGGCATCACAGTCGGCATCAGTATCCCAGGTTCAAGTTTTTAGAGCAGGTTCATTTACTATGTAATTGAAATCCCTACCTACCTACATACCTAGTCATATGCCCAGGGGTGCACAGGGCAAGGACTAGACTTCTCCACTTCTCTCTATCTTGAGCATTCCTCTTCAGTTCTCCCCATGTTAGTTTGTTTAAAATCCCTACCAATACCAAACTTACAATGAAAATGCATCTTGTGTTTTTATGTAATAGTAATCCATGCTTTGGATGGCTGCATCTGACAAGCCATGTATTAGTGGCCTAGTTAAACTCTTAGATTCATTCCAAAGTAACTACAATTCCCACCTATGCCAAAAGTTTATGGATGATTCATCAAAGGATGCATGCTACTAGTCTTTTTTTTGAAAGGGAGGTCATCCAGCAGAGCGCTTGCTCCATAGTCAAATGGTTGTCCATTTGCACTCAAACAAACTTACATCGATAAAAATTAGGTAGCAACTGTTCCTTCAATGAATGCTCTCGGCTTTTTTATGTGAAAGTTGCAGATTTTTGAGACCTTAAAAACGAGCAGGTGTTGGCATGCTAAAAAAACCTCACTGCTCAATGGCCTTGAGTGTCAAGTCTAAACCTCTGGTGACATCTCATATAAGAGAAGTCATCTGGCAAGGGACATAAAACTATAATAATAAATCAACCAAACATGCAACTTAGACCTTTTTTTTAATTGAATTTAGCTTATATATCTGATTCTTTAGTGAAGAATCTTCTAGATGAGGATTGTGGAGGTGAGCTTTGTATTCTTTGATTACATAAGTTTTTCTATTATTATACACAATGTTATAACATGTTACAATAAAATTTTTGTCATAAAAATGTGTTTCTTCTGATTTATGATATCAGTGACAACATTGATATGTAGATGTCACTGTGAAAAAAAACAGAGTTTGGTTTAACAAAAGGCCCATGGACCTTTACTGTGACATCAGTTTTATGAGTTTCTCTTGGTATGATCACCTTAGTTTGATCTGGAACTGAAACTCTGGCCTCAAGTGACAAAATTTTTTCATAGTTTGTTGAGAACTCTATGGTCATTATCATATTCTTGCAGCTTGTCTCCTTGAAAAGTTTGGGAATAAATAAGATATGGTACACTATATAATAAATTTTAATATATGCCAATATAGCCATCACTGGGACCTGATCCCTAGACCTAGGGACATGAATTTCATAACTTTTGAAGAAGGCTAACTGTTGATTATGATTGACCAAACAATTTTCCAGCTAGTGGATAACTAGTAGATTTCAAAAATGTAATGGGTGGTGAATTACAACTTTGTTAATGGGCTATGTGTTGATGATAATAATGTAAGCAGTTTGATTGCTAGATGTTCATGAGTAAAGAAGATAATCAAAGAAAATAATACTTTTAAGCTTTATTGTATTTTTGTATGACCAATTAAGTTCAGCCTTAAGGCCTCCATGAACCATGGAATCAAGGGGCATAAATTTCTAAATTTTGGTAGAAGGTCTGTGACGGTACATATTGTCGTTTTGTACATATTGTCGTCGGCGACAATATATACCTACCCTCACTGCACATATTGTCGTCCATCAGTACATACTGTCGCCGTCAGAAAAGTAACACATGTACATATTGTCTCTGGCGACATTATGTGCCTCACCCTCACTGTACATATTGTCGCCCCACAGATATTGTTGCTTAAAGATTTCTTTTGTTGTTTTTGATTGTTTTGTGAATGCAATTGGTGTATGAAGCACACTGACGTATCTCGTATGCTATTTAATGCAGCGTAAATGTGACGGTACATTTTGTCGTTCTGTTAATATTGTCGCCTGCGACAATGGGTACCTACCCTCACTGCTCATATTGTCGTTCATCAGAACATGTCGCATGGCGCTGCACGGCAATGCTCCATATAAATATGGCCAGATAAACCAAAAACTTTAAAAATGGTCATATACACTTAATTTGATCGCCGAAATATGGCTGAAATATTGTCGACTCAGCGTTAAACAATAATAATCAATCAATCCATATATATATGACTAATCATTGCTTTGTTGTTTTTGAGAAGATAATTTTTAAAGAATTATCCCATATATTCCTCCGTGAAACTTTGATCGCCCATTGTGGCCCCACCCAAGGCCCGGTTAGATTTGAAGATACTTGAATCTGCACTACCTGATGATGAGTCGCCCGCGTGGCGCAGTGGTTAGGATGTCTGCTCTAGAGTCGAGAAGTAAGGAGTTGATCCTTACGTCGCGGGTTCGATTCCCACTGTGGGACGTGGAGACCGGTCCTTCAGATGAGACCGTATAAACCGATGTCCCGTGTCGCAGTAGGTGCTGGCACGAAAAAGATCCCTCACTGCTCAATGGCCGTAAGTGCCGAGTATAGGACAAAATTTGCAGCTCTCCACCGGCAAGTGGTGGCGTCTCCATATGAGTGAAAAATTCTCGAGAGGGACGTTAAACAACATATATATACAAATCAAACCTATAGAATTTACCGAAGCAGAAAAAAAACAAACCACAGGGCGGGGGGAGGGGGGGGGAGTGGTGCGCCGGTGCTACATCTGTCTGTTTTTTAGAAGATTTTTAAATATTTTCTCTATATATTCCTATATGAAACTTTGATCTCCCATTGTGGCCCAACCCTACCTCTGGAGCCATGATTTGAACAAAATTGATTTTGTTTTTGTTTGTTGTTATTATGTCCATCTCGAGAATTTTTCATTCGCATGTAGACTTCACCACATACCGGTGGAAGGATGCAAATTTAAACCTTTACTTGGCACTCAGGGTCATTGAGCAGTGAGGAATCTTTTTCCCACCAGCACCTCAAAATTGAACCTACGCTATGTAAAGAAGCTTTAACATAAATATCATCTCTTCTGACCCAGTACTTCTTGAAAAAAAGAATGAAAGAATTTTTTCTAAATATTCTATGAAAAACTTCGATCACCTTTTGTAGCCACACCCCACCCCCAAGGGTCATGATCTGGATGAAAATGACTCTTCTTATAAAGAAGCATTCACATAAGTTTCAACTTTTCTGACACAGTGGTTCTTGAGAAGATTTTTTTACTTCCCTTGAAAGAAGGCATGGCCTTTCATTGGAACAAACTGGAATCCCCTTTATCTACCGATGCTTTGTGGTAAGTTTGCTTGAAATTGACCCAGTAGTTCTTGAGAAGCTGAAATTGTGAGTTTACAGAGAGAGGGGCGGTCAGACAAAATGTGATCAGAAAAGCTCACTTGAACTTCCAGTTCAGGTGATCCAAAATGTCAACCCCAACGACAATTATATCGGCATTGATTGTATAAGAATAGTGCAAAAATGTATTTTCCAAATAATCATTACTACTGAGCAAAAAAAAAAAAAAACCAAACAAACAAACAAAAAACTAATTCAATATCCAGATATATATTACAAGAAAAAAGAAGAGGCTGATTTATCAGATATCTCAAGAGTTTTGGTATCTTGACATATCATAGTGATGTACATCAATCCTGGACACAATTGTCTGACCAACAAAGTTTTCTCCCTACAGTATTGCGAAGAATACTGTCTGTCCCCCTCCGTGCGTGTGTGTGTTTGTCTATCTCTCTTTCTTTCTCAAGTAAATATTCGTCAAAACAATGTATCGGCGACAAAATATGCCGACCTTGACTGCACATATTGTCGCCGACGACAATATGTGCTGGTGCTTGACTGTACATTTTGTCGTCCATTATGCAGGAGGAAAATAAGGCTCGTCTCGGTACAATATGTACAAAACGACAATATGTACCGTCACATCCCATCACAAGGTCAAATATTCTTTACAAGGATGCAAACAGTTTTTATTAGATGTACAATAAAGAAGAATATTTCATAAGATAGGCTGTTTGTTGTCTATAATAAAGTAGAATGTTTTATAATATATAATACATTTTAAATATATGACAAATTTATTCCCACTCAGAGCCATTTATTTTACAATTTTTGTAAAGGGCTCAAGCCTCAAGGCTTAATATAAACATACATACAGTTTGCCTGCTAGATGTCCATTAGTAAAGAAGATTTTAAATGTGTAATTATTTTCACTATACATGTATCACCAAGTTATTCCCACTCTGGGGCCGAAAACCATGGCCCTGGGGCCTTGAATTTAATATAATCATGGAAACGGTTACTCTGCTAAAGCCCATGAGCTGGGAAGATGATCGTCTAAAATGCAAGGTTTTTTTCCACTATACGACAAATTACGCCCAGACACTTCGTATTGGCGGAGGGGGGGGACGTAATGTTCTACTGCTTTAGTACGAAAATGTTGAAGGGTCGGTTTCCCCTCCCCCCACCCTAAGGCCTGAACTTATGGGCCAAGAGGCCATGGATTTCACAATTTTGAAACCTTAAAAGACATAAACATATCGCCAACACATCGTGAGGATGCACCCGTAGATTTATTTTGTTGAAAGCTTTCGACCAGTGACAGTCTTCCTCTTAAACTGTGTCTGTTGAAGTAAACAAATGAAATTGACGTTGCTAAATATAAACAAAGTCTCAATTTGTTCAATTTGATTATAAGACTACATCTGTCAAAAAATAATTATTCAATGCTTTAGTATATATTTGACCTAATTTCTTGGTCTGTGATCAGGAAAATAAGTTCTATATTGAGTAAACCTAATAATACGCACGAAGTTGTATCTGATTTTACATTGTTTGGAAACTTCACATGATTTCTGAATGAGTGTTGCATTTAGAGATGCACATTAACCAGACCTACAATTAAGGATAGTGAAAACAAAAAACATGAGAGAATTCGGGTGTTGGAAGGTTTTGGAAAATATGGATTCATCATTTTTATAACTCCTGGACTAATACTGCAGAAATATTGCATCTATATAGACACAAGAGATCGGGTAGTGTTCTGGGATGCTGTGTGACCTATATTTTTCAAATTACCAATACTTTGACGAAACTTGCACGATTGATGTATGCCTTGGAAATGCTTAGAATTCTTCTTTTGACCATCAAACACCTCCGGACTACTTTCCTCACTAATTTTAGGTCATACAAATCATGTCTCACATGCTCAAAGATTTATTTTTAAATGTTTCTTCTCAGACAAGTTAAAAAGATGTCAAGAGGGAAAACTACCCCAGTTTACAACCAGGTTATCAATCAGCATAATCTAGATTACAGGGTACCCTCGAGATATACCAGTAGAGTGGATTTTGTACCGACCAAGGACATCTTTTACTTCGCCTAATACGAGAATAGTCTTTCAAATTGAAAATATTTATCATATTAACCTTTGGAATTTGAAGAAAAGCATTTATTCAAAAACAAATTCACAGAGTTTTTAATCATGAATTATTAATACTTCTATAATAACTTGTGTGTATACATTGGTTAATTTACATTAAGCATGGTGTTTGTATACTAATACCCTTGTACGGAAGATCCAGATATGATAGACGATGATGTCACATGCCTTCTTTATCGGTGACAATCTTGATTATTTACCTATATTTGCATTTGTATTCTTAAAGTTTAAGCCAATTGTAATTTGTACAGTTTAGGGTGAAAATGTTTTAACCGTTATGAAGAGTCACGTAATAATTTTTCTAACGTTGGCCGTTGTGCTTCATGAAACACTCGGAGCTGGCATCGTGACGCAGCTGAATGTGGGTAAGGCATTCGTTCCTTAATTTATAATTCAAACAATGTTTTCAGTACTTTCCCCCCCAACACGCCAAATAAACTTTAGAAATATTGCAGTTGAAAGATTCTTGAAAATATTGAAAACATGCTAGTTCCTTTTGATGCATATGTTTCAGCCCAGCGTGCTGCAAGATTCTTCGACCCTAATCCTGAAAAGAATTACTCCCAGGTATGTAATTGGATAAAACGTTCTTCAACACATGTTTTATCCTATCCCAAATCACAATTTTTACAGACAAAGTCTCTCTTTGAAAATCAAAAGTTTTTGAAGAAGCAGTCCGTATAATATTAATGAAACTATTCGTAATTTCAATAATATTGAAATAATAAAAATGAGTACAATAAGAAGGAAGCATCATATATTTTGTGATATATAGCTCAGAAAACTTTCTAACCTAACATGCTTTTGCCAACAATATTGAATACACGTTTTGAAAGGAAATGTATTGCTACTAAACAAAGATGTAAACAAATAAGATAGGAGGAAATTTGCAATTTTAAAATAGTTTTTTTAATCAATGTTTGATATTTTGCCTTTTAGTTTAGAATAGTTGTACTCCTTTATACAAGAATAAAATTTTTATTGCGACTAGGTATGTGATGAATTTAGTTTTTACAGAGTTGAGTACCATTTCTGCTGGAGAGTTTTCAACATATCTTTTTAGCAGTTGGCATGTTTACTAAGAGTTTCTTATTTGACCAAAATATGTTTTCAATCATTTCAATTTGGCAGTGTTCTCGGCCGCATGCAAAGTGTAGAAAATGCACTGAGGCTGAGAATGTATCCTTTGCTAGATATGGACATACTGAAAGCATAGTAGCATGCATGTTTAGTATTTCTCAGAAAACGATTTGCATGTATTTATATATATATATATAATTTTTTAGCTGTAACTCAAAAGCACAAGTGTTGCCGCAAAAAAGCAATGCAGTTGATACACTACTGTAGCCGTAACACTATCTTGATTTAAAGGGTTACATGTTCTGATACGTAGTATCTACGTAAGAATCTCTAGAAATCGATAAACAAAGCCTCGTCCTATCTTCCAAATTCGTCCTATCTAAGGATTTTTAAAAAATTATGGCTGAAAATGAGCCTTTCGACCTATACACCCCATCGACATATACCCCAAAACTTACGGTAAACCCACCTGAAATCATTGTATAAATTATGCCAACAACTAAAAGGAAGGAACTCGAGCGGGAATGGTGCTCAATTCAAAACGTTAAGTGAAAACTTAACAGCAAGCCTACTCCAATTACTGCTTCTATTCGTGCAAAAAAGGGAGAAAAATTCTAGAGAGTAAATATCGATCTTGAATTTTGAAAATACCGTCAAGTTGTAAAATTTATCATATCCTTGCATTATATTTTTTGTTTCGTAAAAATGCATGTATTTTCAAAATTGCATTTTATTTGTTCACACTGGGCCATGTAAAGAAGTTTTTTGAGCTGTAATTTATGAATTATACAATGCAAAAATAGAAAATGGAAAATATACAGTACAATAAGAAATTACCAAAACAACGGAAATATTATATATACAATGCAAATAGTTAAATACAGTAGTGAGTACATATGAAAAAAGGAGAGCTATTAACACATCATTAAATATATATATAGTAATGCAAAAATAGAAAATAAACAATGCAATAAGAAATTGCCAAAACAAAAAAAAAAACACTAGTATAGTCATAGAGTAAAAAAGGTATTAATACTTTCATCAAATTTATATTCATTTATTATTTCTTATTCTTACCTCAAGAAATTATATTCATTACTATTTGACGTATCTTTAATAAGGTATAATTTGGTTTCGAATTTTTTTTGCAGATAATCAACCACCATTCCTCGGCGTTTTACAGCGGAACACCATATCCCGATGCCTTTTACAATGAGCTTTGTGAGTTTGGTAAGGTATAATTAAATCAAATTTAAAAGTAAAAGTTATATACTTGGTGATTATAATATGATTTAAAACATTATCTTCTATTTTTTAGGAATGTTTTCAAACATATCAGACGATACAAAATCTGGACCGTTCTTGAATGCAACTATAAACTACATCAACAAAAAACCCAAACCATGGGACCAGGTAGGTCTGTTTTAATATATTGCATATGAATCCTCTGTGATAACCAACCAATCCGTACATCATGCGATGGACTAGACCGAAATGACTTAAAGGCGCACAATTTTATTTTTACTTGTGGTATGCAAAATATATAAATATAAATTGTATAAACAATTTGTTTACGAGAAAAATGTGTTCAAGGAATGTGTCTAGTGTTTAAGATCTGTTGGGTATCACATCGGTTGATTCCTTACATATTTTAAAATTCATTTGAAGAATTTGAATATGATACATTGTCATTGATTTCTCTTTCTTAAAATCAGGCAACTGAGAAATTGTTTGCATTTATGATGGGGATGATGTCCAATCAGGTGTCGGACTCACTGTGGACAAGTCAAGGTGTGGATCAAGGATTTTTGTCGGCCATGGGATATGTAAGATGAATTGTTGTTTTTTTGTTTAAAATATATCAAAATTTCGTATTTAACAGAATTTTGTCAAAAGCGAAATGAATTGATTTTTTAGACTAACTTTCATGGGTCAGTCCACAAAGCAAGGAAAGCAGGCAATTTTGGTATGTTTTAGAACAACACATCAACTTGCAAGTTTTAGAACAACACGCCACTTTGGTATGTTCTAAGAACAACAATCACGTACAAGTGTGTTTTACACAACAAGTTTTGTCACCATGTTTGGAAAAATAAAACAAGAGATGAGTTTTATGTAATTCACTTCGACATTTTCAATTTTGATTGCGCTTTACAAAAAACATCATCTATGTCTGATTACAGGTGGAGATATAGTTGTTGTGTATCTATTGAATGTTGTGGACGAAATCGACGAATGGTAAGACAGACCCCCCCCCCCAAGTTTCCTTTCTTCAATACTAAATTTCCATGATGACACTATGCTAACTCATTTATTTTAGGTACGTCCCAATTGACGACCTATTTGAAATTTACAAGGAATTTTATGGGTCCGTACAAATCAACAAAACACTAATAGAATCTTGCTCTACTCTAGCTTTAGTGACAGCGTAAGTATGTTTAATACAAAAATAAATGAGAATTTAATATATCTCTGCTGTAATTAAGTTACAAATTTAATTTTTTAGATATGCAGAAATAACTGGAAACGCTGAGGTATTTATAAAATTTGAACATAAATAAGTAGGGTTAAAGTAACAGAATTAAAAGAACAAATGCTATTTCTTAAATGTAACTTTAGCTTATTTTAAAACAGGTAGGTATCAGTCCTGCTTCTAAAAAAAATACATATTTCTTTTCGCCTACATTCTTTGTAACCTTTTAAGAAAATCTCAGTTTTTGGACCACTTTAGTGAAGCCCATCAGGAACCCAGCAAATTAGGAAGCACGATATATTTTATTGAGATGAAATTGCAATGTCAGTTAATTCAATTTATAATCTTCAGTACTTGATAAATGGGGAAAATGCTAAAGAAAATTATAAAAACAAAGAAAAGGCTTATAAAAAAGTGTTAGACAGAGAAATAAATAAGTATAGTGAAGAAATGAGCAAAAAGTTACAAAATATGCGACTCAAAACTCCCAGACAATATTGGAAGATATTGAATAAAAACAATAAACAAAAAAATGCAGATCAAATCGATATTGAAAAATTATTTAACTATTTCAATGAGTTAAATAAGGCACCTGAAATACCAGAGAATATAGAAAAGATGCTAGATAATGAAATTAAAATACTAGAAATAGAAGAATTGAATCATAATCTAAACAAATACATTTCGCAAGATGAAATACTTAGTGCTGTAAAAAAATTAAAAAACAACAAAGCTTCAGGCGAGGATAAAATAAGAAATGAATATATAAAATCATCAATACAAATTATGCTCCCACTTTACGAAAAATTGTTTAATTTAATTTTTTCAACAGGTAAAAACCCGAATGTTGGCTTGAAGGAAATATCCTTCCAATATATAAACACAAGGGAGAGAAAAACAATCCGCAAAATTATAGACCTATAACAATTTTAAGCTGTATTGGAAAACTTTTTACATCCATATTAAATGATAGATTAAACGATTTTTCAAACGAATATGAAATATTGCAGGAAAATCAAACTGGTTTTAGAAAACAATATTCAACTGTTGATCATATATTTTCCATACATATTATATCAGAATTATTGAAACTAAATAAGAAAAAACTTTTTTGTGCTTTCATAGACTTTGAGAAAGCATTTGATAATGTATGGCGAAAAGCTCTTTGGTTTAAATTGTGTGCAAACAATATTAATGGAAATATGTACAATGTTATTCCGAATATGTATAATCAAATCAAATCAAGGATAGTCTATGATAATAACGTTACTGATTTTTTTAATTGTGAAAATGGTGTCAGACAAGGTGAAAACTTATCATCTTTTTTATTTTCAATTTATCTAAATGACCTGCAGAATTTTTTCCAACAAAATATGTCAATTGGTTTACCTACTATATCTGTTATGTTTGAACAACATTTAAATGTGTATTTGACATTATTTGCACTATTATACGCCGATGACACCGTATTGATAGCTGAATCTGCCGAGTACTTACAAGCAAAAATTAATTGTTTTGAAAAATATTGCAGAAAATGGAATTTGAAGATTAATATTAACAAAACAAAAGTTTTGATAATAAGTAAAGGAAAGAAAAAAGAAAAGCCTGAGTTTAAATACGGCGAATAGCTGATTGAAGTTGTAAATGAAATTAATTATTTGGGTATTTTATTTAGTACGTCAGGTTCTTTCAAGGAAGCAAAGCAGAAACAAGTTGACAAAGCAAATAAAGCAATATTTGAAATTCTTAAGAAAGGCCGCTTACATAATCTATCAATACGATGTCAGTTAGACCTGTTCGATAAAATTGTTCAGCCTATATTGTTGTACGGATGTGAAGTATGGGGATTTTCGAACAATGCAACTGTAGACAGAGTACATCTAAAATTTTGTAAATTACTTCTTAACCTTAAACAATCTACTCCGAACTGTATGGTGTATGGTGAACTCGGTCGACATCCCATGTCCATTGAAATACAAACGCGTATTATTTCCTATTGGTGTAAACTTAAACTTGGAAAAGAAACAAAAATATCAAGTCTGCTGTTTAAATTAAGTGATACCGTAAATCGAAAGACTAAGAAGATTGCTTGGATAAATAATGTCTTAAATATCTTAAACGATTGTGGACTTTCAAATATTTGGAACAGTCAAGCCTTCAATCCAAATTGGTTAAGAGCGAAAGTAAAACTAACTTTAATAGATCAATTTAAACAAAAATGGAATTCGGATGTTCAAAATTTATCAAAGACCCTAAATTATAGAATATACAAAGACGAACTAAAATTTGAAAAATATTTAGAAATTCTATCACGAAAAGAAGCCATAAATTTCTGCAAATTCCGTACTTGTAATCATTATTTGCCAATTGAAACTGGACGTTGGTTAAATGAACCAAGAGAGATTAGACTATGTAAGAAATGTCAATTAAATGAAAAAGGAGATGAATTCCATTATATATTAAATTGTACGGCAATGACACGTGAAAGAAATAAATGTTTAACACAAAAACTATTACGATTCAAAAATACAATTACATTTAGAGAAATAATGAATTCAGATAAACAGTCATTTTTAAGAAAACTGTGTATATTTATTAAAAAAATTACTAAAACGTGCTCCCCAAACTAGTAAAGACCTAAACCTATAATTGTACTATTTGTCTATCCTCATACTCACGCATGCCATATATGTGTTTTTATTTTTCATCATTGTAGTTTACATTTATATCTCGCTATACAATTGTAAAATTGTGAAGAGATTAATAAATTCAGTTCAGTTCAGGAAAACTATGCTTTCCATTCTGTAAAACAGTCTTGCACGTGCTCTCAAAATGAATAATTGTCAGTTAAATTTTACAAAAGAAATTACTTTTATGGATTCCAAATACTGGAACCATTGTGATCGTAGAAATGATTTAGAGTTTTGGATGACTGCACTTAAGAACATACGAAATTTGCTACGAAATACATTTTTATAAGGAGCATTTTTTTGTAAAAAAAAAAAATAATATGAATGGTCAACAATCAACATATAAATTACACATTTACGGAATTACATCACGAAAAGTTTGTATTCGCGAAGTGCGAATCTGTTTTAATAATAGGGGGTAGTCACGATTTCTTGAATCTCCATAGGATGATTCACCAGGTGATTTTTTTTTTTTTTACCTCTTACTAAATTCCAAAATTTCAAAAAAAAATTTAAAAATAAAGGTAACATAATTATGTGCTTTATCAACTGAGCTACTGGGGAATTGTGTTCGAACACTTTTAAGAGCTAGGCATTGATTAACGATCATCTGTACCTATGTACATGTAAATACTGGTGCCAGAGCATTATTCTATATTACGCTTATCTTATTTTAAACCCATTCTTATATTACCTCCACCTCTCTACATATTTATCAACCTATTCTTCAATGAAGGGCAAGTAAGTGAAAATTCTCGAAATTTGCAAAGGAACAAGGGATACAATCTAAAATCAGTTTTACAAATTCGGTTTTGAATTTATCAGATTTTTAAACAAATAAACACGAGTGAAATTGAAAGTTATCATAAACGACTGAAAATGAACCCCAAATCTGGCATTTAGTGCATTCATCCTTTGGTCTAGTGACAAAAATGCACCTTGCAGGTATGCAGTTCAATAAACCCAATCTTCATACCTAGTATAGCTTGGAAACTAGTGTTTTGATTAAAATACTTTCACACTTGACACTATCATACAATTTATTATCCAATATGATTTCAATATCATTTCGTTTCTTTTAGGTCACCCCGAGTCAGTTGACCTATTACAACTTTTTTTTTTGTCCGTTGTCGTGCAAAGTGCATTTTCAGTTTATGGGATGGTTGAACCATTTGATATATAACATCTATGGTTAAAAGAAAACAAAAAATCTGAATTTTATAGTCTTTGCCTCTATGGGACCAAAACCATCACAATTAATGCAATCTTTTTCTTTACTCCTGGATATCGAGCAGGCAAGGTGTTTGCATGACAACAATGATCAATATGATAACAATAAATACGATCGTACTTAACCCCCTTTTTTGAAATTGTGACATTTATGGCCCCTGGGTCCATAGTACAGGCAGTAGAGTGGTCTTAGTTGGTCATATATTGAAAATACATTATATCTTTAAAAATCCTCTCTACTCATGGATATCAAAAAGGTAAACTTTTGTCCATAATTATAATAAACATTTAGCCATCTACCAAAATTGTGAAATTCATGGTCCAGGAGCCTATGGTACATTTCAGAGGGAGGGGCTAAGTTGGTCATCTATATTGAAAATACATCACACCGGTAAAAATCTTCTTTATTCATGGGCAGGAAACAGTTAAACAATTTGCATGAATACAACGAGCCTTAACTCTTTATCAAAATTGTAAAATTCATGACTCCAGAGTCAAGCATTCAGGTCCTAGGGTGATACTCCGTTGGTTATACAATTCATGCCCCAGAGTGGGGCTAAGTTTGTGGTATACTGAAATCTAATATACAGTGTACCTCATCTTCTTTACTCCCGAACTTCTAGGCGACAAGCTACATGAATATGATAAAAATTATAAAGTCAAGACTAAACTGTTAAAAAAAAAAAACAAGATGAGTCCAGATAGCTTCTAGCCTGAAAAAAAACTTATATTCAGATGCCCCTCAGGGTTCATGTGCCTCTTGTTTTTATTTTCTTATAAATTAAGTAAAAGAGAAAGTAAAATAGTGAATTGAATTACACATCAATATATTTTATCACCCAAACTAAGAAGTTGTTTGATTTTTCCCTTTTTATCTGTTTTTGTTTTGGAGCACTCTAGTGTCTTAATTATTGTCGAAATTGGTCATCCTATCATAATTAATAAAAACTTTATCATTCATTCGAACATTTTAGCTGTTTACAATAGTCGCCGATACTTCCGACTTCATTGTGGACAATCTTGTGGAATATTTTCAAGGAGGATTAATGGACATGGCGGGCTGGACAAACAGGAAGTGGCACGACGCCATAACAATGCTTGAAAATGGCACGAAGTCAGTAAAACCTTTAATAGTACACAGTCGCCACCAAAAATGCCATATCAATCATTACAATATTAAAGCTGAACACGACTCGTAAATAGGCATACGCCATATTAGTTTACCTATCTCTTATATCAGCGCTTAGATATATAAACCCTTCGCATTCGTTACACCTGATTGCTTTTAGCTGGTCGCTGCGACGTGTAGAATATGTATATCCCACGTTGTCCTTTTTGTTTACGTTTTATTTCATTGCAAGTGCATCTGTGTTTATTTTACTTTGCAATGCATTGACCTGTGCAGTTGATATCGAATAACTTGATTATTTTTTTTTCCTTTACGTGGAAGAGGCATACATAAGACATTTGTGTCGCGCCTAAGTTTAATTTATCACAATGACGAGACATGTGCTCGGGTGTAATCCATAAAACAAAATACATTGAATCGTGAATAAAGCTTAGGCTTATATAGCGGTTGGAAAACGACAGAATTGAGAAAACTAATATGGCGGACAAGATAATTCTCCTCCTTTTATTTTCTTAAAAAACTCTAAAAGATTTTAGAATGTGAAAATGCAGTGAGTAATGTGTAGCATACAGACTGAAAGTACATACAGAGATATGGTTCTGAGCCTTATTTTCCTTTTCCCTCCCCCTTTTATCTTTTCATTTTTCCATTTTATTGTTCATTTCCCCTCTCTTTTCAATTTTATATTCTGTAATCTCCTTAAAAATTAGTTTAAAATACATGTCTTTGTAAAACTACAAATATTTACCATTGTTACATTTGTACCCTGATCTCTAATGAAGAGAACTTATATAGGCCATTTTTGCCTGCTGTTCAATCCATGTTCATTGCATATACATGTACTTCTATGTATATCATGAATAAAATATTTCTTAAACTAATTCTCTTCCTTTTACAAATCGTGTTCAGCTTTAAGTCTTTACAAGGCAACTTACTCTTATGCAATTTTTTTTGTAAGGAAAAAATGTACTACATATTTATTTTTCAGGGCATGCCATATTCCGCACAATCCTCTCTTTATAAATTGCTCTAAGAAGCAGGACACTGCACTGATGTTTTACCCCAAACCGCGCAGACAAACAGACAGACCATATACTGGCGACCTTTCTGTGTCCGATTTTCAGATCAGGAGGTCTCAAGGAGCCATCAGCATTAAGCCTGGACACAAACTAAAGGTTTCAAACTGACCATGTACTCATGTTGGGTGTTTGGAGAAGGAGCATTTTATTTTAGGACTTGATTATGTTTTCGTAAAATGTTCATAAGAAATAATTGACATTTCTACTATTGCCATATATGTTTCATCACTCCCGTGCAGTGATTTTTTTTTCTCCAACAAGAAAACACCTATTATGACGTCACGTTGTGCTACGTAATATTTGTTCGTGTTTCTTGCAGTAGTAATATTCGGATAGTTTTTCAAGAAATTTAGTAAATGGAGATAAAGGTTTCATTCATGTTCGTTAGTTACCGGTTTTCTCCAACTCTCATTCCTCAACTTTGTCAACAGACACTCGGCAAGTCTAATGTCTATTGACAGTTTAAAAAAAATTAAAGGAACGATCTAGAGAAAAAACGGAAGCTAACGAGCGCAAGTTATGGAACCTTTATGTCTTTTATGAAAATGGGAAAAATGGAAATACATAGCATATTTGAAAGATAACATTTTGAAATATAACATAAGTGACAAACTTATGAAGAAAAAAATAATTTCACAAGAAATCTGATTCTTGTTATTTTTTCCACAAAAAGAAAAGGCTAACAGAGCTTAAATCCCAAGTGAATAAGATAAAGAAGCAAAAGCTGGAGCCAGAGCAGGTGGGGGATGACTATCACTGGAAGATTTACTTTAATGACTACAATCATGGATCCTTGCTCGGAAAGTGTGTAAAGGGACCTTTACTTCCGATTAGATTAATCGTATAGCGGGACCGTTTCTTGAAAATTGAATTTATGAAAAATAATAGACAGTAAATGGACAAAGCTAATGCTCTTGTTAAAAACTCATGAGGATCTATTATTCCGAACTTTATAGTAAGTTTCTGTGAGCATCTTTGTTTTTACTCGCAATAGATCTCTGGCAGCGGCTGATATTGACGGGGATGGTAATGTGGATGTTGCCATCGGAGCTCCAGGATTTTCCCAGAATGAAAACATGATGGCGGGGAGAGTTTATATACTTTACAGTGAGTAAATTATATATATTCATGGCATTTCATTATCAAAATATCCACAATATCAGGAATCTTTTCTCGATGTATGTACATTTATTCAATTCGTTTAGCATAATACATGTAATTATATCTGTGGCCATTTCAGATAGTGAAAATGGTTTTCCAAGGCCTGGTAAATACTTTGATTATGTAGACATTAACAACTTGACAATTGGATATAACAGAATTTTTGATGGAGAAAAGGGGGTATGCAAATATTTTATAATCAATTCCGATTAAAAAATCAGGGATGGCAATCGAATACAGAATTGTAAATCGGTTAGACGTTCCGACCGATTAATCGTATCAAAATACATGTATATATATTCGTGACTTTTTTAAAAAAAAAAGAAGTTCTATTCATAAACTAATATCACCTGCATATGGAGTTTATGTCCGTTTGCCCTATCATGACGAGGAGCACACGGCCGGTGTGATCGGTCGAAAGGGGATGCTTACTCATCCATGGCACCTGATCCTACCTTAAATGTTTTTAGAGGTCCATGTTTGCTCTGCTCTCAAATTGTATATTGTTTCAATGGACTTTTTGGGCTTGATCACTGTTCGTTATCTCTATATTTCATATAAAAACTTTAGTAATATTCTGTTTTTGTCTGACCAGAACAATCTATATATTTTATTTCAATTTCAGAAGGCAAAATGAGAAAACCATAAAAATGCCTGAGATCTTAAAGGCATTGATGATTTTTAAGACCAAATTTCATACACATGCATTCTGTATTGAAAATATAGTCAGAACTATAAATTTACATTGTTTAATAAGAAAGCTTGATAGATTACTGCAAAGGACAGAAGGGGTAAGATACACATTATAATCATTTCACGGTACTTAACGGTGATTTATATCACTTGGTAATAACATGATGTTTAAACAATAATTAACACTTCACAAACTGACCGATTGCCCTCAAACGGGAGAATCTGAATTGGCTCAAATTCAGCTTGAAAAGATATATGCAAAAACATTAACTCAACGTTCATATATATATTTTTATTTATTTTAAGGAAATTGCATTCAAATCTACACATATTTTATTATATTTTCCCGACTAACCGATTCAAATTTTCCAACCGAATACCATCGTTCCGATCGAGTAACCGGTTTACGGTTACAGATTGTCATCCCTATAAAAAAGAGATGTAATACTCGTTGCTGATACATTATAGATATATACTTTTTTTTACTACTTTATAGACTGATTACTCTTTTGTACGATTAAAGTCTATTCAAGTAAATTGTTATTTATATCTGTGATAGGTACAATCTCGATTCGGATCATCTGTTACATTACTTGATGTTAACCTAGATGGTATGGTGGATTTAGTAGTTGGGGCAAGCTCCTACGGAAGCACGAGTCCTTTAGATTACAATGTATGATCTTAGAAAATATAAAAATATCTGTATGTAAACATGAAAAATGTTTGAAATTGTCATTATACTGGTACTAGTTGCTCCGATTAGGTTTTTAAAAGACCTAGATAATCTAAAATACTTTATCTTTTTTGGTAGGGTATGTTTTCGTTTTACGAACTCTTTAAGGTCCCATTTATAAAATATGTCAAAGAACACAGGCACTTGGAGGTTGCCACCCCCCCCCCCCTTTCCATTTTTTTCCTTTCGTAAATCTGGGGTCGACACACCTTTTTCCTATTCTAATATGCACTACCCGATATCGATAATGTAACCTTTTTGTCTCAATAAGCTGTTTATATATATATATATATATATATATATATATATATATATATATATATATATATATATATATATATCTTTTTTGACTGATCAGTCGAAAACGATATATATTTAAAAACAGCTTATTGAGACAAACGAATTGTGGACCCCAAAGTTTAAAAAAAAAAAAAATGGAAAGGGGGGGGGGGTCCAGCCCCCAAGTGCCTGTGTCCAAGAAAATCAAAGTTGCACATATACAGTAACTTGTACTTCTCTTACCTTAGCACAACTTTAGCATACATGTACATGCCACTGCCTGATATCATACTCATCTATCATTATTCGATATAAATATTGTAATTTATTGATGTTCTGACAAACAGGGTAGAGTTTACGTGTTTTATGGGTCTGGTAAAGACAGGAACCAGAAACCAGATATCACTCTAACATGTCAGGTACATTTTTGGCAATGTTTGTATCAATCGGTGGTATTTTCAGCAAACAAAAACCTTGATTTCTTGATATACAACAAGAGTATTAGCAATAAAAGAAAATCTGTTTCATGAAACAAACTCTAAACAAAAACATACTTATTTTGACTACATATCTTGCATACAAAAAATGATTAGTTTTGATAAATTTAATTTCTTTTATTTAAAGTCTAAATTCTGTAATCTTGGATACTCGTTAACATCTGTCGATGTTAACAAAGACGGACATCTTGACTTAGTGATGGGTACACCTCACTACAGTGGAGGAAACCTAACACAGAGCGGAATGGTGGTCATTCTCGTCTCCGCATCAACAGGTTATTCTAATTTGAAAAAAATATATACATATACACGCTGATAAACTGCTACCTAAAATCTAGGAGGTAAACTATAGATTCTTTATTATTTACTTCACCTGTGAAGTTGCCGTTGTCTAACCCTTCTTTTAACTAAATTTTATACACGTAAATGTTACCCATGAAACTAAATAATGCAAAAACTCTATTTTCTTGCGAAATTACTTCATGGATACACTATACTGAATTCTAAATTCTGTTTAATGAAAAATATTTTCATATAAGAAAAAATAGTATTGATTTAAATACATTCCATTGTTATTTATGTGGTTTTGTTGAAATTTATATTGGACAATTTTATGCTATATAGCATCTGGTACAACCATACCTGTGGAATCTCTTACAAGGAAAATATATGGAGAACAGGTACGTATGCCGTGAAAAACCTTATATGGATACTTTTTTTTTTTGAGAAACGATTTCAATTGAAACTAAAACTTCCCCTCCCTTGAATAGTCATACAGTTGGTTTGGTCAACGGATAAGCGGAAAGAATGGCACTCTATTGGTGAATCAGCCATACTTCAGGATCTGCGAAAAGTATGTGCTGATATTTAACAATTCAGACACGGATTAACTTACAATGATTGGTTGAAAAGATAGTAATGAAGCTTGATTGCATCATTGCAATTTGAGTGATAGAAAATATACCTACAATTTTCATTTTCCTGAGATTAGATCAACTTCAGCATAATCATGATATATTTTGACTTTTTTTCTGCAGCCCAGCGTGTCCATCTTTTTCTGAGTCAGACCAACAAGCTGTTGGAAAATTGCACGTCTATAACTTTGGCAACAGGACTGCAATGACCAACATGTCTATTGCTGGTCGGGAAGCTTATGACCTCGCCGGACATAGTAGTGATTTTGGTGACCCCTTTGGCAACGGGTCATTGGTCGTTGCTGTAGGGGTTCCAGGTGCGGATGTAGATGGAGAAATCCTTACTCTAAAAAGTAAATGGACGCAAGCTGGAAAAGTAATTTTATTAAAACTGGAGAAAGGTCAGCTGACAGAAATAGCAAGCTATGAAAGTGACAGAAGATACAGTAGATTCGGAATGAGAGTCAATGTAAGAACTTCATCACCTATCTAAATTACATTCATTTCATTTAATGCATGAGCTTTATTTACATAAACCTAGGACAATGGTTTTCCTGATCAAGTCTTTCTGTTGACCCTCCGTCTGCACTCTATAAGCTTTTCAACCACTATGTTGAGGTAAAATACCTTCCCTTCAAAGACGGGTAATTAAAACTGAGAGCAAGATAGTGTCAAATTGGAACACAATTGGACTAGAAATAACTAGAGAAAATAAAGCACCCTCATACCTCCCTGGGATACATTTTACAAGATTATAAAAGATAATTACTTTTCTTAATTATATATTCATCATTTTCAGACTGTGTGAATTATCTTTTTTTTTCTTTTTTTTTTTTTTTTTTTGTAAATATGCCTAGCTCTTTGGTCGATGAAATAGGATATAGAGTCCAAATTTTATTGTCTTTACATAGCAAAAAGATTGTAAAACAATTTTAAAAGCTTCTATTTAATGATGTAACAAATATATTCGGATAAAAAAGTCTGTTCAGAAATATACAGAATACAATATGGCAATTCTTTGACGTGATTTATGAAGACCTTTAACTGCCATTGCGTATGTATTATTTTTTATGAAACTATATGACCACAACTTGGGGTAAATGTGACATTACTTATGTCTTTTTTTAATTCGAAGATATTTTAAGAGCAAAATCTATCACGATATTAGATGTATTAATGTCTCATTAACGTTTCTTAATTCTTAGTAATATAAATAAAAGGAAAGGTTAAGATTAAAAAAAAGCTGAGGTAAAAAAAGCTGATGACGTTATACAAATCTCATCAACATGCATCAGCATATTAGGTTTGTTTAAAATATCTAAAACAGTTTCTTTGAAACTGAGCCAAACAATAATTTAAGAACAGTGGGGTCAATATCAGAAGAAAGTTCAAGGTAAAAAAAAAAAAAAAAGAAGCTGACGCTGTTGAATAGCTCTGATCAATAGGCATTCGATAAAAATATTTTTAATAGTTTCTTAGAAACTGATGAAATTGTGATGGAAGGACAGACGGAAGGACAGAAGACGGACATGACAAACACTATTCATGGCGGGGGATAAAATGCTATTCTCATTTGTGACACTTCCTCTCCTTGCTTGATCAGTCGTTCAAATATAATCAGAATGTTTTGTTTTATAACAGTTTGCTGATATTAATAATGACGATATCGACGATTTACTGATTGGGAGTCCATACAGAAATGATGATCCGTCAAATCTTTTCAGCATCAGTAAGGAAATTGCTTTATAACTTTTCAAATTTTTCAATTTTCATTTTTTTTTTCTCTCTAAATAATCTTGCAAAAAAAAGAATGAATTTATAACATATGTTGACAGTATTTGATGGGAAGACATACGCTTTTTATGGAGGAGGAAATTTTCCTGTTGGTAATGCTACAAATAGACGTTGTGAGAGGCTATGGCCCTGTCCAGACCGCAATGTAAATTTTTGTATAGATCTTTTATGTAGCCCCTCTAGTGTATCTCGGTGTAATTAATGTACATGTAATGAAAATGTTTAAATTGAATAAATAAATATTCCATATTTGGTAACTCTGATATGTATCACTGCAAGTGAACTTTAATTTATTTTCTGTTTTTCTTGTAGGCTAATCATACATTCTCCTCATACCTTTCGGATAAGAACTATTTTGGAGATAATTTTGTAACTCTTCCAGCCATTAATGTGGTGAGTAATAATAAAAGAAAAATTACGACTAAACTGGCTTCCCAGGGTCCTTCCCCATCAATGTACCGACCACAAGATTAAACTGAGCAGTGTTTCACTGATATGAAACCATGAGTCCATGGTGGGGACCCTGTTGACCTTTACTGTAGAGAGCAAAGAATGTCTAAAAATATCGCAAAAAATTTCTTACTATATAAGGCCATCTTTAAAAAAAAAGTTTGTTTACCCTCTCGGGATAAAACAGTTGAGAAGTTAGGTAGGTATAACACAATTTTTTCAGGAAAAAAATCAACATTAATACTGAGTTTTCTAAATTTATTGAAATTGAAGATGTTAATTTAATATTTACAAGAAAATGGCATTCAACAGTGTTCGTCTCACAGTTGGCTTAGTAGAAAAACACAGCAAATGTAAATATTTGCAAATATAAATTTATATCATAATATGAATAAAAATATATAATGTCGTTATATTATAATCGTACTTAGCCAGGTGATTAATGATTTATTCCAAAAAACTCATTTAATGTGAAGACTATAAATGTAGTTCAAACTATCTTGTTTTTTTACTCTTTTGAAACGTACTGACGTTGCGCACGGTGTTGGTACTATAAAATCTGACTCTTTAGATGTCGTAAAGAAAGTGGCGTTTTCAAGATGTTAAAGTTACTAGAAATTAAAAATGAAATTAATTATTTTATCCAAGGTAATAAATTATTCTAAAAATTCTCTTTTTAATAATCTAAAAATATATTAGTTATGATATGGCTTTATTCATTATTGGTTATTACGGCGAAATCCCCGTGTCCAACGTTACATAAATTATTGTTCGCGCAACTACAAGATATAAAAAGATCCACTTCCAATCCTCTAAATTAAATAAAATTTAGGAAATATAATAATATGTATGCATTCTTTGCGATATTGTTGAATTTTTAGCATCATTTTCTCAATTTCACGAGTTTGGGCTGTATCTACAGTGCGTAAGTAATATGTCCAACAGGAAAAAATCGTTTCCCAAAGTTGGCATTAGCCCGCATGGCGATGTGTACGAGACATAAATGCCAAACAAAGATAAATGTTGATGAATAATCTTTCAGTACATATGTTTCTAAAATTAGTTAGTACATTACGCAAGTTTCGAGACTGTACACACCAACGATAGAGGCGCAAACAGTATCCATATCAGCATGGAAGTGGGACAGGTCAAACTTGCATCAATAAATGAACGATGGCTAGGGCTTTTAAAATATATTTAATGTTATACATGTAGAAAGATTATACATGTAGATAATGTCGAGCAGTGATGATTTTGATGATTATATTGAGCTACACTTTACGTATTTTACAAAGCTAGTCTACTTCTTGAAAACAAAAGAACCTCATAACGTTTCTTTGATAGTACAAATAAAATATATATATATATATATATATATATATATATATATATATATATATATATATATATATATATATATATATATATATATATATATATATATATATATATATATATTTGGGAGAGGACTATCTAAGTTTTTAGAACTTGTGTCCAATCCCTTTGACACATTGTCAATAAAATATGTTCAAAACAAACAAATATATGGAGATAACGAACAGTATTTGAGCTCAAAAGTCCATTAAACATTACAAAAATAGGAGCAGAGCAAACGCGGACCTCTAAGACATCAGAGGTGGGATCAGGTGCCATGGAGGAGTGAGCATCCCCTGTCTTTTCTAAAAAGTTGGTGGACTGTTTGAAATTATTATAATGATAAGTGTCAGTGTGTCATTCAGAAAACAATGTGCAATGAACAGATGCGTGTATATTTATTAGAGATCCATGTCTCTTAATTTTCTTCGTCTGATGTCTTATCCACTGATTTTCTTTTGTTCCGATTTTTTGGGTAGAAAAAATGATGCCTTCAATTAAATTCAGTAATTTTCGAGCTGAACTCAAAAGTGCAGCATCATCAACCTGACGAACTGAGTTATAAAAGACCGGTATATCGATAATGTAACGTATCCAAGATCATAAATAACTGGGAAGAGTCTATGGGCAATAACTATCCCACCTGTCAGTTTACGCAGAAACTAAACTCCCCTCCTTAATGAAAGAGCGCTCCAAGGGAGATAATCGCGAAACTTGAGTTATGAAATGATAAATTATGGTTAAATTATTGCAAAGGATAATTAGTTTAAATGATCTTTTTTAATGATTGTCTTAATTTGTCTTATATTGATTGTCTTAATTTTTTGCAGACACAATTGGTAATATCAGCTTCTATATGTGCAGATGACTATGATGACTACGGATCAGATTCCAGCTACGTTTATGTATTTGATACAGGCAGCAAACTGAAAGAAACATAATGTTATAAACCTTTAATACATTAATTAAAAGAGAACTTTCATACATGAACATAAAGAGCAAGAGCCACTTAAGGCCTTTTTTGGCCCTGAGAATTTCTGAAAAATCGAAACTACTCAGTTTTAGTTGAAAATGCAGTATTTATAACTTGCACCCCTGGTGACAGTGTATCTATTGAACATGACGTAATTTTCTCTCTAGTCAATACATTATGACGTCATAAAATGCGTCATTTTCCCCATATCCTGTAAATTCTCTTAAAAATTGCCAAAAGTTGAGGTATTTTTTCAATATTACATATCGAGCACAACCTCTGATCCAAAATATGCAATTTCATAATGAAAGATCTGTTTCTGAAGATCACAAAACATGTTTTAATTTTTGGATCGTGGGCTGTGCTCATATTTTAATTCTTTGCTGAAGGTAGTCAAATACGCATGTTTTCTGCAAAATTCAAGAACATTGCATTTTCCCAAAGCTTGTTTTCGAATACCTGGATTCTCAAAAAGAAATTTTGTGATAGGAAATGAAAGCACTAAGTCTCTACTTTATTTTGATATATGAAATGGGATATAGGTTGATAGTCGATTAACTGATATAAGGACAGGGCCATTTTATGCATAAAGTGAACCTAGCTTTTTATAAATGCATCACCATTGTAAATAATTTCATCACATTAAATAATAGTATACTTTAATGTAAATTACTTGAATTTGATTCATCGAGAAACATTTGTTGAAAACACGCTGTTACCCTCTGAAGAATGAAACTACGCCCTCCAGCGCAAGAGAACAAAGGTGAACAGTCAACATTGCTTGACAACGGGTGATATTCGAAAAAAAAATATTGACTGCGCGGAATCTATGCGCACAAGCTTCACCTATGAAACATTCAGTATATAATAAATACTGCATATAGCTGAGGGTAACATTGAGGCTGCGCCTCGGTTGTTACCCTCAACTACATGCAGTATTTACATAATGTTTCCATTTTCTATTCCAAATACTGTATATGTACATGTTCAGTATGATTTATATTTTTCTTAACTTAAGCTTCAGCCCTGAATAGGGATAACAAATAATTAAAACCAAACTTACCTTATTATTGCATTCCGTCCATGCCCGTCAGATGAGCTAAAGGATCAGTTCGTTATAAATGCAGCACCGACCTATGGGATCGGGATTGGTTTTAAGCTTTACAAAAAGTTTATCAATCTTCGTTCCGGTCAATGACTTTAGGCTATGTACATCATTTCAGTGGTTGATCTAGAAGTTCGAAGGGGGAGAGTATGGGAGGGGGTTCGCTCGCCTGGAGAAATTTTTGTTTTAAATGGCTCCGAATGGTGCATTTTCAAGCATTTTTGGCCACTTTTCATAGTAAAATTTGTAAATAAAAATTTGGAAATATTTTTAACTTATATATAAAAATGAGACTTTTCCAAAAAAAAAAAAGTCTTAAATCTTATATATTAGGAATATCGGACTATCTAGAACATGACAACTAAATTTGTATATACTCCAACCCAGTAAATTCAAAATTTAGAACATGACAGTACGAATTTCACAATTTTGATAAAAGGATGAGTACTCATTATAATCATTTAGTTTGATTGCTAGATGTCATGAGAAAAGAAAAATATTTTCAAAGATGCAATATACATATATTTCCTAAACATGACCAACTAAGTCGGCATCCTAGGGCATGAACCCAGAGGGTATGAATTTCACAATTTTGGTCAAAGTTTGAGTACTCATTATAATCATGCAGTTTGCCCGCAAGATATGAATATAGAAGATTTTCAAAAATGGAATATATTTACAATATATGACCAACTAAGGCCAGTCCTGCAGCCTGAACTCAGAAGTCATGAATTTCACATTTTTGGTAGATGGCTCATTAATTGCTTATCATAATCACACCAGCGGTTTGACTACCTGGGGTGCGTTCAACAGCCTAGCTGCTACGTAAAGCTACGCTCTTGAACGGAGAGCTAGCCTAGCCGCTACGTAGGGAGAGCTAGCATAAATATTTAATGCTAAATACCAAATCCAAGATGGCCTCCTTAGTTACAACTTCACAGCACACTAGATTGTAATAAAATGGGGAATTATTTTCTACATCTTAATGAATTAAATGTATATATTTACATAATTTTCGCTTGAAATAATTTTTTTTTGTTCCAAACATAAGTTTTTAATAATATGTTTTATCCCAAATCTTAGACTTAGCAGCTAGGCTAGCTGTCTGTTCAATAGAGATAGATATCTATCACCTAGCTGCTAAGTTAGCCGCTACGATCTTGAACACAGTCCTGATGTCCAGGAATAACAAAGATTTGATTTGCATTGATTTTGGTACTCCTCAGCCCCCGGGAGGGAGAGACCATGAAATTCTCATTTTAAGTTAATTACTCTTCGTTATTTGAGCTCTCATAGTGACCATCTTTTAAGTATCAGTATCCAAGTTTCGATCAATGTTTGCATGTTATGAAAGGCATTTTGTGATTATGATCACATTAAATGAAAGATGTTTCACTTTCACTCATATTTGCCCTTGTGTCCATATTCTCTGATTCTGTGATCTTGAGCACATCATATCTGAACAAAATAGAATTATTGCGAGCAAGGTCTTAAAATGGTACTCCCCCCCCCCCCAATTTCTGCAGCATATTCTTTCAAACTATTGAAACTTCTGCAGCATATTCTTTCAAACTATTGAAACTTCTGCAGCATATTCTTTCAAACTATTGAAACGTCTGCAGCACATTCTTTCAAACTATTGAATGAAATGTTTTTTATTACAAAAATATGGTCCAGACATAAATTTAACACCTTTTCTGCCCGTACGAATATGCATACCCAAATGACTATGAAATACACTCAAGTCATAGGTAGTTACACCTTTGTGTAAAGCATAAACTTCCAATGTCCCTGCATTCGAAGTATTGTACCAAACTCAAATAGTACACTTTTACTGCAGTGACCTTGAACATGCTAAATGTCCTTGAGTCAAGATCAAACATGCCCAAATGATCTTTGGTCAAGGTCATGACAAACCTGCAGATCATAAATAAACTTTGAGTTAAGTATAAGCTTTCAAGTCTTTTCATTAGAATGTTATAGAGTGGGCACAGATTCACAGATTGCACTACTAGTATTCTTCTACCAATGACCTTGAACTTGTTCAAATTACCTTGGGTCAAGTTCATGACACATCTCCAGGTCAAATGCAATCTTAATATCAAGTATGAACTTTCAATGGCTCTTCAATGAAATGTTATAAACAGACATGTTTGTACGGACATATGGATGGATGGACCGATGGACAAGGTGATTCCTATACCCCCTCCCTTTCCAAGTTTTGTTTGTGGGGAATATAATATTCCCTTTGAAACTGAATGTGCATTTATCACTCAACAATAGTAAATTTATGAGTAAGCTTTGATCAGAAGCAATATAACCAATATAATTGATACTGTACATGTATTTATTTTTCCCCCACCCCTTCAAAAAAGCTTATAAATGCTAGATTGACACACATTTTGACCTTTTGTAACTTTTTTCTACTAAAGTTACCAATCTGATTAAAATCAGATCTTTGTTACGCTCAGAAATTCTGAAAGTCGCTGTAGATATGACATATAGGTGACCTCTTACAAGTACACAGCATTCATTTTTCCAGCGGTGGTTGTAGATTTTGTGTATATTATAGTGATAAACATAGGTAATTTTTCCAAAATTAATAAGTACTGATGTCATGTTCTTTTCCTGTTGTTATGGCAACAATATAACTACAAAAATTTTGCTTTTGTTACTTTTAAGAAGTAAGGTAATTCATTCTTTCAACAAATAAGGTAATCAAAACACCTTATTTTCTCACATACAGAAAACATATTCATAAAAAAAATGGCTAAAAATCATTGATTTCATAAGGATTTATGAACCCATTGCTAAGGAGATCGATTTCCTTGGATACTAGTCCCTTAATATGTCCAAAAAAAAATTTTATTGTGTTTGAGCATTAGGTAGGACAACATCAATTATATACATTAAGCTTTTGAAAAACTAAAATTTTTGACTTTCCATGAAATGCCTGATGCTTGCTGATTTTGGCTCTTAAATATCTGGAGATGTTTTTTTTTTTCAAATGGAAAATGATATGAGAATAATAAATCACATTTGTAGTCAAAATTTCAGAACTGTAAGTTAAGATTGGAATAATCTTAGATCGATCATGACAATGAGCACACTGCCAGTGTGACAGGTCAAAAGGGGATGCTTACTCCTCAAAGACACCTGATCCCACCTCTAATGATTTTTAGAGGTCAATGTTTGCTCTGCTCGGTTTGTAATGTTTCAATGGACTTTTTAGCTTGATTACCGTTTGTTATCATATTTCACTGACAAAGGTTTAGTATTGTCACAACAGAAAAATTCATATTAGAAGGAAAATTTTCTTTTATAGTATCCATAGTAGGCTTTTCTAGCTCTTTCTGACAATTATTCCGATGAGAATACTATTTTTCCATCAGATTTAAACATAAGTCCCAAATATATATATATACTGATGTGTTATTTTTATAGAACTGTGATTGTACGATTTTCATTATTTGTACTTAGAGAAAAAAATCATAACATTTGTTTTTCACACACAATTTCCATTCATGGCAATATTTACTCAATATATCTATACATTTCTGTAAACTAGTAGGTGTCTCTGATACAAGAATATGATCATCTGCAAAAAACATGTGGTTAATAGGCATTGAATCTAAACGAGTTGGATCTGTGGATATATTATTGAAATATTTTACAAAATCATCAGTAAAATTATTGAAAAGAGTTGGGCTCAATTTATCGCCTTGTTTTACTCATCTATTTCCAAAAACTGCTTCATTCATTTGATTGTCTTTTTTACAGGAGTAGTAAGCATTTGTGTACATATTGTACTTAAAAGTTGCAGAAAATTGCCACCAAAGCCTTTCTCATTAAATTTATATAAAAAAGCAGATCTCCAGTGTCAGAAGCTTTGGAAAGGTCTACAAAACAGGTAAATACTTTCTTTTTTAAATACATATTTGTTTATGTATTCTTAATACATGTATGTAGATATTTTCCAAAGTTCTGTGGTTTTTTCCTAAAAAACCTGACCGATATTGACTGAATAAATTATTAGTTTCAATTTAATAATTCACGCATTGCTGAACAATGCCAAAGACAACTTGTAACACTAAGACCTCTGTAGTTATTGTATCATTTGGAGCATCATTTTTGTATAAAAGTAATAAAATTAACTAATAGGCACTTACTTTTCACGTTAAAACATGAAATATACATGTTTTTCCATGAAAGATTCAATATGCAAATCATGTAAATGGAAACATGTTATAAGAACAATGAATGAAGACTGACTTTTGCTTTAAATGCTCTTTTACACATACTGAGTAGTGCTAATACCATACTTTTATCCAGCTAAAATAATCTGCCCTTATAAATATACAACATAATAAAAGGAAATCAATAGCATATTACAGGATTTGAAATTGATTCAAGTATTCCTAAAAATATATCACACCAAGATAAAGAAATTGATTTTTTTTCTTTATTTACATGTACATGTATTTTCTTCATTTATTATGTCTGTTGAGTGACACTTTGTCTTTGAACATTTAGGGGAAGAATGTCATACCCTATTTTGAAGGTGCATTACATAAATTCAATATATACATATTATATATGTAATAATTTTCTGACAGTCCAAAAAAAATTTTGTACTAGTGTTAAAAGCCTCTATAGCTATCACTTTGCCTTAAACCTACTAAGAATATCAAATTTACTAGTCTACCTAAACCTTCTGTCTTTCTTCTTTCTATTACTACAAAAGGCATTTTACATAATATTTTTTTTTTACTGAAAAAATATAACCCCGTATCTTATAAGTCAATCTGATAACTAACAGCTGAGTAAAATACAATGTTTTATTCTGAACATTTATAACATTATATTTATCATATGCCAAAAAAAAAATGCAAACAAAACATTTCTCAGTTTGAAATGCTGTGCCAAATGTAAAGTAAGTCACTTTAATATACCCAGCTGAGTCAAGAAATTTAATTATTATGGCAGTTTTTACTGCACCACTATGTGCTCCAGCATTGATAATACAGTTATAATTCCCTATTAGGATTTGAAAATACAGCATTTAGAATCCGTGTCAAGAAGCTGCAACCTGTGATAATGGCTCCTCCAAGTAGCTTGCCAATGCCTCCATCTACAACAGAGAACATACCAGTACTGAACAAACTGCATACTAGCTACAAAGCCTACAATGTATATTGTTATACCTTTAAATAATTGTTCCTACCCGGTATATAAATCTTTACTAAAAAAGTCTAACATTTCCAATGTTTTACTGAGCGGTCAAAAAAAAATCGATGTTTGACCACGGAGCGAGATATTGGACCTCTTGATTAGATATTGGACTGCTTACGTCACACAATGGGCGGGATCAGCATTTATATTCGTTGGTTTTCGAAAGTGACTGAATTGACCAAGTTTAACCTCAGTACCGGTAAAGGAAATTTATAACAAAGAAGCCAGCAAAAGATACATGCATGTCAAAATATAATAAAGGGTAAAACAAAACATTTATTGACTGTCATCGTCGCAAGCCACGGGTTTTGTGTCCATTCTATTTCCACAAACCCTTGGCTGCCTCCTACCAAATTCTCTCGTTCTCTTGACTGAATCATTGAATATTTATTAAGTGATGCCAGATTTACCTTGATTAATGAAATCACTCTGTAGCAATTTTTGGTACACTTAAATGGCGGCGCCCACAATGAAATCATGTTTGCTATGCGTGGCAGATTTATTGAAAAAAAAAATATGATAGATCCTGAAGAACAGAGGTGAGTAACGTATATTCTAAAATACTTACAAGGTTTTACATTAAAATACAGGGTTTCGAATGTAGACGTTGTGTGGGAACGCTGAATAGCGTTACTCTTTAAGAAAGGAAATTCGAACCGAAGTTGATGTACAGCTCGTGGTTATGGTTACATCCAAATACAAGATAGACTGATCATTTTCATTGGTTCTGACTTGAAGCGTCAGATGTTATTCCATTGGTTGAATTTATGTTATTAATATTCATGAGAACGAGAGAAATTTGTAGGAGACAGCCATGGGTTTGTGGAAATAGAATGGACACAAAACCCGTGGCTTGCGACGATGATTGACTGTGTTCTCCTAAAGGCCTCAGGCAAACAGTTTGATTCTTGGGTCCGACAAAATGCATGTCACCCTCAAACCCAATCAATAAATGTATATTACTTACTGCATTCCATGCAGCTATAATGTATATTACTAGGGCCTTGTTTGGATTGAATTCAAACTCTAGTTTGTCATTGTCTATGATCAAAAAACGTCAAAATCGTGACTAAAGATCATTAAAATGGTAAAAGTCACTTAAAAAAATTTAGTGTTCAGGGTTGTGGGTAACCACTCACCCACTCGCAAATGCGAGTAAAATTTGCTGTGGGCAATTAGATATTAAAAATCTGGTCACCCACATGGTGAACAATGTTTTTTCCCGAAACATATTCACATTTCAGTTTTATATTGTATGTACTTTCAGTTTTTGAACAAACATTCTACTAACCTAGATTATTTGTATTGCATGCAAGCATATTAGTCAAACATGTACGTAACATAGATCAAACATGGCTATTTATCGAAGCGGTTAATTTGCAATCTTGATGATACGAGAGCAAACATTTGAGATTGTTCTTAAAGAAATATTGTAACAATCGGCTATGGCTGTGAGACACTCCATCAGGACTACTTATTCATAGATAGAATTTGAATTATCGTGTCAAATACACACAAAAAAGATTAGAATCAAACTTCAGAACAGGTTGTATGTAATTTAATATGCCCGGTTAAACCATACATGCGTCAGTTGTAGGGTTAAATGCTACAAAATGAAATGAACAAATTACTGTATCAAGATTTTTTTAGAAAAGAGAAAACCTGATGAAAATTCAAATGCTGCAAACATATTGATACTAGGAATCTAAAGAAATCAGTTTTAAAAAATTTAAGAGTTTTTATTTTTAATTAACATATAATTTGGGCCCCTGGGTCACATTGTGGGCCCATAAAATTTCAAAAGTTAGGAGCCCACATGGCCCCAAAGTTTTCAAAAGTTAACCACAACCCTGGTGTTGGAATTGTGTCACAAATCTTGTCCAAGCAATAATTTTCTGATATTGCCCTTGATAACATAAGATGTGTGTCTTGATTCTGTTTCAAATTCCCATCAAAAAAGAAAATGGCTGAGGTAAGCTGTTGAAAGAGATGAAATGATTACTATATTTCTTTCTGAAAAAATTATTGATTGCACAGTTGCTGAAAGACTTTTTACTTACCTTAGCCTTTAGCATACCAAATCCCACATTTTCTTTAGAACAAATGCATAACAAAAGATTGGCTACTTTAGTAATGGCAACTTTCCCCTCCTACAAAGATATGTTGCAATTTTATCATAGGCTCTACAACTGAGGAAAAATCATATTTTTATAATGACACATGATAATTGTTAGGAAAGTCATGGTCTGCTGTATTATATAAAATTTTGTTCCTATAGGTTTACTAAATGAAGCAATTTGAATACATGTATATGCACATGATGCACCTAAAAATTCATTTCAGAAGTCCTGTCATTTTCATTTAAGTAATAAATGAAATGTTTTGAGAACTTTTGAAAGCATTTGAAAACCATAAAATCAATCAATGTCTAATGATTAATACTGTAGATTCCTAAATGTACGCGAGGAATAAATTAACGCGTAATTACGCGAGAAACACCACTCGCGAAATAAAATTACTCGCTTTTATTTTTATGGTGCTTTAATACATGTAAAATCTCTAGATAAATCACCCATTCGCGAATTATTGTTCTCGCGATTTGACGCCCTTGGGCCTTTTCGCGATATTAAGTACTCGCGTAAAATAAGGAATCTACAGTAGTCTAGGTCACAAACCTCACACTCTAACATGATGAATTTGAGTTTGTCGTCACTGAAGGCAACAGCCCCACTTTTCTGGTATGACATCCAGACGTTACTGGCAATGGCAGCTGTAACAGCCGCATCCTTGTCTCCATATCCAGAGTAAGCTAACAAGGCACCCTCATTGTTTAGGAGTCTGATAAAAACATTTACGATACAAATAACATGCAATATATTGAGCTGCTCTTTGCATGCTTCACAATCAAAGTTAGAATAGAATTTCTTCTTCTCATACTAAATCATATTCTTAAGAGTTTTTTTCAAACAAGTATTCCATGTTAATTTATATAAATATTAACTTAAGAAAAAATTATGTTGTAAACACACAAGTTAAAAAAATATCAAAATATCATCCCCTTTTTCTCTTCCCGCAATGAAGAACGTAAACCAAAAAACATGCATAATATACTTTGCCTGTGAATGTTTCAGATCGTATCTACGTACAAAGTACTTTGAACACCGCCTGTATTAGCCTGACTTAGAACTTGAGTGAGTGCTTTAGGCTTTAACATGTTTTTTGTTTTTATTTGGTGGAAGCTCCTTTACTTTTACTTTCCCATGTCAAGTCACATGACAAAAGTGTACAGGTTTGTATCGCGTTTTATTATTGGTTGTTTTAATAGGTCGTGAACTCTTACTCACACTTCCGTAAAAAACACGACAAAGTGACGATGGCCGAGAGAAAGAAAGTACGGGAGGACTGTGTAGAATATCGAATTTTTCCAGCAGTCAGCGGCCACAATGACCACCAGACTTTACTTAACACATTGGACACTTGCTTGGCCGTAGTCAGCCCCCACGTGGTGGATTACATTTGGCACATTGACCCATTTCAGTTGACTCCTGTGGACGGTATGTCAAGACTACCAATTGGGCTACTGTGCAAAAACCACCGTTTCTTTCTCTTTGTAATTAATTTAGAAAAGAAATGATCTCTAAAAGTTCATTGTGTCTTTTTTTTTTTGAATCTCGACTGATAATTCAAAAATTCAAATAACACTTTCTATGAGCATTAGACACTATGCAAAATTGTTAATTTACGAAGTAATCATTTTTTGGCCAAAATGTTGTTGTATTCATCATCAGTGTGACTGTATCAAGACATTTGGTACTCACCATGTTGCGCTCTTTGGCCATTTGGCCACAAAATGCAAAGAATGCAAAAAGTGGGTAAAAATAGCTACTTTGGGTAGGTTTAAATACCTACGTAGCTATTAATACTACGTAGGTAGAAATGGTCTTTGGACTGGACCTGTTAGAGGTATACATGTACTGCTTATAATACATTGTATTTATGGTAAATTTAAATAGACACTCAAAATGTTATACGCAAAAACAAAGTATTATGTATGTTTTAGGTATAATTGATTTATTTTAAGTTTTTGTGATTTGATTCTTTTAAACTTTTTTTTTTACTATGGATTGATTAGTTTTCAAATATTTAGGAACAAAGGATTGTCCCCCTCATCTTTTTGGTAAAACCACTTTTGGAGACAACATTGAAGATGAATGGCTCATTGTATATCTGTTATTTGAGCTGTCCCGACAAATTCCAGAACTCGTAATACAGTAAGTTACTTTAAATTTTAGTCATGTATGTAATTTTTTGAAAAGCCTGTGTTCAAGAGGACCTTTAACTTCAAGTGTGATTGAAAAATTATTAATAACTTGTGAAATTATTCGGTAATTTAATAATCAAACAAGATTAATATTTCTTTATTTCATAATTTGCATACTATTTTTAGTCTGAATGAAATTTTTATGTTTTAGAGTTCAAGACATTGATGGAGAGTTTCTATTGATAGAAGCAGCTGATGCTTTACCTAAGTGGGTAGACCCTGAAACAGTAGAAAACAGGGTAATGTTAAAACAAAAAACAAGTAGAAAAATTATACGAACTTTTATACTACTGTATAGGGGATTAATTTCACAGGTTGTAATTTTCACGTTTTTCTCTCCTCTGACATGATCACGGTTTGATGAATTCACGGAATTAGTGTAAAATAAAAGTTATCTCCCTTGGCTTTAGAATGACATTCATCATTGTTATGTATTAACTTCATAAACAATACTCCGGGAGGTTTAAATAAAGTGGTTAGATTTGGTAATTAATTTACAATAATACAAAACAAGTGCCGTTAAACGTCTTTCACTAAATACGTCGAATGACTTTTTTGTATGCTATTACGATGAGTGCATGTACACCTGAAGATTTTCTTTCCGAAGGAATGACATATCGCAACGAAAACCACTCGACGATAATAATTGTGTTACATGTAATGTATGTCGACGAAAAAATATTTTCCATATCTACAGTAAGTCCGAGAGTTAGTTGAATAAATATTTTTTTTAACCAAAATGTCGGGAAAAAACTCAATACGCATGGTAATATTACTTACGCACGGGTAATCAGTAATCAATACCCACAACCCATGTGCTTTGATTGATCAAACATGAAGTGTTGGCTATTAAAACAGCTTTTCAGCAATAAGTAAAGGTCATTATCTGCTGATTTCAGTTAAGTAAAGCTTAATAATTGAAATAATTGAATGACAATTAAGTACCAATCGTAATTACAGAATGACTACTGTACGTAAATATACCTATCATAGTCTATAATCATATTTCCAAAAAAGGTTTATTGAAAACTTATTCACTGTTTCTTGAATTCACGGATTTATCAACACCGTGTATATAGTGAATATTTAAACCGCGAGTTATTTTCCCCCTATACAGCTATACTTTTGTTTTTCATAATTATATAAGAAATTCAAATAACTCTCATACAACTAATTAGTTCTTGATCTCTTGAGATCCTCTAAGCTCAGGAAAAACATGGAATGCTAATCTGTGTATTGTGTTGTTCAGGTATTTTTGTACAATAATGAACTACACATCATCCCAAGACCACAGACACCAGCTGAAGTGACAATATTCCCAGCATCTACACCCACCCTACAAGAAGCAGTCAACTGTGTGAGACAGTCAGCCTTGAAAACTAGAGCAAGTCCACAAGTCCAGAAAGCTCTGAAAGCCAGAGTAAATGAGTAAGTCATTTTAGTTTTGTGCAGATATTTTGTGTATGGAGAATTCATTAGAGACACTTTTTTCAATGATGTCAATATGGCCATCTTTAAGAGGGCTGGGTGGTTGTGGCCATTTTTAGACTATATTGATCTCCTTTAGAAGAAGAGCTCCATATAAAGATATACAAAAATGATCAAATTTTAAAACTAGAATGTGTGAATTTTTTCTTTGCCAAATGATAGTTGACAGCTTAAGATATCATATCTAAAAAAATAAGTTATATCTGATGGTTAATTTGTTGACCCCCCAGCCTCCTTAAAATAATGTTTGATTGCCCTCTCCAGACTCTGAATGAAAAAAATGGGTCGGTAGGTAGGTAAGAAATTTTTTTTCCATGAAAATGTCAAGATCAATTCTGAATTTTTAAAATCTATTTTCCAGAAATAATTAATTAAAATAATTGCCTTCTGGATGTTAAAAAAAGATTTGAGTCGGGCCATTTTTAGCCAGTCAGTTGGGAGAGGGCAACCAAATAATTTTTAGCTCACCTGAGCTGAAAGCTCAAGTGAGCTTTTCTGATCACATTTTGTCTTAGTTCGTCTGTCTGTAAACTTTTCACATTTTTTACTTCTTCTCCAGAAACACTGGGCCAATTTCAACCAAACTTACCACAAAGCATCCTTGGGGAAGGGGGTTCAAGTTTGTTCCAATAAAGGGCCACACCCTCTTCCAAGGAGATAATTAAAAATTGGTGAAAATTTGGTGTCATCTTTTAAATGTCTTCTTTTCAAGAATCATAAGGCCAGAAAAGTTTAAACTTATGTGAAATCTTCATTACATAGTGTAGATTCAAGTTTGTTCAAATCATGACCCCTGGGGGAAGAGTGGGGCCACAATGGGGGATCAAAGTTTTACATAGGAAAAATCTTTAAAAATCTTCTTCTCAAGAACAACAAAGCCACAATTAGTCATATTGATATGGAATCATCCTCAGATAATGTAGATTCAAGTTTGTTCAAATCATGACCCCCAGGGTTAGGATGGGGCCACAATGAGGGATCAAAGTTTTACATAGGAATATATAGGAAAAATCTTTAAAAATCTTCTTGTCAAGAATAACAAAGCCATGATTAGTCATATTGATATGGAAGCATCCTCAGGTAGTATAGATTCAAGTTTGTTCAAATCCCGGGTAGGGTGGCAGACATCTTCAAAATTCCGTTTTGAAGAACAGCAAAGCTATGATTAGTTACATGAATATAGAAGCATCCTCAGAAAGTTTAGATTCAATTTCTTTCAAAACATGGCACCTGGTGGTAGGGTATGCTTAGAACAGACAATCAAAGCTTTACATACGAATATAGGAGAAGAAATCTGCTCATGAAGAACAGTAGGGCCATATTGACTCAGGTGAGCATTGTGGCCCATGGGCCTCTAGTTTAAAGATGGCCTAAGTACTTAGTTTTAAACTCAGATGATCACAAATGCTCCTATGTATTCTTTATTTTACAAGTCAAATTGCATGAATTGATTTGTAAAGAAAGAAAATGTCAGTGTTGATGATTATGAAGTCTCAAATAAATATCAATTTGAATTCCAAAGTGGCATAATTTCAACATGCACCCAATTTTCTATGATATATATGTAGGACTCCAAAGTGCGTTGGTCACACCAAAGTACGATGGTCTGCGCCAAACCCTGATGGTTTGACACGCCAAAGTCCGATAGTGCGGAAAACAGTTAATGTTTTACGCCGTGCCATGCCATAGTCTTAAATAAGTATAAATAAATATCATTATGCAAAAACTGACCCTAATCTCTCGGATAGGTGGGAAACTAACCCTAAATTCGCTCGAAATGTGTTTAACAACTATAACCTAGATATCTTGGGTGGGTGTGAGACTAACCCTAATCACTCGACTTGTGTGCGAGGACTAACCCTACATCTCTCAGGTTTGTGCAAAGCAAGGACTCGCCCTAATCATTCGAGTGGTGTGCGAGGACTAATCCTAACAACTCTGGAAGGTGCAAGCAATAAGCAATATCGATAATAGTGTATGCGAGAACGAATCAGAAATGATGTCTTTTGAATGCAGGACAACGTATTCAGGGATTGACCTTGGATTATTGTTCATAAATGTTGATTATTTCTCCGTACCATCGGACTTTGGCATGTCAGACCATCCCACTTTAGTGCAGCATGTCTCACAGGAAACGAGCCATTGGACTTTGGAGTGATCATCGGACTTTGGCATTCATACCGACAACAAACCATGGGGGTTTGGCGCAGACCATCAGGGTTTGGCGAGACCATAGGACTTTGGCGTCACCATTGGACTTTGGAGTCTTACATATATCTGATCACAATACACATAATAAATGTGTTGTGTGAATTATTCAAACAATTTATTTGATATTAATTCATTTCTCTGTTCTGTGTTGAAGGTATCCCGAAAAGATACAAGAAAACATCCATCACACCCACTGTTATATCCCAGCTAACTTAGCCGCAGCCTTGGAGAGAAAACCTGATCTAGTAGCAGCAGGGGTCCAGGCATTTTATCAAAGGGACCCTATAGATCTACAGGTGAGTGTTAGCAGAGAGCTGAGGTATTCTACATCAGGCTCTATGGATCTACAGGTACAGACTGACAAAGGGACTAGGCTATGAGAATGTAGATATGCAAGTTAGTATTAGTAGAGAGTTCATGTATTCTTAACCAGGCTAAAAAGATCTACTATTGAGTGTTAGTAAAGAGTCCAGGTATTATACAAGATATAGGATAGTAGTAACAAAGAGTCTAGGTATTCTACCTCAGACCTTGTAAATTGACAGAGAGCCCAGCCCTTTAGGTCTACAGGTTAATATAAGAGAAAGCCTAGGCCTATACTTCATGCCCTATAGATGTACAGACTAGCAGTAACAAATCACCTATGGATGACCCTATAAATCTACAAGTTTGCATTGGTAGAGAGCCCAGGTATTCTGCATCAGACCCTACAGGGCTACAAATAGCCCAGGTTTTCAACTTCACACTGTAAATATGCAGACAGCCTTGGCAGGTAGTCCAGATATATAGAGGGATATGAGAAGACTCCTACCTTCCTATCTTTGGTAAATTTCCATTCCTCTAGAAATGTACAGGTAGATGTGTTCTGTTTATGTTTTTATGTCCCTGTAATTGAAGATTTTGGGCCATATAGTTTTTGGTCTGTTTGTCCACTAAAACTTTAATCTCAGCCATAACATTTGAATGGTTAGAGCTATGGCTTCATATTTCATGTGTGTGTATGTGTGTATTCCTTGTGACAAGACCTTTTACTGGATACCAACATTTCTGACCTCATGCCCTTGACCCCACCTTTGACCCCATGACCTTGGAGTTGTCCTTCTTTTGAAAAGCTGCCACAGGGACATCGGTGTTTCATTCTAGTTAATTAATGTGTCAAGCCAGTAGCAAGTTCTTTTGATTCAATGCAGATAAACTCTTTTAGACTAAAATGAAGAACAATATTAATGATATATATTAGGGATGGCAATCGAATACATAATTGCCAATCGGTTAACCGCAAGACATTCCGACCAATTAATCGGTTAATCGTATCTAAAATTCTCAACATATTTCATCCTTGTAAGCTTTAGATTCAAATAAACAAAGCTCTAAAGATGTTACATGTATTTTGTATTGATTAATGGACTTTTGAGCTTGAGTACTGTTCGTTATCTCCATTTCTACCACAGTTATTGACGAGATCAAAGAAATGCCGCGGACATTATTCTCCAATAAATCACGAACGTCATCAAAAAATTATCGGATCAGAAACACATGTCAAACCTGTACAGTTGAAATAAATATTTCAATGAAGAATCTAATACTTATTTAGACCATATCGATGTGTCGTCTTACGCGGTCTAAATAGTGTGTATTGCCTGAAACTGCTGATAAATATCTTTTTTATAGCCAAGTCGGGCTGTTCCACGGACCTCCCCAAAACATTTACACTCTGTGATTTTACAGATGAAGCAATGAAATAGACAACTGATTTTGTTATTTTACATTCATAAAAATTAATCAATATATGTTACAAACAAATTTATAAATAATTAAAGGATATTTTTAATCCAACGAAAACTGAAACGGTCTGCATTTTATGCAATCGATACACAAGTAAACAAACAAATTGACTCTGGTGGTAAATGGAACAGCAAAATTTCGACATGGTGACCTAATTCGTTTCTCTATAGAGAAAACGATCGGCCGTATTTTAGAGCTGTTAGTAGAATAGAAATAAAGTCCTTGTTGTCGTGAATGATGCAGGATAACCTCCTCGGTCTCGAAATGTTGTCTGAAATATAAAAGCCTCGGCTTTATATTTCAGACAACATTTCTCGACCTCGGAGGTTATCCTGCAACATTCACGATAACGCGGACTTTATTTCTTAAATATTTCATGTAGAAAAATATTCTGTTTATATTTGATCAGTACACTATTTATATTTTATTTCAATTTTAATAGGAAAAACAAAAAATACGTCATAGGTGGCTTTAAAATACTCATGAAACATGCTTGAAGTCTCAGATTCATTAAAATAAGAAGAGATGTCTTGTAAGCTCATTCTGCATTGTCTTAATACTCAAAATTAACTATTAAGTCTGATTATATTGGTAATTTCATAGGAAAGAAGAGGTAAAAACACATTTAAATCAGTTCACGATACTCAACGATCATTTAATTAAAATCATTAAAGAAACACAGGACAGACTGGGTAATGACATGTGTTTATACAGCAATTAACATCTCGAAAACTGACCAATTATCCCTGCGATGTCAATCCGGAGAGGCTTAATTATTAATTATCTCCCAATCAGCTTAAATAGACAGGTGAAAAAACTAAAGTCTCAGATATATTGTGGTTTTTTTAATTGAATTTTTTGGAAACTGTGTTCAAATTGACACAAATTTTATTTCTTTCTGACTAACCGATTACAGATTTCCTAACTGATTACCATCGTTCCGACCGAGTAACCGGTTAACCGATTAGAAATTGCCATCCCTAATATATATTCATTTCTCACCTCAATGAAGTTGTGGGGAGCATATGTAATAGCCTTGGTGTTGGCATCCCAGGTTAAAGTTTATGGAATAGATTTCTTTTCACGTACTTCTATGCCCTATATTAATCAGAGATGCATGGATAATGCTTGTACATGATTGTATATTTCATTGTATCAGTCAAGGTTTCAGATGCTGCAATTTCAGCTAAAGAATGACCAGTTAATGTTTTTGGAGCAGGTAAAGTTTTTGTCTCATTTCCAAGTAACTACAACCCCTATATTGACCAAACTTGCATGGATGATACATCTACAGATGTGCACTACTAGGCTTGCCTCAGATGCTGGATCTGACCTACATTTTCTGGATGAATGACAAGGTTAAAGTTTTTGGAGCAGGTCCATTACCAAGAAACTATAAGGCCTATCTGAACCAAACTTGCATGGATAATGCATCAAGGGATGCACACTACCAGGCTTGCTTCAGATGCTGGATTTGATCTTCATTTTCCAGATGAGTGACCAGGTTAAAGTTTTTGGAGCAGACTCATTCCAGTGCAACTTCAAGCCCTACCTAGAGCAAACTTGCATGGATGATGCATCAATGGATGAACACTCTCAAACTTGCTTCAGATGCAGGATTTGACCTACATTTTCTGGATGAGTGACTTGTTAATAGTTTTTAGAACAAGTCCATTCCCAAGTAACTTCAAGCCTATCAGACCTATATTGCATGAAAGTTGCATATAGGGAAGCACACTACTAGATTATCTAATAGTTTAGTGTGGGACTTTGCCTTACTTAAAGATTAAAATTCATTGAGATGTGTTCTGTAATCTTTGATTTACTTATGTTTGATTTTCATTTCAATGACAGGCTTGCAGAACAATGCAGTATTTCCGACCAGGAACCCGTGTGACAAGTAGGGTAAGTTAATTGATTTTAATGAATGAATGCATGGACTTGCACATTTTAAATTTTTCATGTTCAAATAAATTACTTTTTTAGGTGAAAATGACAAGATGCCTGTATGCCCAGCTTATGCAGCAAAAATTTCAACCAGACAAGAGGTGTGGTTTCACCCTACCCAGCTCCAGTAATCCCAAGTTCACATCACATGACTTGGGAATGAAACTGGTAATGCATCCATTTTAATGCCTTACATAGGTGTATCAACTATAATCTCAGCATTAATTTCAGCTTTGGAAAATGTTCTCTTTGACAGATGTATGAAAAGCATATTAAACTTTAAAAACAGTATCAAAAATGGTTACCAGTATTTAAAAGGAGGGTTTATTTTTGAGTGAAGCTTGCCCATTTTTCTTCTTCTTCTTTAATATGTTTTGTAAGAGAATTTTGTGGAGAATTCTTTAATAAAAACAAATTAGATATAAGGAATATATATAAGGAATAGGTACTGTAGGTACTCAAGTTTTATGGACATGCATGTATGTTTAAAATTACTATTGTATGTGAAAATGTTTCTCGTTTTAAGGCACACGGTTTTGAAATTTTATGTTCCAAATGTGATGAAAATGAAGAGAGATCACAGAATGGTCATCAAGTAAGACCAAATGATGTCCGATGGAAGAGATATCTTCAATCCTTAAAAGAAAAAGGCTTTTTCAGGGTATTTATTTCGATTCAGTTGTCAAGTTATACTGAACTGGTTGAGTTTCATATTGAACATTTTAATGTTTTTGATGTTATAATTTGAGGGTACAGCAAGTCATTGTTTTATTTGATCAATTTCACTGTTATTGTAGGGGGAAATAGAGGGCTCCAAGAAGTACAATGAACTTCTCTCCAAAGCTAGAGAGTTCTACCAGCAACAGTCATTTAGTGCTCAGAGGTAATCTATCATAAATAGAGAGACAGTGGAGTCTTGTTACTATAATGTTCCTTTTGTAACAGTAAAATACCATAATACCAAGGCCTACAAAATTTCCTTTTTAAAATCAATTTAAACATCATTTTAAAAGTTCATGTTATCTGTGGATGGAGGTGTATTTTTTCCATTCTGTTTTCTTCTACTGTCCACTTAAAATTTTTCAGTGAAAACAGTTTGACATAAATTGTACACTTTTTAACAGTTCCCAGAATTTACATTGTAATAAATGTATCTATTTTATATAGGTTTGTTAAGAAACTGTTTTGTGCTTTGAGTTTCCAAGTTAAAAAGCATTCTATTATTAAACCTTCAACATAATAATAATAATATGCCACTGTATATAGTCTATTTTGTCCTCCTAAAAGAGAGAAAGAAACATGAGTCAATCTTAGAATTTTTCCACATTTAGCAGGTGGACTGCTGGTGATGTGATGCTAGATTTGCTTGATAAAGTAACATTTGACATTGATGCCATGCGGAGAAATGAAGCCAGGTTGCCTCCGCCTGATGGTAGGTTTAAATACAACTTATCTACATATGTATTCAGTTTATTAGAAATTTGATTATTTTTTCAATGAAAAACTTAGGTTTTAAACATAATGTGTTTATGAAACACTGGTGCCCCCTAATGGCAGCTCATAGCCAAGGTGAAAGTTTTTCAAAAAGTAGGTCACACTCCACGGTTAAGGTCATGAGGTAAAAAATATTTTTTCTTAAAGAAAAGTTTTGTCATAAGGAATACACATGAAATATGGAAGCCCCTAGCATCAACTGTTCAAGTTGTTGGTAAGGTTAAAGTTTTTGCAGAGAAACAGCATAGCAGATAGAGTGACAGACCAAAAACTATATGCCCCCGAATCTTCAATTACAGGAACTTGGAAAAGAAAAAGGTCTGAGATGTTAATTTTTTGAACAAGTAAACAAAAACAGAAGGATTGAGGATTGTGTAAATACATATTGTTCATGTTTAAACAGATGACAGTTGGCTTGATATTTCCCCCGAGGAACTAGATGCGTTATTAATGAAGAGATCAGGTGCCCGTAATGGAAATTCCACATCTCCAGATCTAGGCAAGGTGGCCAGCAGTATGAAGACCTTTGTGGATCAGATTTCCAGTGTGGATGGCGTCGAGTTTCCAGGGTAGGTGGAGTTTAATGCAGTTATATGAAAGAGTGGGGATAAATTTTCATGCCTGGATGAAATTCATTTTCTTGTGCTCTGTTGTAGAGAAGGAGAAGATGAAGGGATTCAGTTTGACAGTACAGGATTTATTTCAGCCATGACTAAAATGTTTGGTAAGACTTCTTTGATATAGATTTTCTTATTAAGGTCAAATACTGTAGATTCCTTATTTTACGCGAGTACTTAATATCGCGAAATGGCCAAAGGGTGTCAAATCGCGAGAACAAAAATTCGCGAATCGTTGATTTATCTAGAGATTTTACATACATTGAAGCACTATAAAAATAAAAGCGAGTAATTTTATTTCGCGAGTGGTGCTTCTCGCGTAATTACGCGATAATTTATTCCTCGCGTATATTTAGGAATCTACAGTAACATGTTCCTCAAATATATGTTTTGTATCTCTTGGTATTATATCAAAACTTATTCACATTTGTCATTCTCTTGTGATTTCTAAATTGTTTTCAATATGTTTTAAAAAAAATATGTACACCTAAAATTGTGACATTGGAAATTCAAAGATTACCCATAAGGATTATAAAAGAAATATCACCTTCTGGTATCTTGCCCAAATGCCTGGTAAGATACCTCAACATTTTGTGAGGAAACTTGTTCAAGTATCAATACTTCAATGACAAATCTTTGGGGGAAAATTATATATTTTCGAGGAACGTGTCATCTGAACTAAGTCAGAAGTCAATTTTCCATGATATTTATAGTTGATGTTCTGTAACCCTTTTGACAGACAAAAAAAAAAAATTGTCAACTCTGTAATTCCTTGATTCATAAAGATCAGTGATGATTCTGTGAATTGTCCAAAATATCTGAAATAGTTTGGAAGTTGAGGGGCTGATGAAATATGGGCTATAGCAAGCCCAAAATAGGTTTAAATGAGGGAGAAAAATTGAAGTGTAACAGTTTATTCAACAACTTTTACATCTTGACCTGGCTGAATGAACCGCCACACCATTATAAGGAAGTCTCAATCATCCCTGCTTTTGTGTTTACCTTACTTGAAGATATAAGAAACGTCTGGATGATGTAGATTAGATTAAAACTCCGATGAAACAACTTGAATTTTTTTACCCGGACAAAAATTTAAATGGATCGCTGCAAAAATCGAAAGTATTGAAGTATCTGAAAGCACTCGTAAATATCGGATTCATGAATTCAAGTAAGCAGAATTCCACTAAATATCGGAGGAGAATCATAGCTGATAAAGACATTATACGGGATAGCTCTTTTATCAAACCCGCGACAGGAACTATTCCCCGAGGGCTTGCCCGAGGGGAATAGTTCCTGTCAAGGGTTTGATGAAAGAGCTATCCCACTCACAGCCAGTGGATAAGCGTTTTATTATACTGATGTATATCATAATTTCTAAGGGTTGGATTTACCTGATACTACAGTTCGATAGTAAAAACATGAAAAAAAAAAAATAAATATAAAAGTTTTGAACAAGTATCTGGAATAAGATAACACTGCTAGAATGAGCTGAAATCCTGATGACGTCACAATGCTGCTGAAGTCAGTATGACATCACAAGTCTATAGATTGATTACAGGAAATCAAACTTGGCGGCAAAAATTGCATGAAAATTTTCCGAGGGGTGGAAAGCAAAAACTATACCCCGGGGTATAGCTTTGCTATGTGTGGAAATCTTGAGACTATAAAAGATAGTTTACCTTCTTAACTTTATATAGGAAACATTTTAACAGAAGTATAATAATAATTTTTGTCTAAACGACATTCACAATATATTCTTATGTAAGAAAATTGGAAAATTCTAATTCAGGAGATATTTTGGGAAAAGGCCTACTGCTTATTAGAAGTACTGTATATTGTATACATGTATTTCATCTTAATGGGAACTTTACCACACAAAAAAAATGGATAGTATTTATACCGTTGAATGATTATTGCCAAGAGGTGATAAATCAGACATTATTCAGTAATGTTACATACTGTAACTATATTTTCTACCAAACAGAATTTGAAGACAACAATGATGGGGAATCTAGTTCTGACATGGAGGAGTATGGCTGGGACGATTCAGACATAGATGTAGATGATCAGCCACCAGTGGTCCAAACAGAGAAGAGGAAACAGAGTGTGAAGTCCTCTGGGGGTCTAACAGTACAGGACTACATGGATCTGATGGACCAAGAACTCGGTCAGACCAGTGTAGGAAAAAGTTTTGAGAAAGAACCTCAAGTCAGTGAACCTACATCTACAAAACCCCAGGTCTGGGCTCTTTTATGATTAATATTTACATTGTATATAATTGTTTTATATTAAGTTTACTTATATTTGAACCTTGCCAATCAAAAATTTAAAAAGTGTTCATATTTTTACAAACAGAATGAGTCAAAGAAAAAGTCAAAGAAATCTATAGCTGAGGAAGATGATGACTTTGAGCCTGTCAACATTGACATCAACATTGTTAAAAACATGCTGGAGTCTATGAATGCTCAGCCAGGCTTAGCAGGGCCTGCCTCGAATATTCTCCAGACCATGGGTGTTAAGATTCCTACGGAGACAAAGGAACCCCCAAAACGTCCCCCTCAGCCGATGAGGAGGTCCTCTGGTCCAGAGGAGAGACCCTCTGTCCCACCAAAGCCTACTAACCTTCCTGTATCTCAAGCCAAACAGAGACCACAACGACCACCCCCACCTAAAACAAGAACAATACACAGGCAGCAGTCAAAGGAAACAAATGTCTAAACATAGCATAGTGATGTGGCTCACAGCCTTTCCAGTTTGATTAGGTTGAGAGGAGAAATGTGCCATGAAATAGGGTTTATGATTTAGTGAAATCTTAATTAGATCTAAGGATACAACATACATGTACAAGGGTTGTCTATAAAGTGTGTAGACAAATGCTTTATAAATTTAATATTTTCTTAATAATTACCACACTGCCAAATGTGTACAATAATATTTTAATATAGACCATGATTTAGTACCAGGTAAATATATAAAAATTAAAACAATACAAACTATTATAGGTGTGAATACTTTGTATATGCAAGTCACACAGCCCAGTGTGACATAAAGCTAGTTTCATGATAATGTCAAAAATATTGATTTTGAATTTTTTTAACATGTTTGTGGAGACACACTATTTTAATCTTTATTATACCACACTGCCAATTGTGTGCGATAATATTTATATATTAGACTATAAATGAGTAAATTTTTAAAATTTAAAAACTATACATGATAATTTACAAACCATACCAGTATAAAAACTTCATATACAGCCCTATCTGATATTGTGCTCCATTAATAACAACATCAGGAAGATGGATATCTTATTTTTATCAATTAACTGTGGTTTTCCATTCTTGTAGTGTCTCCCCAATTTTACCACTGAAAAATCATACATACGAAATTCAAATCAATGAACTAACTATATTCCAATAATTTCCAATTGTTTAATTATTTTGTCTTTGACATTGTTTCAACCATAATAAAACATAATTTTATGATTGGAAGCTGTTCCATTTAGATGGCCAATGTTGCTTTTTCTGTCAATTATTGAAAAAAGTTTCTTGTTTTTAATATTTTCAGTATCTGACCAATAAGTGAAACTAAAAACATCAGAAAATGACAACAGCCACTTTATTTGGAGCACATTTAATTTTCTGCCTAGGATTTTTGTAACAAATATTTTGGTAAACAATAAGTATATCTTGGACCATTCAGTTTGACAAAAATGTCTTTGTCCATGAACTTCACTGACAACCTCATTTATCCTCTTTTACTCTAGAATGGATCAAAGGATGTTTATACTCTTATCTACATGTATTGGCTATTTACCTATGTCATTCATTATGAACAATGTTATAAAAAAAAATCTTAAAATATGAATTTACCCCCTTGTTTCAGAAGGAAATGTTGAAAATTGTTGGCAGAAAAGATTTATTTTACATAAATTTATCTGGTAAGAAAATCAGAAGTTACTGTTATACCTATGCATGTTGGGGCAGAGTTTAATCTGTTAAATAACTTTATATTTACTGCTGGTGCTTTCAAATATTGAAAGTTGTTTCTAAGACCTTATATTGGAAAAAGTTTTGTAGCTTTTTATTCCCAGTATTCACAAAGCTTAAATTTAAGCTTATATTTAAGATTTTAGGAGGCAAGGATAAAAAATAAAGTTGCAAAAAAATGTTCAAGGAAGGATCTACATGTACAGGCATTGTAGAAATGTGTCTATTGAACAAGTATACAACACTTGATCTGAAAATCAGCCCTTTAAGGGCATGATCTAAACCATGTACATAATGAACTGTAATAATTAGTAAAGATCTAAACCATGTACATAATAACTGTTACAGTAATAATTATTAAAGGTCTACCAGTAGACTATGTACATAATAAATTGATAAGTAGTCAAGATCTAAACCATGTACATACATGTAGTAACTGTATTAAGTGCTTAAGCACTATAAATTTTACACAACAAGAGAGAATTATTTTACTTCAATCAGAGAAATTTCAGTATAAATATTTCCACATATTGTAGATCACCAACTTTTTGTGTTGTAAAAGAAATCAAGAAATTGTTGTATTTAATCTTTACTAATGCAAATATACGTCAGATTGAAATTATCGCAAGCAGGCAGTCCCATGTCCATTTTTTAGGTTAATTGATTACTGTTGTGCAATAATGCTGAGATTTTTTTCTTCTAAATTTTTTTCTTAGCTTTAAGATCTTACTTCGGTTTAATTAATACATTTGTAGTACAAATGAAGTCTTTGATCAGTATCTGTCGCAGATAGTTAAAAATCATAATTATCAACATGTCACACAAGTTATTTATAACCATGATTATTGACTACATCACCATATTTAGTTTATAATATATGCAAATTAGGAATATCATAAATCTTCTTTATACATGTATTTATATATATGCATCCTACAACATTTTCATTTTACCAAATTTTCCTCTGATAATATTGAATATATTATTACCCTCAAGTACATTTAAGTATATAACAAGCATAATCTTTGTTGATTTTTGAATGCAATGTTTTTTTGTTTGCTTTGTGACTGTAAAAAGCACTTTTTGTTTTTAGCTAATTTTTATGTGTAGCTTAAAGTCTTTTCAAAACCTTCCATAACATATTCCTACAGAAAATAGCAATGCCATGTAATGTTTTTAAACACTCTATCAGCTAACTCTGAGAAACCATGACAGATCAAAATGAAGCATAAATTTCAAAACTTCACTTACAAAATAAATGCATTATTTTTAAATCCTTTATATTTACATTCATTGAATATTTTCTCTCTTATTTCTTATGAAAACCACTTCCTTTCATCAATCCATTAATGCCACTAAACTAGTTAAAAACTGGTTTTTCACAGCAATTTGTACGAAAGTGTGCTTTTTCATCAATGAAACACACACAACATACAGATCAATAATACAGTATTTAACAAACTTAAACCTTCTTTGTACAGTTACTTATACAAATATAAATGTGAACAATAAAATGTCTTTTTTTTGTTAATGCAGAATTGTTGCAACCCTTGCAGAAAAAAAATAACGTAACATCCATAAGCTGGTGACATATTTTCTGCAATAGTTGCAACTGTAAATTCCCACATTAACAAAGAAATTTTAGTGTTTAAATGATATTGCTTTATTGCACTGTTATAAGAAACAGATTTTTACATCACAAACTTTTTTTTAAATTTACATCATAAACTTACAAGATTCATTAAAAAAAAAAAACAATTTGGAAGTTGTTTTTTTTAAAATACCGGTAAATGTTGGTGCATGCCACCTTTTTAAAACAAAGATTTTGATAATCGATTTTGTATAAAGTACATGTATATGAAATGCAGATTTGTCATTTTGTATGTCTATATACACTTTGTATATGGTGTTTTGGGCAAAGCTTCGAAGGAATAATGAATGAATTAAAGAGCTGTTTATTTTGATATTTTATGAGAGGAATTTATACTGCACCTGTGTACAAAAAGTACATATAATTTTGCTTTTAATTACATTATGTTTGTTGGTTTTGAATTATACTTGTATAATATATGTAACAGCCATGTATAACAACTTACTTCAGTGCATAGAGCAGCACTTGATATCATATCTAGTCAGATTACATTATACAGTCCACACTTTAATGTCCAAGTACATTGTGTTCTACATAAATGTTTATATAATCAGCTTGAGTGTATATATGTATCTTGGTTTTTGTGACATTCCATTTCTTTTTATATATCAACATGCTGCATTGCTTAGAACTTTTGTTAGAGACTATCAACATGTTGTTTAGCATACATGTAGATTAGAGGCTTCTCCAGAACTCTGTCAAAAGTGTTTTTCTATATGCGAGTTTTGAGATTGTAACTCTCCTACGATAGAGGCGCAAAAAGAATCTATATCAGCATGGAAGTGGGACAGTTAGTTCATGTATACAAACTTGCATAAATAAAAGAACAATGACAGTGGCTTTTAAAATTCATTTGATGTTATAAAAAGATGAAAATGCTAAGGAGTGATCATTTTAAAGATTTTGTAAAGCTCTTTTATATATATTTACAACTTGAAAATGAAAGAACCGTACATCATGGTCTTTATATATTGTTATAAAAAATAATTATTTAATTGTACAAACCTTTTCTAAAAAGTTATTGGGTCTTAGAAGTTATTATAAGAAAAGAGTCATTCAGAATGCCGACGTACAATGATCAGGTGCGTGTTTATTTATTAGAGATCCATATAGCTGTATAGATCTATTCCCTCGTTTGATGTTTTATCCACTGATATTTTCTTTTCTTCTGATTTTTCTTTTCTCTTGTTCAGGTTTTTTTTTTTTTTGCGCCTTTACTTTAATTTGGTAATATGTACATCCCGACAATGAGTTGGATAGACTGGTATATAGAGGATGTAATGTATCCAATATAAATAACTGTCCCACCTGCCTGTTTACGTGGAAACAAAACTCCCCTCCGTAACGAAAGTGCACCAAGGGAGATAATCTCGAAACTTGCGTATTGTATACTGAGGGTAGATCTAAGGATTTTCAATGAATGATGAGTAATCAAGTAGGCCAGAGGTAAAAAATATTATGTTATGTAAATTTTAGAGTGTAACACTACACACATTAATATGCCACCTATTCATCACATTTTCCTCAGTGTTTTATATAAACCTACTTTGTAAACAAATAAGCATACTACAGTAATTTTTATTGGTATGAAAGTAGTTTTGCTGCAAGGCATTTTGATTTACCTATTACATGTACGTCATTATCAATGATTTGCTTCATTTTTCTTGCATACGTTTGATCGTATATGTAGAGCATTAATTTTGTTTTGATGGAAGGAATATGCAAAGAGTTTTTTTAAGCCTTTTTTTTTCCTTACAATAATACAATGTTGCATTACATTTTCATTCCCATCTGATTTAAAAAGGCTGGGTGGTCTCTGCCATTTTTAGATTATTATTATTATATGGAAAAGAAGAGCTATGTATAAAAATATAGGATGTATAAAAATTATAGGAAACTGCATTATTTTTTTTTTTTACTAAATAATAGTAAATGGCTTGAAAAAAACATATTTTGGATGGATCTGTTGGTTAATTAGTTGACCACTCACACTCCTTAGTGACTTATTTTCTTTTCATTTTCATTTTTTTTAATTTATTTATTTATTTTTTTTTTTTTTTTTTGACAACTTTCATGATAATCTAATATTTATATTAATAATCTTTAACTTTAAACAAATTGATAAATAAGTTTTTATATAATAGCTCAATACCAATTTTAACCAGTATTAATACAAAAACCAGTGTTGTACTGCTCTTGATTATGATAAAGTACACTTATTGGAAAGGTTGTGTATTATTAAAGTGAAATATTTTTTCTCAGACAACTTTTACATTTTGTTTATATTTTA